ACAGTTTTTCTTATCACTTCGGTTTCACTATAACCTTATGGAGCTATACAGGGACGGCCTATACGCCTACAGCTATTCATACAGTTTACTCTTATCCATTAGGTTTCACTATAACCTTATGGAAGCCTATACAGTTATATATCGACTACAAACATTGCGATAATTCCACACAGTACTTTACTAAACACGCAAGACAGATTTCCATTAAGGGGAAATCGAAAAGTATCATGATATGTGTGCCCTTACATTTCCACATTGTAAGTAAATGTTTTAGTTCTACATATGTATGTGCTTATATGGCTTTCTTCACTTCATTGTGGATTTCACTGAGAGTTTAATCAAAGTCTGCCAGAGTTACATACAAAACATAAAGAACATCAGGTAAGATTATGACAGTATCATGTTATTATATGCTTTAACAAATTTATTTATTGGAATTCTTGTCATACAGCATAATGAATAGCAAGTAAGACAATGAACATATACTGTTATGTATTCTTACATATTTATTGATTTCATGCAGACAACACAATGAACAGCAAGTAAGACCATGATAGTATCATAATGTGTAATATACGGTTCATGTAAACGAGTTATGAGAGAAGTAGATTAATTATGTTTATGAATTAGAAGTCTATTCGTTGCTACAAAGACACATTCATGTTAAAATTTACTGATTCTATGAGTATCAATGCTTTATGAAATTGGTATTTGAAGTTAGTTGCCATCGCACTTTGTTTAGTATGTGAATTAAGTATGTGACGTTTATAGAACCACTGGAGCACCACTGAGTTTTATACTCAGCGCGTCGATTTTCATCACGCGCAGGTTGAAGATCGTGGTTGCTACTTGAAGACTTGAGGAGTACTATCAAACAGAAGAGCTTAATTTGGTCATAGTAGATTGAGAGATGTATAATTAAGAATTATGGCATGTATTAAGATTGATGGCATGTATAAGTCTTTTATTGTTAGAGCTTTTGTGATTGTAAATATAAGTGAAATATGTAATTATTTTGGTGTAAGTAGTTGGAAATAAGAACAATATTTATGAAATGATTGAGATGAAATAGTTTACTATAGTTGGTACGATTAGGTTATGAAAACTTGATATAGATGATGAATGAAATTAATTGCTAGATATGAAATGCTTTTGAGGATTTATATAATTATGTAGAGATATATATTTAAAGGGTTATTGTGTTATGATGCTTCTTGGAGATGTTGAAAGTTTAGAGTGTAATTAGGAATGTTTATATTCATATTTTGCATATAGTATGATATCAGCATGACAAGATACAAGTTAAACCAGATTGTAGCGTCTCGGCTCGGTTCATTCGGGTTAACGGGTGGACCGGGAAGGGGTGTTACATATGCCCCTCCAGAGGGTGCTATGTTAGAGGGCGGTAGGCCATTGATTTAATGAGTGGTTACCATCAAATTGAAGGACTTTGGCACTATTTAAAATGGGAAAATAATTAGTGTCCTCGCGCAAGTAATGTGGGAATCAGGTGATATTGCATAAAGCAAGTGTCGGGCAGTGCACATTAACATAAAAATGTGTTTGCAACATATTCCCGATTTTTCGGGCGTTGGAACCTTGTCTTGACGGTGTACTGGACAAGGAATTGCCTATCACCATCATACAGGTGGCGGGTAATTGGAAACTCACCAAAGGGTCTTGTTGGTAGGTGGCGAGAGGAAAATTTACTGTTGCTCGCTGTATAAGACGCACGCCAATAATTTGTGCGGGTCAACTAAAGTACAGTTTGCCAGATGATGCTTCCACCAATTTATTGCATTAGGCGGGCTGGCGCACGTATAGTAGAGAAAGGGTTGAATATGTTGGACTAAAGTCCCTCATTACCATTTAGCCAAAGGGTAAAATAACCCTTATGCATAGTGCTTATTTGGGAAAAGTAACATCGGGTCTTCATTTTTGAAACAGCCTCTAAAAAAGGAAGACAAAACAAGTGGGGAGTTTGGTACCACTCTGACTTATGATGGTCCAATCGGCAGGTAGAATCATTTGCGAGGGAAAGTAGGTATTTTCTTACCTTCATTTGATTGATTTTCTCACGGAAAATCATGATATTTTATTTGTTGCTGGCACAAAAGACCAAGTATTCAAGCACTTCAGCAAGTTCCATTGGTATGCGTGGAAGGGCAAGACTGGCAGTGTCATTGAAGTGTATTGCCCGCCCACGATAATGGTGGTGAGTTATATCTTTTAGGAGTTTAGAAATTATTGTAGTTCAGCCGGCCTCTGCATGGGTATCAGCGGCAATGAAAAGACAGTTCCTGGTACGCTCAAACACGGCTCTTGCTGAACGGGCATGCAATCGGCACCATTATTGAAAGAGTCAGGTCCATGCTCAAAATGGATCAACTACCTAAACCATTTTGGGCGAGAAGCTGTCAAACTGCTGTCTACCTAATCAACCCGATACCTTCCAGACCATTGATTTTGATATCCCGGAGAAGGTTCTGGACAGGGTAGAAATTATATTCATTACTCTCATTTGAGGGTATTTGGCTGCAGCATTTACATGCACTGTCCGAAGGAGTCAGAGATCAAAACTTGATGAGACAACGTTCATTTCCTTGCCACTTTTGTTGGTTTATGGAGACGAAAGAGTTTGGCTACAGGTTATGGGACCAGTGAAAAAAGAAAGTTGTCCGGAGCCGGAGAACGTAGTTTCCACCGAGAATGAGATCGTGGAGATAAACTTGTGAAAAATCCACAGTGATGTATTGGGTTTGATTATTACACCGGAAGCATTCCTACAGGAAGATTGCCACAGGGAGGAGGAAATGCCAAGAATCAGAACAAGAAGAACGAAAAAGCCAGTCACTAGGGGATCAAAGATTTAATTTTAGGAAAGGGTTCCCTTACAAAGTTGATGGAAAGACGAGAACATATAGTGAGGATTCTGTAACTTTTTTGGCGCGGTTATTTTTGTTTTAACACTTAGAGTGGCCACTATTTTTGTAATCTCTTTTGTACCTACCTTGAATCTATTCTCAGTGGAAGCATTATTCGGAAGTTTTTTGCTCCTGCTGGACGTAGCCCATAACAGTGAAGGGTGTGAACCACGTAAATCTCGATATTTTATTTTTTTCAATCTGGCATTTACGGTAATTATTTAAGGCATTTACGGTAATTATTTAATTTTTATCGTGGTTATTATTTCTGGTGGATTAGATCGTCAATATTCAATATTTAATTATTGGAGGTATATGTAGTAATAGTAAATTTATTTTACTTTCACCACCGGTATTTTTCCGCAGGCCCCGTTCGAGATAAGTTATAATCCCAACACTTTATTTTTCCTCTTCGTTTCAAGAATCTCTAACTCAAAATCTTTGATTCCTTTCATTCTCCCCTCTAATGCAGCATCTCTCTGATCAAATTCACCACTGTGAAATCCAAAAACCTGTTCTTGAAGCATCATCAATCTTTCCTTCAAATGCTTAGCACAAGAACTATCCATTTTCCTTTCCATTTTCTCTATCAACTTTGTTGCCATTTCTAGGTCCATTCTTGCCAAGAAACCTTCTTTTATTTCCCTGAACAGTTCATTCCTATCTGCCTTCAACAAATTGACAGTGACATTAAGCATTTCTATCTCTTTCATCTTCTCCTGTAAGTCTTCTCGCAATCTTCAAACGTATGATTCTTGTTTTTTTAGTGTATGCAGCTCAAGCAATTTCCTTTCAAGCTTTACTTTCCTCTCTTCATATTCTTTTATCTTCCATAAAGCATCACTACTTTCCTCCTTTTCTTCTTCTTCTTCAAGCCTTAATCCATCTTTCTCTGAAGTATCTGAGTGTTTGGCTGTAGAGTTTGCCTTATTCTTAGCAGAAACAGTAATAGCTGAAACTGCAGCCATCACCAGAAAGCTTACCTTGAATATCATGTAATTATTTCTTATAAGATGTGCGTATCTATGGAGTTGAAGAAGATAAATCCCATCACCAAGGAGTGACTGTTTTTTTTTTTTTTTTTTTTTTTTTTTTTTTTTTTTTTTTTTTTTTTTTTTTTTTTTTTTTTTTTTTTTTTTTGCAAGACATTTGATATTTAATTTGCTTTTTGGAATAAACATGTTATAAATGGTAAGCTCTGTTTAGATTATGACAGAAAGATTTTTCTTTTTTATTTGTTTCACTATCATATGTTTTTTTTTTTTTTTTTTTTTTTTTTTTTTTTTTTTTTTTTTTTTTTTTTGCAGACATTGATATTTAATGCTTTTGGAATAACATGTTATAAATGTAAGCTTGTTCTAGATATGGACAGAAAGATTTTTCTTTTTTATTTTTGGTTTCACTATCATTAGTGCTACCTACATGTGGCTTTTTTTTTTGTTTGCCTTTTTTCTCTCAACAATTGTTAAAAAGTAATTCATAACTAAAAATTTATAATTATTAGCATAAACTTTTTAGTTTTATTAATAATAAAAATTAAATATCATGATTTAGATTAGAAATTTGAAATAGCCAATGTTATCATCTTAACATTTTATTTTTTTACTAAATTGAAAAGTATTAAGAATTCTTATTTTGATTTTCATGTATTCTAAAAAAGAAAAACAAAAAAATTTAATCAAAGTAATATGATTTGCGACTTCGAATTATAAATCCGATCATCTTATTTTAATTACCATTTAAGTGATTCTTGATAAAATTAAAAATTATTTTCATAAATATTCCTTATAGAAATTTTAAGTTAAAATTATTGATTTTTCAGCAAAATATTAAATTAATTAAAAATTTTAAATGATGTTACATAAATAAGTAGTATAAAATAAAATTTAATTGCAGTACCAAATTTCACCACTTAAACTAGCTAGGGTATAAAAATTTTACCTAATATTTTCTTTAATCATACTCCACAAACGGGCCCATCAAAACTCAACATCAGTCGACACACATCAAATCAAATCTTCTTGTTGCAGGCTCCAAACAGCTTCCTATACCGAAACGATGCGTTTTTGCTATGCCTGCACAGTTCAATAGAATTCATTCGATAAGCATCAATCAAACTCTGAAGTTTCAACTTGTCTCTGCTTTATGTCAATGGCCTCTCATCGATTATATTCTAATCATCACCTCTTTACAGACTGAAATTCACGCTCCATGGAAGCTCGTCGAGGTTGGCGCGCCGTCCCTAAGGTTCGTCAGGTCGGATTTTTTACTCCCAACGAACCTCTGCCGCCGACACGGAGTCAGTCTGGCCCGCCGGACTCTAACTCGCCACAGCTGGCCAATTCTCCTGCTAGTAACTCCTTATCTCCTGTCATGATTCCCCCTCCACGTCACATGTCCGATAATCTTGCTCACCGTGCCACCTCGCCTCTTCCTGTTCCTGAGGCACCTGCCTTCCGCCGAAGTATTACCGGTGGAGACCACGTGACGTTGGTTGGAAGCTATAACCCAACTGAGTCGCTGCTTGGTCAATCTCCGCCGTCAGCTAGAATCGTTGATGGAGAATTCTCAGAGGAATCATCTCCTGGTTGGCTTCGCAGGAGCAATTCTGCTAAATTCGCTTCTAGTTTTCCTAGCGGTGGCTTCGATTTGACATCTCTTAAGTCATCTGAGAATTTGGAAGTCCAAGAGAAAAAGCCTGTTGGAGGGCCTGGTAATCCTTATTCACAATTTGTAGCTATCTATGTTCAACGTTTATGAATTTGGCTTTATACTTCAAGAAAAATATGAGCGTCTATTTTTCATTGCTTAACTCTTTTTCAAACCATGGTTTGATCAGTTGCATTTCGTTCTTTTTATGTTGAAATGGTGGTGACTGTGCTATGCCCTTCTCTGACAAGTAACTGAACTCGAGCTCCTGTATGGCAGGTAGGGGTTTCACTGTAGTTACTAGTTACTTGTTAGCTTAATAGGAACAGTGTATTGGTAGTCTTTAATCTTTATCATATCAAGCTTGTCCTAGAGAGAAATGAAAAAAAATATATATATATTTTTATTCTCAGTAGAATGGAGTGTTCTTTAATGCTAATGTTTCTTTATGGCGTACTTGGCTGTCTTGGTGAAAAGAATCTACTGCCCTCTTACACACTCTGGGTGATCTATGATTCTGTATCTGCATAATGTGATCTATGCAACTGTTTCCCTTCAAGATGTGATTGCGATTTTAGTTGGAAAATTAATTTGCCCGTTAAGACAGCCATAGGGTTAACTGGTTTGTATGAGAATTTGGTTCTAATAGGACAGACAATTTCTCTTAGGAGCCCTTTTGAAATTTTTAATAAGCATTTTTGTTATTGGAATGTGTTTTAAGCGCCTTGAGTGCATAATGAATATTAAGGAAGGCAGATCATATTGATAAAAGTAATAACATAACTTTTCGATCATGCTAACTTTTGCATAAAAGCTATAAATTGTCTGATTGACGTGTCTTAATTCCTAGTGTGGGTGAGGCTACATACGAGTGAAAAGTTGTTGAAGTATTTGTATATAATTCTTCTGTCTCCTAGCTGGTTTTGTCATGAGTTCGGTTGCTCTCTTCCATAAGGTAGAATAGAACATTTACATTTGCATTGGGTTCTTTGTTTCTCTTCAATATTTCCTTCATGTTGAAACTGGAATAATGTTACAGAAAAAGGTGGAGGGGTTGTAGAGCTGCAAAATGAATTGCAACCAAGTTCCAAGCCGTTGAAAGCAAAAACTACAAGGGCTGAAAGACGAGCATTGCAGGAGTCCCAACGAGCTGCAAAAGCTGCTGCAAAAGGTTTGAAAATTCATCTGTAACAATCTTCGCTTTGCTAATACATTTACTATTTTGTTACTTTGAAATAATTTTAGCAGTAACTTGTTTCACATTAATATATATCCTTTTGTGCCAGGCGTGCACATAATTCCAGTCGACTTTAGCTAAGTTTTAATCCCAAATATATGGATCCACTTTCTCCATTCATGCAATTAAGGACGTAAGCTTTAGGAAGATCTATGGATGCTGAATCTTTTTTTACTACTTTTGTACATGTCATATTAAGCTTTCCCTTACCCTTTCCTTTTTTATGCTCAACTTTTTTATCATGGCATATTGGATGGGTTTTACTTATATGTGTCCAAACTCCAAACTATATCAACTTCTTTTATCATCTTTTTTTTTTCCCTCTAATTGCCACTTCCATCTTTCTGCAAACATATTCAATTCATTTGCTGATACTTTATTGTATTGCCACAAGTTCACCTTATCATCATCATTTTTGCAAATGTTGGTGATCTGTACATTTAGTTTCTTCACCGCTCAATGCTTGCTATACTTAGTAGCTAGTTGAATCGATTGCCAATACAATTTCTTCTTTAGTTAGTGTTATGCGATCATAGGGGACTGCTCATTTGTCACTTCAATCATACCACCTTAATCCTATGGTTTACATTTTCCTCTATTCCACTTTATGTGAGATAACCTAGATATTTGAAATGTGTGTTTTTTGGGACCTTTAAGCCTTCTAGAGTCGCACTAGTCATCTGAAAATATCATATACCAAGTTATATTTTGTTGAAAATTCTTTGTCCATGCATCCATGATTAGGGCAAAAAGATAAGGGCTCAAGGCCAATCCATGGTAAAGTCCAACTGTTGCTATGTCCACACAATTTGCAATTTCATATTCCTATTCATTATGTTTTTGTAGCCACAGGAGAAGCAGTTGGAAAACCTGCTATTCTATCGGAGGGAGCAGCTGCCAGTAAACCTGCAAAGCAACAGCCATCACAAAAGAAAGATGTTACTCCTCCAGCTGCATCATCAATTGCTGCTTCTGACAGAAAAGGAGTTGATCGTCCACCTGAGAAAGAGAGGAGGAGAGAAGTCCCTGCACCACGCATGCAATTTGATGATAGAACTCGAGTGGAAAAGGCTAAAAAGCGTGCAGTAGTCAATCAAACTGAAGCTAGGAATAGAGTTGAGTTGTTCCGGCACTTACCGCAGTATGAACATGGAACTCAGCTTCCTGATCTTGAGTCAAAAATCTTTCAACTTGATCCAATGCATCCTGCCATTTACAAGGTAGGTGCTTCAATTAGATAACTAGTGGCCAGTTTATCTGTCAATTTTTCTAGTAGGATTATCTACTTCAAACTATGATCCCGAAACACGTGTGCTAAATTATGGTTACTGTTTCATAGAATGGACGCAGACATTACAAACTTACGAACTAGCTTATGGCAGTAACATAAAAGTTGGCATGCCTCTATAATGTTAATCTTATTATCATTATCCTAATACCATTATGGGCATTGCCAGTGTTGCCCAGGTGTCATTTAATTGTATGTTCTATGAGTACTTTCATAAAAGTATTATTGCACCTGAAACATGTTGATTTCCTACAATTCCTTTTCTTTTGCCATTACCTATTGTATGGGCCATGAATCCACTGATGAGAATGACTTTCATTTTCTCAAATATTATCTGAAATCTTAGTAACTTTAATCTATGAAACGTTAAGATCTGTTTAAGGTTGTGTATTTTTAGATTACCATGTTGAGCACCTCTTTTCTGCCTAACAACCACTGGTCATTTCTATAACATGAATCTGGTTTGTTTCCTTCTGTTAACTAGCGAGGACAATTAAGTAGGGATTGATTAGTATATTTTGAGAACTTGATAAAAGATGTGGTGGTGGAAAAGTTATCTCTGTGCTTTTTACTTGTGAAGGGAAGAAAAATGTCATTGGTTTTCACACCATTTTATGTTACCTACGTATGGGTTGTGCTGCTCTCTGCATTTTAATGTAACAATTTCGAAATTTCCTCAGGCCGGCTTGAAGTATTTGGCAGGAGATATCATTGGAGGTAATGCCCGTTGTATTGCGATGCTACAGGCATTTCAGGAAGTCATTAAAGACTACTCCACACCACCAGAAAAATCTCTTACCAGGGATTTAACTGCAAAACTTGGTAGTTACATTTCCTTTTTGATTGAATGCCGACCGCTTTCAATGAGTATGGGAAACGCGATTAGGTTTCTTAAAAGTCGTATTGCGAAGTTACCTTTAACTTTTTCGGAGTCAGAAGCAAAAGCGTCCCTCCGTTCAGATATTGATCGTTTCATAAATGAGAAGATAGTACTTGCTGACAAGGTGATAGTTAGACATGCTGCTTCAAAGATCAGGGATGGGGATGTCCTTCTCACATATGGATCATCATGTGTTGTTGAGATGATTCTGTTATATGCACATGAGCTTGGGAAACAGTTCCGGGTTGTGATAGTGGATTCACGTCCTAAGCTTGAAGGCCGAGCGTTACTTCGCACGCTGGTGGCAAAGGGCCTGAATTGTACATATACTCACATAAATGCTGTTTCTTATATCATGCATGAAGTCACCAGAGTTTTTCTGGGGGCTTCCTCTGTATTGTCCAATGGAACTGTATATTCAAGGGTTGGAACTGCATGTGTTGCTATGGTTGCTCATGCATTCCATGTTCCAGTGTTAATATGCTGTGAAGCATATAAATTTCATGAAAGGGTTCAACTTGATTCAATTTGTTCAAATGAACTAGGTATCTGTTCTCTCATGTGAGCTTATGTTTATATTTCTTTCTTCACTATTTGCATATCCTTTGTTTTGAAAACAACTATAGCAAATATCTTGAATTTGTTTGCAGGTGATCCAAATGCTATTGCAAAGGTTTCTGGAAGAACGGATGTAAATTACCTTGATACTCTGGCCAATAAAGAAAATCTTCAGCTTTTAAACTTGATGTAAGCTTTGAGATAAAGTAAAAGGAAATATTCTCTTTTTATAAATGGTACTGAATTTATACATGTTTACCTTATGTTTGGACAGGTATGATGCCACTCCTTCAGAATATATCTCTATGATTGTCACCGATTATGGCATGGTAAGTACTTGAGATCAAATTGAGTCAATCTTAACTGTAAATAAACATTTTTCTCGTTAATGTTGAAGGAAATAAATATTAATCTTCCAATTTGTCCGCTTCTTCTTTTAATTTCTAATATCCGATTTTCAGTTGAATTTTCTCTCTCCATTTTAGATGTCCGTCAACTTTGTGAAGTTTCTTGATGCTTGACATTTTCGCCCAACTTATGTTTTATGTTCCTTTTATTGCTATTATTATAGATCCCTCCTACGAGTGTGCCAGTTATTGTTCGTGAGTACGGGAGAGAGCACTTGTGGATATAGTTCAACAAGAATGAATGTATTACTGGGCAAATTGGGCTCTCCATGTTCAGTTTCAGTTATAAACTCCAGCTCAATTTCCAGGAATTGCATTCATTAGCATGAGATTTTTACAAGCTCTTAGTTCTGATATTCTCCGGTTAATTCTTTCTATGCCTTTGTCAAGCTTATATTCAATTTTCTTAGAGTATAATACAGAATGAGGAAATTGTGGCCTCTCCTTCGGGCATCGGAGGTTGGTAATCTTGTCAAGCTTATATTTATTTATTTAGGCCACGTTTATTTGTGCTGAATTTTGAATGTTGTATCTGAATTAATAGCTAAGACGATTAAGAAGTGATATCAAGAGTTGATTGTTGAATAATTAATAAGTGATATATTTTATCATTTTTAATTATAGAGGTAATTTTGTCTTTCATTTAATTAGTTACATGGTTTATTGAATCAGATTTCAAAAGTAAGTTTTTAAATTCAAATATATAGTTTGTTAGTTCAATTCAAACAAATTAAGTTTATTCAAATAGATGTGGTGTAATTAGTCATCCTATCTCTCGTAGAAAATCCAGGGAGTTCGAGTACTCTTCACTGTAAAAGTTATTATCAATTTGTTGAATATCATTCAAAAGAGAGGGTTATCATATACTGTGTAACACACAATATTATTTCAATTCATTGGGTTTTTATATAAAAAAAAATATTTGGATTTCGATTCATTGGGCTTTTATATAAAAAAAAATATTTGGATTCATTGGGTCTATATATAGCCGGAAAAAAGAAAAAAAAAGTTAGTAAACTATCAATAAGATAAAATAAAATAATACTTTGGTTATTGTTGTAGAATTTCACTCTAATGCTCCAATAATTGCATCGAGGTGGAAAAAGGTTTTTGTTTTTAATTATTTAAAAAGCAAAATGGGATGTTAATTTATCGCTCAACATGCCGCGAAGCAATTTGCTAATTTTTTTTGGTTGGTTTCAGAACTGAGAACCAAAATCAAATTTTGAAATAGGATTTTATTTTTTTATTTTTTTGATTCGGTCAATAAAGGGTTTAAAAAATTTTTATATCTTTAAGCATTATTTTAATCTGGTCAACAAATTTCTTTTAACTATTATAATTTTTTAAAAATATATAACATAGACATTATTTTTCGTTCGCATTTGAATTTCAAGGTGAATCAAACAAATATATGCTGAATATAAAATTTATTGCCATGTAAAAAATAGAAAATTTCTATTAAAATCGATTCGAAAACTCAATTTCTATTATCTTTTTGTTATGAGGTATCTGAATGAGAGTTTTTTAACAGTCTACAGAACGTGGTGCAAATTTATTGTTTGACATTAAAAATAAGATGAAATCTATGGACGGCTCAAAATATCTTATTCACCGCAATCTCTTATTTTAAAGAGTTTTTAGAATCCCCCGTTTCTCATTTTAATGAATAGGGGATCCTAAACTATTTATTTTATTTACAAAATCGAATTTAAAATATATGGATTTAATCTCTCGAAGAAAGAATTGTATAAATCCATTTAAGCGAAAATCCATCTTTTAATTTCATAAATTTACAAATTGCATGATTTTATAACATTTTGAATAAATTTATATCATTGCTTCAATAAGAAACTTTATTCTCATTGATTTGGTCCGTGATTGGAGTTATGAATCCGGTCTAAGCAAGTAAATTAAACTAAACACGAAGGGAGCAGAAAAAAGAAACAAGGTTGCTTCCAATTTAAGATTTTCTGAAATTAATATTTTGTTACTATATTTCCATATACTATATAACATTGCCCTACATTTTTGGAAATATATTGTTTTGCACATATTTTTTGCCTGTCACACTATTATATTCTTTTGTATTTTTTTTTTTCATTGAATACACGGTCAAATTAATTAATTTCGGCAGAACAAAGGGATAAAATAGTCAATAAATATAGGGAGGGATAAGTTAATTTTAGTAAAGTACAATGATAATAGTAATTTGTTGATAAAAAATATAAAAAATTGACAAAAAAATATAACAGCGTAACAAAAACAAAAGAAAGACAATGTAGGAGCAGTGTTATATATTATGGCAAAATGTACAGGGACAAAATCATAAACTTTTCTTTTATTTTTTTATTTTTTTCCAACCAAACACACTAAAAATTACAAGCACATACATTCACAACATCAAGTAGTGGTACTGTGTCTAGTATGATAAGAGTAATTCCATGCATTTAAATGAAACAGCCCTGGCAAAATACCAGCCAATTTGCTAATCTGATATAATATATGACAAAGATTCTCATCTTCTTTGTTTACATCATAACATGAGATTAATCTGTTAGCCTCTCTAGTTAGCTTCAACTGTACACAAATACATAACATTGATACATACAACAATAGGAAAAGAATATTGAGAACTAGTTTCCTCTTTGTGAGTGGAGGCTAGATTACAGACTAAGCAGGACACAATCTACATTAATGGCATCCATTGCCCTCAGCTTCCATTCACCAATTATAATTAGTGTTTCTCATTCTTCATTGTGTATTTATTTATCATTTTTGTTTTTTCTCAGCTCCAGCAGTGCTGTTGTTATCTGCTGTTGCAGCAACTGCCAATTCCATTAACCTTTCATAGTCTATTTCTGTTGATTTGTACTTCAGCATGATCCCTCCTTGAGTCCAAGACCTAATACAAAGAATAGCTTGTGTGCTATCATGTGGCATAGAGAACCGTTGCTTATCGATTTCATCCCCTTTACTGCAAAAATGTTCTTCAGGTGCTACTGAAGTTGGCTGCACTGCTAAAAAATCCCGAGCCATCACAGATAGCCGGGGGTAGCGTGAACTGTTGACTTTCCACCACTCCAGAACATCTGTTGGTATTGGAGCAGGAGGCTCTGATAGATATTGAGTGAGCTCATCAGTGGCATTGCTCAAGGTTGCCCGTCGTTTTTTTCGAGCAATTTCCTCTGCAAAAGAAACACTGCCTCCATCTTCTGTCTCTTGAGCACCATACCCACTTGCCATGGATGGAAAATGACTTGATGAGTAATTCCTTATAAAATGGTTTCTGGCTTCTTCTAGATAATTCCCTGTGCTAAGACTCTCGGGGATGAGCTCGCTTTTTATTCGGGGATCAAGAATTGCAGTCATGAAGGTGAATATGTTGCAAACCTGACTGTTATAACTCCTGGCCTTCTTAGCCATTTCTTCTGCAGCATTTTTAAGCCAATCTGGACTGTGACGGCACTCTCTGCATATTGTAATCATCTCCGAAATATGATCCATGAAGAAAAGAACCAATCCAATGGTAAGTAACTTGCTTGTGCAAATATTATTTGTGGTTTTGTAGAAAGGCTCCAAATATCCATGCACAATACTAACTGCATTCTTTTCTGTAGAGCTCAGCAGCATCCTGCTACCTAATGTCTCCTCATACTTCCTTATAACACCATCCATAGCCTTACCAGCCTGCATTGTGAATAAGTTCCCAATTCAATATCACCAAACCAATGGCACTAATCCCAAAGTGTGTGTCAGTGAGCGGGTGGTTGTGTATGTGTGTGAGCGTGAATGAGTGCAAGTAATTTCTTATATCTTATGCCAAAGATCTCAGATGAAAGAGCAACTACCTTGCGCACAAGATCCAGCATTTGGTAATTACCACTCCATCGTGCTGAAGTTTCAAGTGGAAATTTCCAACTGCCTTCCTGAAAAGCTGTAGCTAATTGAGTAAAATCATCTGCCATCTCTGTGGACGAATTTAACTCTAGCACAAACTCCCTAATCTTGGAGATAACTGGTTTTGTGGTTCTTAATCCATCATCTATAATCAAATTCAAAGCACGAGCAGCACAAGGAATGTAACAAAATGGTCCTGCTTTCTGACCATCTAAATCCTCTTTCAGGGTGTGGCAAGCATGAATTGCATTCTGACTGTTATCATGGGTGCAAGAAAGGATTCTATTCTCTAAATTATACATCTTAAGAACCTTCGATAGAGAATGATAGATCTCAGAACCCCCAAAAGGGTAAGGTATATGACAAATGTCAAGAAGGACTTTTCGAAAAGACCAATTTTCATCTATCCATTGGCATGTGACGCTCATATAGAAGATTTGCTCATACGAGGTCCAAAAATCCAAAACAATTGAAACCTTAGAAGAAACCTGTTCCAAAGATGCCCGCACATCTTCCTGCATGCTCCTAAAAACTTCACGAAATACTGCTTTGTACTTGTCACCTGACCAGAGTTGTATCGATGGGTTCAGAAATTTAAATGAGTTTGCCAACCACTTCTCCTCCAGGGTTGAAGGAGGAAGAGAAGCTAAGATGAGCCACTTAATGAGCAACCAATTCAGATGATCATAATCCACCTGTGCTTTCCCTTGAGGTTGAGTTTTCTTGACCACAGTAATCGGTTGTGGTGCTGAACTAGTAATGGAATCTCCAGACTTATCATATCCTGGATGCCGATTACTAAGGTGCCTTCCCAAATTGCCTTCACCGATAAAGAAGGATATTACAGTCATAAGAAAATTGCACTTATCATCATATCCATCTGAAAGTAATGCATGGAAAGGAAAAAGAAAGAGTAATCTGGAGAATCCAGTTTCCAACATAGCTACATTTATGCTGTGAAGGCAAGAAGCTCATGATGCATCACAAAAGCACTAGAATTTATGGGGCGGGACTAGTTCTTTTGTTTTTTCATGGGATAAAAGGGAAACAGGACAAGTACAAGAAATTAACCTGTGGCAGTTGCAATAGAATAGCTCTGACCACAAAACTTGCATCTCCGACTCTTTCCATCAGGAGCGGTCTCAAAATACTTGAGATAAACTGACGTCATTGTCTTCTTTCTTTTAGTTGGAACAACAGCATTTCCCTTCTCCGAAGAGCCAAGTCCAATATCTATTGGATCAACATTTTGAATGATTGCCATATCCATCACAGCTTTGGGTTCCATATCTAATCCAACAAGCAACAATGAAAGGTTTACACATAATATTACCTTAAAGAAATCGAATTAGACAAATGATTACATCAAATTCTGGAAGTCGAATATCCCCAATTCAATTTAAAATCCAAAACCATGTATTTGCAATTAGCAGAACACCATGAATCCATGGCAAAAAGATCAGTAGATTACTGATATTAAAATCAATACTAGAGCGAAACCTTTATTTATTAGTTGCATTGAAAATGAATAGCATTGATTTAAATGGTCAATCTACCAAGAAGAAAACTTGAAGTGAAATCCATATTCATAAATAACTCACTGAGAAAAAAAAAAGAGGGAGAATTTAGAGAAATGTACCTTTATAAGTTTTAAATGCGTTATTTACAGTCCAGTCCATTTGATTTGCAGCTCTCCCACTCACAGTTCCTGTCTATAATACATTTCTCGTTAGAAAAACAGCAAATTACAAAAAATTCATAACAAAAAATAAATTAACATCAGAAATCCAAAAGCATTAGCTATAAGCTCATACCACTCCAAAGTTCATAACAAAATAAAACCTTGATGACCCACTACTAGAACTCTTTCCCAATTCTAATAAGCAGAATCTACAAAATAGAGATGGGAAGGGTAAGTTTCAAATAAGAAGTAAAATTGGAGAAAAGTTGTAATTGGGTAGCAAATAAAAGTACAAACCATGTGATCATCGAATTGGTTCTTACTTCTTTCTTTCCCTCTCTCCCTTTCTGTCCAGTGATCGAGTGAAGAACAGAACAGAAGAAGCAAAAACCAACAAAACAACACTCAAACCAAACAGAAAGAAGAAGCTAAATAAAGAAAGAGAGAGAAAAAATGGAGGGAGATCGATTTGGCTACTTAGATCTAACTAAGCCGGATCTGAGCCGAGCAAATGACAAACAATAATATAAATTTATTAAAAAAAAAAGAACCCACAGAGAAAAAGATTAGCTTTTTCTAGTTTGCAGAGCCGCCACGCGACGCCTGTTTTGAGGGATCTATCTCTCTTTCGTTTTCTTGACGGCTTATTTTGACGCCATGTGAGTTTGAGACAGAAAAGGGAGAGAGAGGCTCGGCTGGTGAGACTGGGTAGAAGAGACATTCAACGAAGGAAACAGCAAACCAAAGACAACCAACTCGAGCTGAGTGGCTCGGAGCGAGTGACTCTAATTTCAATCACATAAATGTAATATTTTTAAAAAAAATTCAAAAGCTTGACTCAGGTTAAATTTTTGAGCCAGCTTTGTCTTAAAATTAATTTTTTATGAGAAATATTTTTTTTTCCTTTTAAAGTACGCCTGTTTGCTCGAGCTCTCATATCCATTGTTAAGAAAATTTCAAATATAAAATTTTAAAATTTTTCTATCTATTATTTTAGGATAGTTACTGTTTATTTTAAAGTCTAAACATATAGAACAAAAAAAAAAAAAGATATATAGTAAATATAGATAACTATAGTTTTTTTTTTTCTTTCTTATAATTGTTTTGTTGGGTAAAACGTAAATTTTTATTGATTATTAATTGTATGTTTAAAGGTCCACTTATTTCCAAACAAGAACTCGTGTGAAAATTATTTTCCTGATTTTAATATTTTGGATACTAACAAAAATTAGTCAATGAAAAATATCTTATTAATAAAAAAAATAAGACATATTTAAAGAAAATGACTTTTTAGTTTTAAAAGAGAAAAATAAATATTAACAAACCTATTATAACATTTTAAGTACATATTTTATAATTTATTAATTGTCGACGGTCACCGTGATCTTGTGAACGTGATTATTACAATTCTATAATTATGCTTTTTTTCCTCATAATTAACAGTAAATTTTTAAATGCATTGCTATGATTATAAATATTTTTATGAGTTGTTGATTTTTATATTTTTTAACTAATTTTTAATGTTCGAATCAAACAATGAAAAATGAATAATTTGAAAGATAATTTCCAGGAAATCATTATACTTTTCAATAATGAGTTATTTTTCGGACACAAGTAAAGCTCAAAATTTTTAACTAATCAATAAATACACGCATACTTATATATTGATTAGCCATTATATTTGTGTTAATTTTAGTATGAAATCATATTTTAACATTATAAAAATTATATTAAAGAAAAATTATAATCAGCAAGTACATAATTTGATCCTTAAACTTTATAAATAATATTTTATAGCCTTGAACTTTAAAATTAACATTATAGCATTTTGAAATTTTTATTTTGCAATAATCTCACACCTCGCCATATTAGTAAGAATAATTTTTAAGATTTTTAATTTTATATACAAAATATTGATTTATGTGGTTTGTACAACATTTAAAACAATAAATTTTCCATTTTTAATTATCCAATGAGTGTGTAATCGATATTAATTTTGCAAATTCAAGTTTTTAATAAATCAAATAAAATATTTAATAAATATAATTTTATAAATTGAAATATTTAATAAATTAAAGTAAAAATTGCTAAAGCTATAAAATATTTGGTGAAAAATACATTGGTAAATTTATGTATTAGCATAGGAAAAAGAAAAAAACGTACATTAATAAAAGGTAAGATTATATGTTCCAAATGGGCCGAGGCCAACCGGATCATACTACAACACAAATAAAACCCGATCCATGTTGACGCTGTTGGACCAACCGGTAAGGCGGTTTCTATCTGCCTGCCGATTGCATTTGCTATAAATTCTCATTCCATTCATCTTTCAAATCAGCTCCTCACCGGCACGTTATCGAAGGTAAAGTCTATTTTTTTTCATTAATCGGAATTTGTGTGCTAGGCTAGGGTTAACTTTTGGGTAAATCGCGGAAAATATACCTAGGATTAAATTTCCATGGTTAAATTGCTTTGAATACGTGCTTTTCCTTTTAATTGAACTTTGATTTGATTATGAATTATGCGAAAATTTTGAGTTTTTGGACCTTTCATTTCATAAAGATTGGGTCTTTATCTTTTAAGTTGTTTTGGGATATGAAGTTTTATTAAAGGGGCACAGCTGTTAGTGGTAACTGTAGCATTGATACATAATCTGAATATTTGCTTCCCTAATATGTTGATTAACTTTCCTGGTTAAAATTGATGACTCTTTGCTTTCTTTCTTTTATTTTTTATTTTTTTTTATGGTTTGAGAAATTAACTTACAATTCTTACTTGTGTGTTGTTTTTTAATTCTAGTTGCTTAATGTGAATGCCTAAATTTTCAGGTCAATTTTTTCTTGGCCATTGAGATGTTGGCCTTTACTGGAAATACTGTTGGAACCTTACCTCTAGCTGCACCAGGTATGTTTCTTAGTAGTCGAGATGTTAATAAAGTAATATACATTCAATTATTTGGATTTCCATTCAAATGTATGCTTGCGAGCTGGTTTGACGATAAAACTAAGTTTGGACAAGTTGATATGAATGTTCCGAATAGGTGCATAGCTATGAATATCTGCTTGATAGGGTCATTTTGGAGTTATGAAACTTCAACACAGTGCATCATCTCGTAAATGGAATTTCCTTGAGTTGAGCTGTATAAATGGTTTTTTTTTTTTTTTTAATGATTATTGCTTTTAGAACATAGAAAGTTGAAGAGGACTGGTTTCTCACCTTTATTATCACATCTCTCTCTCTCTCTCTCATGGAACTGTTGGTTAGGCCAACATATAGAAATATGTAATATTAATGTATGTGTTATTAATGTTTTGTAGAGACTAGCTGATTCAGTGCGGTTTCTGTTTTAATGTTTTGTAGAGACTTTATCTTCTTAGAATATTTTCTCTTTTACCAGAAGCTATCATTTCTATGCAAACTAGCTGGGAACTTCTATGACATGTAATTGTTAAGTTCTGAGTTAAGCATGAAATATGATGGTTACTCCATTTTTTAGGTGCTAATGTTCAAGTCAAGGTGCTCCCTGACAAACTACCATGATCTTGTTCTTAACATGTTTTTTTGTGCCAACTTTAAACTACTGTATGCAGTTGGAACAAGGACTGGTTGCGGTCATATTAAACAAACTGGCTGCAGTCTAATCGTCGTTGCTGCACAGTTTGGACGTTCTGATCCTCCAAATGGGTTTAATAAGCTTGTTTTATCAGCTCCAATTGGGCTTGGCAAGCAATTGCAACCTATTTATGGAAAGAAACATTTCAACAGAAAGCAATCTGCTTCTATTACATGTTATGCTGCAATGGTGAGATTATATACTCTGTATATATTCATGTCAAAATTGTTTCAGATTTATTTCTATCCATGTTCGCCACAAGTTGAACATAGGAATTTCTAGTTCTCTTTCATTAGCTTTGATATAATTGATACTTATGAAGGTTGTAGGTTTTACTCATTTCTCAGTAACCTGTGACATTTTGTGTAGGCTGTTTTATAGTCTCTTGTTAGCTTCTTGACCAGGAAAAAAAAAAAAAAAAAAAAAAAAAAAAAAAAAAAAAAAAAAAAAAAAAAAAAAAAAAAAAAAAAAAAAAAAAAAAAAAAAAAAAAAAAAAAAAAAAAAAAAAAAAAAAAGAAAAAAAAAAAAAAAAAAAAAAAAAAAAAAAAAAAAAAAAAAAAAAAGAAGAGAAAAAAAAAAAAAAAAAAAAAAAAAAAGAAAAAAAAAAAAAAAAAAAAAGAAAAAAAAAAAAAAAAAAAAAAAAAAAAAAAAAAAAAAAAAAAAAAAAAAAAAAGAAAAGACACAGCTATGCTCTGAGATCTTCCTAAAGCAAGAATATTTCACATTTTAATTGTTTGTCTTTGTGAATTTTTGTTCTTCATGCGTTGACATGGCTATCTAAGTTGCTTTAGTTTGTTACATTTATAAGTTTGACCACTAAAATGGAAATCTGTAATTTCCACGATGCTGAAGGCCAAGTAATGAATCTCTTGCCCATCCAATATGTCAAGATTTTCAGGCAATCGTGATGTTCTTTCATGTTCTCAGTTCGATGAGATAAACTTTGCCAAGACAGTGATACTATGATAAACAACCAAAAGAAAAGGACAATTGCTCATTTTAGAATTCGATGAGATAAAACTATGACAGGACAGTGATACTATGATAAACAACCAAAAGAAAAGGATAGTTGCTCATTTTAGAAAAAGCCAGGAGATTACAATATTACAAAGCATAAGACACTTCTAACTTCTATGGTATATTCCTTTCCTTTATATGTTCTAAAGATGTTTAACAAAGTGTTCCAAGGTTTTTAACTCTCTTTGCATCTCCTCTTTCCTGCAGAATGCAAGATGTTCTGCGTCGGGGCAAACTCAAACCGTTACCCGTGAGGCTCCAACAATTACTAAGGCTCCTGTACGAGGTAATTGCTTATATTATTAAGCTAACAAATTGCATGGTGTATCATGGAAAATTTTGCGCCTTGGTGGAGCTGAACCCCTGGCTCCTGCATCTGCCATATATTGTGGTAAAGTTGATTTTATAATAGACTTGAGAATTCCTGTGTGTGTCATAGATGACATGCTGTCAAATTGATATAGCATCATTCCAAGCTGGAACTGCTTGCTGAAGCCATGTGCTGTAGGTCATGTTGTGGGTTAAACTAACAACAATAACAGCTGTTGTATGAGCACTAGACATGCATATGAAACTCAGTTGTTAACTTGCATGTTGTGGCATGGGCAACCTTATGCCTAGCTGGAGCTTTGCCTCCAATTATCTGTGGTTAAGACGGCAAGCTTAGGTTTAGCAAAGCGCTATTTGCTTTCATTTGGCCGTCCTGCATCCATTTCTTCAGTTGGTGTGGGTTTTATTTGGATTATGCGGATAATTGCTAAAGTATCAATATCCTGTAAAAAGTTTTCCCATATTTATCTTCCATTTCCTTTTATTCTTCCGGGCATGATAAAATTTAGTAAGTATCATGGCCTAAGATCAAATCCTTGAGTTAGGAAACTCCCTTACATGCAAGGATGGTGCAGTGGGAACCTTATGTTGTTTGAAATTTTTATTTTCAGAAATGCATATTAAATACGATTATAATTCTTTTTTCCAGTTCTGCAGAAACTTTGCGTATCATATAACCGATTTTATATGTTATAAATTTATGTCTTTTTTATGATTGCTTACAATGGTCTGCATTTCAGAACCAACCAAGACACCAAAACTTGACGATGGCGGACCTGGACTTCCACCCCGTGATGATGGTGGTGGTGGAGGTGGCGGGGGAGGTGGGGGAGGGAACTGGTCGGGTGGATTCTTCCTTTTTGGTTTTCTTGCATTTCTAGGCTTCTTAAAAGATAAAGAGAGTGAGGAGGACTATCGGGACAGCAGGAGGAGATAAAAAGTAAAGGATTTGAAATTTTTTGGCCGATTTGATTCTCATCTTATGGTGTATGCGGATAATTGCTAAAGTATCAATATCCTGTAAAAAGTTTTCCCATATTTATCTTCCATTTCCTTTTATTCTTCCGGGCATGATAAAATTTAGTAAGTATCATGGCCTAAGATCAAATCCTTGAGTTAGGAAACTCCCTTACATGCAAGGATGGTGCAGTGGGAACCTTATGTTGTTTGAAATTTTTATTTTCAGAAATGCATATTAAATACGATTATAATTCTTTTTTCCAGTTCTGCAGAAACTTTGCGTATCATATAACCGATTTTATATGTTATAAATTTATGTCTTTTTTATGATTGCTTACAATGGTCTGCATTTCAGAACCAACCAAGACACCAAAACTTGACGATGGCGGACCTGGACTTCCACCCCGTGATGATGGTGGTGGTGGAGGTGGCGGGGGAGGTGGGGGAGGGAACTGGTCGGGTGGATTCTTCCTTTTTGGTTTTCTTGCATTTCTAGGCTTCTTAAAAGATAAAGAGAGTGAGGAGGACTATCGGGACAGCAGGAGGAGATAAAAAGTAAAGGATTTGAAATTTTTTGGCCGATTTGATTCTCATCTTATGGTGTATTCTTTTTTAACTTGAATTAGATAAACTAAGATAATCTTGTTTTCCTTTTGTGCTTCACTAAATCGCAGCTAAAAATATCAGCAGTCTCTTCATCAAGCATGTGTTCCAGTAACCATGAATCTTGATTTAATTTTGCCGACCCTATTTGGCTGAACAATTTTCTTCTTGCAAGTATGGTTTTCAGTTCCTGAGACTCAGTTTGATTGTAAGCTTAACACACATGATTATAATGTAGCTCGATTTTTTCTGTCATTTATGCTCATTACAGATTCTATTGACCGTGTTTACCAAATCCCTCTTCTGAGGATAAGAAAATGATGATTGAATGCTGTGAAAAATCGAAGGTTGGTTAAAATCTTCCACAAATCAGGAGTTTATAAGCAGTAGTAGTTACATGTCAATTTCACTATTCATTTGTGTATTGAGTTTAGATGTGTGAGACGAACTAAAGAGCTAAAGATCTAACGTCGGAAAATTATTAAGTAGGACAGCAGTGTACTTATTCCACGCGTTGAGATGAGTCTTCTCGTGTTGGGTTCACCGGCGGACCTTCATTGGCGGATTTTAATCTCCCCAATCTGTTGGGGATGGGTTGGGCGGGCTGCGGCCGGGGGGACATAGAGAGCATGCTTTTGTCTTACTTGATAATTTCTCCCGGATTCCAAGCTGTGGCCAAAAATTGCTTTAGCTAAAATCAATTAGAGCTGTGCATATGTAAACTGAAATGCTATAGCTATATTCTCAGGAGCCAGTCTTCTTCCTCCTGGGCTTCCTCCATCTCCATATTACTGCAGAGGGATCTGGCCATATTTTATATGGAACTTTTGGTGGAGGAATATTAGGTACCCTGCAAAAAATCCTCAAGCTTCAAGTGTTGCTTATTGTACAAATTGCCTAAGCATTACATAATATTAATTATTTAAATGTTAGGTTTAATAACAAATAAAAATATTAAAATAAAATGAAGCATTAGATAAGACTTAATATAAAATTGTGAGCTTTATCATTCTCTGTCTTTGCTTACTGAATGACCAAAATACACCCTTAAAAGGATGTCCTTGTTGTCTTTGTGGGGCAGATAAATAATATAGGTTGATTGGCTTTTGTATGTTGGTCATCCATATATGGAAATTTTTAAGTAATAAGGAGCAGGTAAATAATACAATAGATTGGTAGAAGAAATTGATAAGAAACTTACTCTAATCTGGCAATTTCAATTTGTGAAAAGTCCATGTTAGTTGAACTGTCTACTATTATTGTTGGTGTTCCCTTGGTCCTCAATGGTGGCATTGCAGCTGGTTGTTTGATGGCTAATACTTTGCAACTGAAGTTGTTTGCAGCATTATTATGGGCCATTGCCCACCTATACATCAAGGGGAGAAAAAACAACTGTTTTGAGTTCTTTCCTTAGCTTCTATAATACAAAATGCAATATATATAGCATTTGGGGTGAGAGAATTTGAATCCAATCCTAAGAGTAATATGCCTAAAGAAGCTAAAAAAATTTTGGAAGGTGATGTTCTGGAATTGATCTCCATATTTAAAGTAGGCTCCTCATCTCTCACATAATTATAATCTTCAAATGAGAATAGAGTACTTTGGATTTAAACTCTCAATCTTATTTTAATACTACGAGCCCATACTAACAAAAGGTATACGTCATATTTCATTGTAAAACTATAACAATTTTGTAAACATATATTGATCCATACAATTCGAACAGAAATAGTTTTCGCATTTGACATAAAATTTCAGGAACATGCCATTTTTCAGTAACCATGAATGGAAGATTCACACGTTAATTGCTGGATTATTATTCTAAATTTTGTTATAGTCGTTGTAAGCGAAATTTATAGGATTTTATATCTTTTGCAAGAAGAGGGAAGCTTCTTGTGTCAAGTGGTTTATGTTAAAAAACTGAAAGAGTAGTGGCAGTTTCAGAGTCATTATTTTCAGCAACCAAAACTGACAAATGATATACGGACCATTCCCCAGGTGGATCCCAAAAGCTTTTTGGCATTTTCTCTACAATGAACATGTCACGTGCTGTCGCTATGGTGCTTTATGGCCAATGTTTCTAAGTGCTCAGGCCATTAGCTGTTAGACTAATATCAACTTGACAACAACTGCTTCTAAGGCTAGGTAAACTGCTACTAGAGAAAATCCTCTACCCTCCTGCAACTACAACATTTCACTTGGGAATTTAATCAAACACCGTGTGCATGATCCAGTTGACCAATTCCTTGTTGATATATGTGTATAATCTCCTTAACCCTTACTTAATTACACAATTCCCTATCATCAATTCTTATCTCCCCAAACTAGACATGAAATTCGAATACCTCCATTCATCAACAGTTAATTAGTGGGGTGAAATTAGCTTGGAATTATTAAGCCTCCATACAAAGTAAGACTGAAGTAAAGACAATTTGTGCTTTAGCCCAGTTGTGAAGATAAGACTATTTAAGAGTTCTGTTACAGCATTAGATTTGAACCTCATCAATGTAAAATATTTCTTGCTAAGTACTAAAAAAAGTGAGGCATAAATAAATAACAAAAATTGAATTTACATAATTAGATTTGAAAATTTAACATTATACACATATAGCAGAATTAAAAACAAACAAAAACAAAAAGGAAAAGGAAAAGGCTTACCTGTATAGAAAGCTCTGATCATGGAGTCCAACTACAAGAGCAAAAGCACCAATCTCTCTCACCATAGCTGCAATTCTCCCACCTTCTTGATCCCCTTCTGTTACAATAATTTCAATATTTGTCTGTGAAACAAACAATTAAATGATCATATGTTTCTGCCCAATAAATTGTTTTTAAAGAATGAAATAAGTATAATGTAGAATTGATAGTAATAAAATAATCAATATAAGATTACATTAAAGAAGGTGTTACATATTTCTTTGAAAGAAAGAGCTAACTGGTAGCCTTGCAGGCGCAGCAGTCTTATCTTCTTTCTGTTCCTTGACTTTGAAGGAGAAAAGACATGAAGAAGAGTTATCAAATCACCAAAGCGAAGAAGGTTATGAAGAGCCCATTCAAGTGCTGTTCTTGCTGCCTCCACATCTTCAACTACAACCACTATTTTCCTTCCATCCATTTCTTGATCCCTCTGTCTTGATAGCCTAAGCTACTCTTGAAAACTCATGTTACCTGAGTCATGTCCCTCTGTCCTCTCTCTTTTTATCTATCTATCTATTTGACTATTTCTTTATACATATTTATATTGCTTAAGAGCTTATACAAATTTTAATTACTTGTTAGGTTATGAGATGTGTCTGCTTTGGTATCTTCACGTGCATGGGACCTTTTGGTTTGGGTTTGGCCTGTGTGAAACAATTAGAACACTTTTGCTTAATCAAAGGTTTGTCATCAGAATTTTTTTTTTTTTTTTTTTTAAGAAAATATATTAGAAATTTTTAGAAGAGGAACAGTAATCAAAATTTTAATATCTTATAGATTGGGCATTTTGTAATTATTAAATTACTAATTTAATCAATGTTCATTTTAATTAGTTAATATTTCAAATTTGATTAATAAGAATAGTAATATATTTTTTTGATAAAAATGCAAATTAAATATAAATATATTAGGAAAATGTAAAAGTTATTCTCTTTTAAAAAGAGAAATAAGAATATAATTTAGACATGCAAAAAAATGAAAATGAACCTGTTTTTTTAAACAGAGAAAATATTTCATAAAAAATAAATACAGACCATTGTAAGATTTGATTCAACATTCACTTTTCATTTTAAGCAATACTCTCTCTTTTATATTAATCACCAAGTTTTTATTTTTTTTAAATAGATATTTATCACAAAATTAAGAAATCTTGAAAATGAACTTTGCATGAAAATCTAAATATATAGTTGAAATTTAATAGGACATGACTCCATCATCTTTTTATGAAAGTGTATGTGTACATATACATCCTTAATTTAATATATGTATTAAAAATTTATTATTTTTTGAAAATATGTAATTAAAATTTATTAAGGTATCATGGAAGCAGAATAATCAAATTCACTGGAAATAAAATTTTGTTTTAATGGTAATTTGTGTATTAGAAGATGATAATATAATATAATTAGTATGCAATGCAATAGACGTGAAAGGAAGTCAACTCTGCGGGTTTAAGGTATAAAAATGCACCTGATGAGCGCCACGTGTTTAGCTTCTGGGGGCTCATAACCGTCCGATCGCTTACGGCATATGCTGAGACCGCTACATCAGCTGACAAGGAAATTAGCCTACGTGTACGGTTAATAATTCGCTACTTAAAATAATCGATATTGATCAGTGATTCAGTGCTTTGCTGTGTCATTACAATTACTTTAGTTCCTCTTGTGACGAGAGAAAAGAGGCTTTGTCGTCAGTTCTGGTCTTTGCGTCGTTGCATACTTCTGTTTGTCGTTTATGCTTCATAGGACATTTTTTAAGGAATTTTTTACGAGATGTTTGTTAAGATGCAAAGCTGAGCTAGTTAATTTATACCATATCTTATGTTGAATGATGTAATAATCTAAAATGTGATTTGATTTTGATTTGCTTATAAATGAAAGTTTGTCGTTTCCCCATTGGTCAAGTTCTTGAATATTGGTTTGGATTCAATATCATCTAAAAAATGTTACTTCAAATAAACAAATAGCAATTCTCTATTTGTGAAGATAAGATTTTATCTATAATTATCAACCTCTTAGTTCTTTTAATGTAATATTTAATTTAAAATTTATATTCATTCCCCTTAATGGGTTGTATTGCCTTTTATAGACTTTCAAGTTGTTGTAACTGCATGGCATAGAAAATTCTTTTTATATAATATCAAATGGCAAAAAAATAAAAAATAATAAAAAAAAAACCCAAATCAAATCCTTTTACTTGCTTTTTCTTTTATTAATTCCAGCCACTTTTTAGTGTTAAATTATTGCTTTCTGCTATTGTCATATGCATTTGAACTTTCTCATACAAAATTCAAAAGATTGTGTTTGAAGGATTTGTACAAATCAAATCAGTAACAGAGTTCATAAAAATTTAAACCCAACCAAATCATCTAGTATTTTAAACCAACCAACCAAACCAATAAATACAGTTTGATTGGATTTCAATTTGACTAGATAAACAGTTTCTGAATTATTAATAAAAAGAAAATAGTAAAAAAAACTTAACATTAATAAATTCTTTATGAATAAAAAAAGACACTAGTCAACTTTATAATATTCATGATATATATAAAAAACCTAAACATGAAAAATCAAATTATTTAACATAACATATGACTTATTAAATAGAAAAATAATTTGATTAATCTAAATTGAAAAGTGCCACCATTAACTTCACAATTTACTACTAAACAATGGTTGAAAAATAATAGCAAATCAAAAATTATTTTTCCAAAAGCTCTTTCTTATCCATGAACGAGTCACGTTGAATCACAAGGCAAAGTAATAAAGCCAAGTAAAACTTTTTGCCTATATTGGCAACAGGCAGTACTTTCTGTTTCTATTGTCACTTCTAGCTTGAAACAAGTTAAAGAAATAATTACAAACGAAAATATTGCTTTTTATCTTAAATAAATACTCAGATCATTTCCCATTTCGCACCTAATAATAGCCAACACCTTTAGATGGAAATGCACCGGCTTTCTGATCATCACCGCCTTTTCCCAAAAAGACCACGCGACCTGGAAAGTTCACAATACAAAGTTGACATGGCTAGTTAATTTAATAACAGCTAGCATTTTAACTGAAAAATGATTCCTTTCTGAAGGGGAAAAGTTTGCTATCTAAGAGAATCGTGTAAGGAAACTGTGAGATCAACCATTTCCTAATGTTGATTCAAAGTCAATTAATCATAAATTAAGAATTACACAAACAATAGCAAAAGAAAACAAGGCCACCAAAATGCCAAAACACAAGACTAAATGCAAAAATTATTTTGCAGAGTTAAAATGAAAATCATGAGGAAGAAGACTCTGCAAAAGAATACAACTACTGTTCTTGAGAAAAATAAACAATGTATAAGAATTTTAGATTTAATTGAGTGGAAAGTAAGATAATATGTGTGCTCATGGAATTTATCATCAATATGGAAATGAATATTAAAAATCAATATTAAGAAGACAGGGAAAAGAAATTCTCATTATGAAGCAGCAATCCCATCAAAATACTAGGTTCACCACTAGTTTTCAAAGTAACATGATAAAAATATAAAAGAAAGCTTGTCCTTCTTAGTATAGAAGTATCTTCATCTTTAAACATGAATCCTTCATGGAAGTCCTAGTTCCTCAAGGCAACAGTTGGAAACAACAGCAAAAACAAATAAAAAAAGCATATATCAAGTCAAATAATTTCCTTCCATCACTGAGCAATTTAAATAAAGGGGGAACAAATGAACACACCCTTTTGACGAATAGCAATCTCCCTTATGCGCCGGACAATGCCAGTTACTGGATCAGTGAAGACTTTGGACTCCAGATTCCCCTCTAGATATAGAATTGAACTGTAACCAAAAAATTAAAACAATTCCATTCAAATGAGGATTGATGTGATCAACATAAAAATTATCACTGGACAAAAGTCAAAGTACAATGTCAAGACAATGTGAAAACCAACAGGAGAAATCATCATTCCACACCTATCATGTGCCCCAATAGTAGAAACTTGGTTAGACATTTGTCTGAGAACAAACAACTTATGAAACATGTTTAGGAGATGGATACCTTTTGATGGAAAATGCTGAAGTAAATTAGGAAATGTCACAGGGATTAAAAGAGTTGCTTCGCACCATCCATCATACAGTGTCTCAATCAACGAATAGATCGTGAAACCCCATAAAAGTAAAAATTAAACAAAAGCCACCATGATAACTTAGTCATCTGCAATAATTCATTGAGTTTATGCAGGTTCCCCAAAGAAATACTTAAATCAGAACCATAATTCTACTATAGACCATGTAATTATCTATACCCAGAAAACCAGAGAGAGAGAGAAAAAAAAAAAATAGATGGGCCTTTAAAGACAAGATTGAATGGCTCAAATGTGCTCCACTGAGACCAAGTACAAATTAAGACGGTTGCAAGATAAAGAAAAATGATTGATGGCATTAGTTTTTTGGACACAAGTGAAAGTACAAAAAAAAAGGTCAAAACACATTTGGCCTTTGAGATCACTAGTTTACAGACACTAACACAATTCAGACATATCACCACTATAGTAGAAGCTGCATCTATGATGAAAATTGATAATCATTTAAAATTCAATCCAAACTTTAGTTTGAACTTTAAGTCTAATGCATGAAGATGTCTTCAGCTGCCTTTTGGCATGTCAACATGCTCAGCTTCATGCAAATCAAACAAGCAAATCAAAGATAAGCTATTTGTCATAAAAAAATCAATGAACAAAATATCAAATCTAAATTCTACAGAAATTTGCTTTGAAAATAAAACAAAAAACTAAAAGATTCTAATTTCACACTTTAATTCCCACCTTTTGTTTTAGTTGTCTGTATCACCCTCTATCTGTGTAAACATGAATAATACAACGCCAGTATTCCTAGTAGCAGTGGAACTGCTTGATCATATTGCTTTTTCTAGAAGCACAAGTCCACTAGTTCATATCTAACAAAGTAGGATCCAAAAGGGCATTATTCCTCAAATGACAGAAAATGAAATCGAAGGCATAAAACCACATTTAATGCAATAAGTTTTCAAACAGCTGATCATACAATTACAAAGATCTAGAACTCACACCATCATAGAAGTCCAGAACCAATAAACTCAAACTGCAGGTCATGCAATTTCTAAGCTTCAAATTACCACAACACCAAGATCCATTTAACAAAAACACACCCAAAGTGGACAAAATAGTGGAATAACCCTTTTTATTCATTACAGATGTTCATTGCAAGCTGCTGTATTGATAGAATGAAACACCAATTTGCACAATACGAATGGCTCCACCAATCCTAAATATCAGCAGAACAATATATTGCAATGTAAAACTTCAAGTTACATGCATGATAGTCTATCACAATATATAACAACTCTGTTTAAATGTTTAGTAATTCAAATGATTTCTGAAATGCCAGAATAGATAACTTGTCAGTATTCACAAACAGAATGAGAATTGTGTATTTATTTGTCCAACCAATGATTCTATCATAGGAAAATAAAGTATCAATCACTTAAAAATCTTACCCTGGTACAACATTCTTCATAACAACACTCCCCAGTCTTTCTGGGTAAACTGAAACCCGGTGCCACTGAACAGCCGACCTATTTGCATACTCCCCTGGCTCCTCATTCGGTAATGGTCTTCTATTATTGCGTATCCCACCTGTACCCACGGAGAGCAATGTCACGGTCTTCCCACTCTTTAACCTCTTCTGGAATGGATTCTGCCCCACCTGCCCCACTATTATTGCCTAGAAACTCGAACACAGAACCCACCAATCAAAAACCCTAAAGGTGACATTTATAGAAAGCTCTTAGCACATTTAGGTCACTGAAAAAGCAAAATAAAACTTTTGTTCAATTATTTACATCCATTACATATACACTAGATTTTGCCACAAAAATTTAACAAACCCGGAAATCAAAGATAGGAACTTTATTTGCAGAACAGAAAAATACTAATCAGAAACAACAAAACAATAAATAGTAGGGTAATTTATTTATTTGACATTAGTATTGGAAGTGAAATTATAGCACCTTGTAAACGCCCACATCGAGGCCATTTTCAAGCGGGCGTTGAAAGAACACGCGTTCCTCGCTCGATCCTTGAGAAGCTGCTGCTGCTTCTGTTGTTGTTGAGGATGATTGTGGAGTTGCGGTTGGTACTGAGTCGATGTCCCAGTTGATATCCGAATCTTCTGAGCCGTAATTTTCACGAGAGGACATATTGTCTGTGCAAAAGGGCATAGAAAACTGAGAAATTTTAGGATTAGAGAGAAAAGAACGAGAGAGCCTGCGTGACAGAGCAGCCATTGAATTAGCCATTTCTTTTAACGAAAGCTTACAATTTCAAAGATTTTGTGTTTTAGGGCTTAAAGCCTTAAACCCTACTGAAACGGTTTGTTGATAGAAGCTTTTTTTTTTTTTTTTTTTTTTATAGGAGTCAAAGGCGAGTGATGTGCCGTCAGTAGGATGGTGTGAACAGAGAAAATGAAGAATCGAGGGGCAAGAACCGACAGGTGTTCAAGGGCAGACTAAGTGTTCGCAAATGCAGGGGCGCTGATCATTACAGGGATTACAAAGAGTCTAGAAGTGGCGTCGACACCCATCATAGGAATGATCCGAGAAACCCTAAGAAAACTCCAAACTGGGCAGGTCATGCAGATTTCTAAGCTTCCAACATTGACCACAACACCAAAATCCATTTTAACAAAAAGGCCAACACGGCCAAAGTGGACGGAAAATAGGTAGTGAATGAGGCCCGTTGTTTATGGTGCAGTCGTTACAAGATGTTCAGTTGGCAAGGCTTGCTGTAGTTGAGGTAGGAATGGAAAGCACCGAATTGGCACAATGTAGCGGAAGATGGCTCAGCCAGATCCCTAAAAGATCGAGCAGGTGAACCAGGAATTAGGGGTGATGTGGGGCAGATTGTAAAAGACTGTCAGAGATGTACGGATGGGAGTGGATAGTCTATGGCAGCCAATGTAGATAACAGACTGCTGTATAGAAGTGTTGGTAGTAGAGTCGAAGAGGATGATGGGTTGCTGAGGAATCCGCGAAAGGTGAGATAAACGTGTGGTTCAGTATGCAGCGCAAGAAAGCAGGAGGATAGGAGGAGTTGGTGGTGATTTATTTGTGCCAGACCAATGACTTGGCTATCATAGGAATAATAAGAGGGGATCCAACACTTAAAAATGCTTACGCCCTGGTTACAAGCGATTCGTTCATAACAAGCACGTCCGGCCAGGTCTGTGTCTGGGGTTAAACTGGGGGGGGAAATGGCGCGCGGGGGGCGCAGCTGAGGACGAGGGGGGCCGACGCGTGATGTTGCAGTTACTGGCCCCTTGCTCCTGCATTCGGGGGTAATGGTCTGTCTAGTGGTATGCTATCCCACCTGTAGACCTCGACGGGGAGGCCGAGATGTCAGCGGGGTCTGGTGCCGACTCTAACCTGCTTGGCTTGGGAGATGGATCTGCGGCCCAGCCTGCCCACTACTTATTGGTCGCTAGAAGAGCTCGAGACGTACATAAGCGCCACCAGGGGAGTCTAAAGACCCTACGAAGGGGGTGTGAGATGTAGTAGAAGAGCTGGCTTATGGCAGCATTTAGGGCGCAGCTGATGAAAAAGCGGGAAAGATAGAGAGACGGGTTTGTTGCAATTAGGTGTTACATCCATTACGGTATACACTAGGATGGTGTTGGCCGCACTAAAAGATTTAGAGCCCAAACCCGAAGAGTCAGAAATAGGAGGGACTGTATGTCGCATGAGAGGCATGAGAGATAAATACTAATCAAGTAGAACAGGAGCGAAAACAATTATAAATAGTAGGGGGGTAAGTTTATTGTAGTTTTGGCACAGTTAGTATGTGAAGTAGATTAAAGGGGTGGCGGTGGGGGGTAATAGCACCTTGTAAGAACGGCGGCGCTCACAGTCGAGGCCATTTGGTCAAGCTGGGCTTGGAAAAGAAGCACGGCTGTGTCCTCGGTCTCGATCCCTTGTAGTGGAAGCTGCTGCTGCTCTGGTTGTTGTGGGTGAGGGATGAGGGGTGTGCTGGGGAGGTTGGGGGCGTGTGTACTGAGCCGTAGGGGGTGGGTCGCCAATTGATTATCCGAAATCTTGGTCTGGAGGACCTTAAGGGTTTCACGAAGTAGAGGGCCATATTGTTCGTGTGCAAGAAGTGGGTGGCCATGAGGAATAACTGAGACAATTTTAGGGAGTTAGAGGAGAGAGAAAAGACGGAGGGAGAAGCCTGGCGGCGGGACAGACAGCCATATTGAGATTAGCCAGGGTGCTTTAACGCAAAGAGCTTACAATTTCGGAAAGATTTGTGGTTTTAGGGGGGTCTAGAACGGCTTAAGACGCCTGAGCGGAAGACGTTTGTGATGAGAAGCTTTTTTTTTGTTTTTTTGTTGGTGGGGAGATTGGTTCTGTGATCAGTTGTGTCTTTGTGGCCAATAGAAAAATTTGGGGGGGGTATTTACCAAAAATGTGGATGAAGGGTGATAGTTGGACTGTAAGTGAAGTAGTGAGGGTTTTTGCGAGAGGGTGAGGTTACTGTCAGATTAGTTAGTGTGTCTCAGAGTGCAGATGGAGAATAGAGAGAGAGTCTGCGGTGAATTCCAATATGGGGGGAGTTTGAAGGCGTAAGTTCAGGGAGCGAGTATATTGATGTAGTTTTTTTTTTTTTTTTTTTTTGAATTTTTTATCAGTTTTCTTTTTCCAATAGAAAAGTTTTTATTTTACCAAAAATTATAATATATTTCTGAATAAGATATTTTTGCAATATACTTCAATTATTATTTCTCAAGCAGAAAATAAAGATCTCTAATTGCAATATTGGATTAACTAAGTCAGAGCATATTGATTTAGCACATTGTTTTAACAAATTAAATTAATTAAACAAATCTCAAAATTATTAAATAAAGAAGTTTTATACTTAAAAAAATTACTACATCTATTCTATAATACTTGTCACATTTGAAATTTTACATCTTTTAAAAAACCATTAAATTGGTCTAAATTACAATAAATTATTGAATAAATTGACTATATTACTCCTAATTTATTACTAATTCTCTAAAGAAAATCATTAAATTGAAGTAATAATTATTTGTGATATACAAAGGGTAAACATGAATTTGTTAATCCTTGAAACCACACATCTAATAAGTATTTTTAAATAAACTATTTTCTCAAACGTGATAAATATTATAAAACAGAGGTAGTAAATTGACCGTAAAAAATCTATTATTTTGGATATCTTGACTTGGATTCTTGTATTCTCTATGATATTTGTGAAACTTCTTATTTTAAAATATGTAGGCAGTTTTTTCCTTTGAACTTTGCTCCCTCTATATATGAAAAAATTATTTAAATTATAATTCACATCTTAATTATCATATTTTATTAAAAACAAAATTATTCCATTCTACAGAAAAATTTCTAGACATACTTTATTTGAAAATTTTTCTAATTCCAAAACAATAAAGTTTCAACTTTTTAAGCTTGATACATGATAAGTATATTTGTAAGGAATTGATTAACTGGTTAATTTCTTAATTAATTAATTAGTATAACATTTTTTTAGAATTTTCTTTTTGCAATCATACAATACTATATGGTTCTTCTTCTTCTTTTTTTTTTTTTTTTCAATCGAATAAAATGAAAATTTCTTTATTTATTAACTTAGGGTATTTTGTGTCCATTCAGAACATCTAAGGGATGTCCCACACAAGGCTATTCAGATAAATTGTATCCATTACATGCCATATAAAACCAATACTCTAAATTCTTATGGATGAATGTGCTTTGTGTCTTTCTTATCCTCAATTCCCAGAAAAAAAAAAAGTTTCATTCTCGAAACAGTGAGGAAACAAGAACAGAACACAAACACAGAAATGTTACAAAACCCAAAAATTCTGCAATCCTCTCTTAAATTCCATCCTTCAGAGTTCCAAAATATACCAAATTCCCAATCTTTTCCAATCAGCAAATTATCTCGCAGACAACTCACAATCTTCAGCAACTCATCATTGATTCTTTTGTTAAGCTCGCAGACTCTAGAACCACTAAACCTGTCAAGATCACGTGATGAAGAAAATTTAGCAGACACCACTAAAAATGATCAACAAGAAGCCCAGACAAGTAATAATAGTACAGATTGTTCCAACAAAAGCATAACGAAGCGAGCATTTCTCGATATATCCATCGATGGGGAACCTGCAGGCCGCATTATCATTGGGCTATATGGAGAGGATGCAGAAGCTGGAGCTGCTAGATTTGCTAATCTTGTAAGTGGAGCTGCTGGTATTAGCTATAGAAGAAAAGAGTTCGTTAAAATTATGCCAAATTATGTGCAACATGGTGGTGTTAGATCGTATGGTGTAGACGCAGAGCTAGCGAAAAGAACAGGAAGTGACTTAGAAGCTCAAACTCAAACTCTCACGGATGAATGGGAAAGACAGAATGAGATGTGTTCCTCCAGCGTTAAGAATTCAGTTGGAAGTGTTAGTATTGTTGTTAGAGATCCCTCAAAACCGCCTCCAAAGTTGAAGTTGATTGCAAGGAAAGGGAAGCTTGAGATTGATCAAGAAGAAGTCGGTACTGATCCGAATGGTACAGAGTTTGCTATTGCCATTAGGGATTCACCAGAGCTTGATGCCTCAAATCTTGTGATCGGAAAAGTACTGGAAGGAATGGCAGTTGCAGAGAGAATCCAACAAGTGAAGACAGTGCAAGAGAATACCAGTTCTCCTTACTTCAGGTAACCCATTATAGTGTAAATAAAAAATGGGTTTACGTCATAAACAATGATCTTATGCCATGCTTTTGGTGAGCAGAGTCGCCAAGCTCATAGGAGACAAGAGAGCAGTTGTTGCAGAAAGAGGCTTCAACAGGCCATATTCAAAGGTGATCATCACAAATTGTGGCTTGATGGAATAAAGCAAAATGCTTGATGAAACTCTTTCTTGATTTTTTTTTCTTTTTTTTTTTCATAATGGAAAGAGTACAATTTCAACAGACAAAATAAATTCCTATTGCTATTCCTGCCAAAATCTCAATAGTTTTCAAAAAATGCAAGCTGTCTCAGAAGCAATAGTTCTTATCATAATCTGTAGAGCACTAGGGCCGTGAAATTGCTAAATGATACAACAACCACCGTTGCTTGCATTGTCTTTGAATACATCATTGCATCTATAATATACAAAGGGGAGCAGTATCATAAAATACATGTTAACTGGGTGCATATTGACACCTGCAAAATTAATCAGCTGCACGCTTCAACTAGACCCGCTGGAGGGTTTCATCCTTTTGGCGGATGGAGACATAAAGAGCTTTCTTACTGAAGTGATCGGATCATCCACCTAGCAAATGTCGAATAGTAATATGTCAGAAGTCAGGGAACACAGGTGGTACAATACAAGTATTCTAACCAAAACAAGCTCCAAATATACTGTTTTAGTTGAAGTCATGGAATCTTGAAACCACCCATAAACTCCAACATCAAGGTCAACATTTCCATCACATGAACTACGTATTTATACATGTTCAAAGAGAAATATAACCACAAACTTGTAAGTGCCACTATGTTTAATTTCACGTGTTTCAAACACAACATAAGCTTCATGGTGGCATTTCCATTTTAATAGCATAATCCATCCAAGGGTTACGGAAATCATGGCACAAAATGTTACAGCAACCTTGCCTTCGGTGTGTCTAAAACATATTCTACTACAATATACCAACTTAATGTTTCATGAAAAACTGAACAAGATTCTCATACCTTGATGATGGAGGTGGATGGAGGAGATTTTGCAGGACTAGAATACTCTTTTTGTCGAAGTAAAGCAGATAGTGTTTGTTGCCAACCAGCTGCTCCACTACTTGTTGATACAATCCAGGGGCAAAAGTGTCTGTGCTGTCTGATTGGATCAAACTCCATTCCCTTGTCTGATATTTTCTTTCTCTCTTTTCCTGGAACATAAGAAGAAATACAGTTGATAAATTTCTGTTGTGGACAACCAACTCTCATGGAAAAAAAGGAAGATCAGCATTTCATCATCAACAGCAAAAGAAATGGAAAGAAAAAAGGTAATAGCTGGATTTAATTCTTCACGTTGGACTAAAAATATCCAAGCAAGCAAAAACAGTGAACAGTTCTACAGCTCTAAACAAGCCTTTTAGGCACTTCCCAATGCAAAAGAAATATAGATAAAGTTGCAAACATAAATAAACCATGTAAAAGTAAGTCCAAAGACCTAAGGTTGTGCTAGATAAAAGCCATCAACAAAACAAAGTTATCTAAGATATCTGCCACTCCTTTACAAAATATACTCTGTCAGCCAATTTGAATGGTGATATTGATAAAACACTGAGGTAAACGTTGCTGCAAAGAACTGGTTAGAACTGATCCAGTCATTTCAAATAGTGGGAAGTAAAAAAATGTCACTTGAAACTTCCTTCTTTCCTTTCAAATTTTAATCATCACTTAGTCTTTATTTATTAAGGAGAAAAAACTATACTATATATTCATGGTATGTAGTATTCATCCAAACCAATCCAGTTTCTCTAAGTTTGTCTGACTGACTTTGGTATTTCAAAACCAGGTGCAAGGAATAAAACTCAAAATAGTAAATCTATTACGTGAGGCTGGAACATCACAAACAAATTCCAAACCTCCTAAATTTTATTCAGAAAATAAAATTATAGAAAACTTTGTGTGAAGCATGCAGTTGTAAGAGAACTGTGGGTAACAACTTTTGATACTACAAGTGGATGCTAAATGGAGATGGTTAAATGCCAAAAGTAGAGTAAAATAGGCAATTACATGTAAATATGATAGAAATGCTTCAGAGTTTGAAAATAAAGGTTTTTCAAATATAGATACAATTACTTGAACTGTAAATATATGCATTTATCTCCAGATTTAGAATCTAGAGGAAAAAATCAGTTTGTCAAACTGAAAATACTTTTAAGTTCAGTTCCCAAATAAAAATTTAATACTAGATTTTCTTTCATCCTATGATGAGAAGAACAAGAAAGAAAAAGAACATGTAGTAATTGACCAGGACAAAATGCCTCTCTAACAGATTTTCACAGTAACTTCAAACTCATGGTTAAGGAGCAGGGAGACAAGGCATATGGTTGCTTACCTGTACTAGAGGCCACAGGTTCACTATTCACCAGATTCTGCATTCCATCTGTTTTGCCTTCTTGGCCTTTTGTCTGGTTGCTTAACATGTTTTGGATGTTAGAATGAGTTTCACATTTTCTTGGGTCTATCTCAGAAGCAATATCTTTGCCACATAAAATATCCATGACCAGATCCTGTTGATCATCAAAACTTTCTAAGGTAACCAAAGCTAATGAATCATTTCCATTATCCCCATTTCCAATGGTGACATTAGCACCTGGATCTGAAACAGGAGATATTCTAGCTTGGGAACTAGTTCCTGATGGCGAATCAAGGGACACGGCATTTTGTGCATTTTCAAGCAACCTATCACTTTGATCAAAACTTTGTGTTATCTCTTGTTTGCTCTCCATTGGGCATTCCATATTAGAATCATGCCCACCAGTTTTGAAACAATTTCCTTCGCCACCAATACCTGTTCCTTCCAACGGCACATCAGTGTCCAACTCCTTTCTGAGAGAACCTTTTTCGCCACTTTCAAGATTCAAACAAGAGGAGCATTGATCACCGCTTGCATAACTACATTGTCCCTGATCAGATATTTTGCTCTTTGACATTCCCACAGCTTCTGGGTCAGAAACTTCTTCACCCAATAGATCCTTATTTCCAGATCCAGGTTGAGGTTCTTGCCCACAAAACATACGATCTCTAAAACCAGAGTCATTAGAAAACCTGGACCTTAAATTCCGACCAATAACAGGCAAAGAAATTGTTGCTTTAAAGTTCTGCTTTGTTGGCGGTGGACCCCCAGCAATCGTTAAATTTAAAGTCGAAGGTCTGTCTACGAAAAATAATGTGCCATTAAAGGCAGAATTGACAATGGCTCCCCTATCATCTACTTGATTTTCATTGCCTGAATCTTGTCCACAATTCTTTTTACTATTAACTTCAGTGCATCCAACAAATCTAAACAACTCTATTGGCTGAGGAACTGTAGAAAATGCCCATAATCCCACACTAGCTCCACAAAGCTTGCAATCTAACACAATAGACTGTGGATCAGCCTGTAGCCCACTAAAACCATTGATATCTTCTGTTGCCTCCACATTTTCATTGGTAGCCGCAGAATAAAAACTGATGCTTGTATTGTGTCCATTAGTAACTATACGGGATGAATTCAAAATATCAGCATCCTCAGTAAGCTGCTTTGGTCTGTCCTTGCAGTCAACAACATAAGGCAGTGATCGGGGTTCCCAGCCACATAAACTTATAAGCTTGTGTGCCTGTAAATTTCTTCTCATTATTAACTTCCTGAAGGACTCTGAACAAAGAAACTAGCATTAACATGTTCAAAAGGACATATGAAACTGTCAATTATTACTAGTACCAGTCACATTGTTCGAATGATATGAAAAAAAAAAAAAAAAAGCTAAACTATGAAAAGTGATGCACAACATTTATAGCAAAAAAAAGAGGTATCAACAATCGAACCTGATAATACAAGTTAGCAGAATCACCGTCACACTCATTCTCAAAGGATTCTACTTGGGATATGTTGATAGTTCCACTGCCATAATGCAATATTGGTGACTGTCTAAGAAAGTCTTCCAGCTGTGTGCTTCTCATGTATTCCATGGCAGAAAATGAAATCACTGGAAGGGCTAAAAGTTGCAAGAGAGCAGAAGAACGTTCTTTGAATTTATCAACTAAAACAGGAGGCGGAGTGGGAGGAAACTCTGCCAATCTTTCGTCACAGGCATTATCAATCCAAGGACAGAGTAGTTTGTGTCCATTATCCAGCTTTAAGCTAAATACCAAGGCTGCCTTCTCAACTAAAAACATGGGAAAGCAGTTTGAATTCAGATACCACTAGCACTAGAAATTTGCTTTACTTATAGCATCGGTTTATCAACTCCTAATGTAGCAAAGGAGTAGTATGACATACCTTGCTGCTGCGTCCATGATGATGGAGTGGAGAAAAGTAGACGAGCTCCACACGCTTCACATCCTATAATATCCATGTCTATGTTAACCCATCCCCTCCTTGCACAATTGACAGCACTCACCGCCTAATAATGATGGGAAAAGTTAAAAAACACCATATTGTTAATAGCCCCTTAAAATTCACAGGGTAAGATGGAAGGAAGAAAGGAATTAGAAAACAGCCCTTAATAACAACATACATGAAACAAAGCCTAGTAGTGTGGGCTTACAACCAAGCAGCATCAAAGTAGGCAAATTGTTAGCACGCTTAAGAAGAAGTGGATGTATGTCTACTTTACCATCCCTTTGGATTAAATGAATCTCCATCCTCCATGGTTGAGTAAAAAAAAGTGTAGCAAAGGAAATCTCGTACTCCTAACTCAGAAGAGATTATGAAAAACTTAGATGAGACCAGACCTACTTATGAAGTCTAATATTAACTGCAAAAAAAAGGCCATGTAAATAGGGGGCTCAAGAGAGAGAGGGATAGAGAGAGAGAGAGAGAAGAGGTTGAAAGAGGAACCACAAAAAATTCCAATGAACAAAAGCCACAGACTTTTAGAGCAGGACGGAAAATATGTCGAGTTAAAGAAAAAATGTCACTTCAAAGATTTATCAAAAGTTCTGATGGCAAATTTTGGATGCCTGTCGCCTGATTGGCTCTTGGTTAACTATTTTCTTTGACATTTTCAAAATGATAAAGTCAGCATCCTATATACTAACGATAATCATTAATGGATTCATACCACAGTATCTGTAACTCAATAAGATCAGTGAAAAGGGCAGACATAATGGAAGTAAAAACAATAAACATGACCTCTGAAAGGAACAGTTTCTTTCAGAATATCAATTTATTTTGGAGCAGACAGCAGGAAGGCCTAATTCCTCAGTTTTGATAGGACAAAAGCACTTATACAAGCATAAAAAATTCTCCAGGCAAGTGAAACCATACCACATGACCAAAACTCTTAAATTTCCTGCTTCACAAAGGTAAATACCTGCTGGTTCCACTAATCTTTGCTATGATTTTTCTAATACATTTTCAACATAACTAATAACATTTCTTAATTTTTAAGATTCAATTATAAATCTCGACATCTCCACATTATTTTCGCTGATTAATGTCAGTAGTGTCTTCTATTAGAATCCACGTTATGACAACCAACAACATTCACAACCATAAACTAATTTGCCATTATGAGTCACTTAATCATTTCCTTTTTGCCAGTATGTTGAAATTCCTAGTTTTTCACATTGAATAAGATCATAAACTCACGAATGAAGTTATTTAATCTACAATATCAAACATAAAGTTCCAAACTATGTTCCAACTTCCAAGGAATGAGAATAAAATTGAAAGTAGACCAAAAGAAAAAAAGAAATGACAACCTTAGGTTTAGCAAACCATGTCATGGACTTAAACGTAGCCACTCTCCTCATGAGATCTCCTCTATCCCAAGGCCTACATAATGGAGCTTCAGCTGGAGCTAACATACGCTGGGATGAACCACCAACCAAATCCCCTCTTGTTTTTGGTTCAACTAACGCCAATGCAGACTCTGGATTGTGTCTCTTTTTGCCTCTCGATGACTCTACTCCAGATGAACTATCAAGCAAAAATAAACACCAGCACCAGCTTCCAATCAATACACGGTCCAAATGAGCACAAAATTTAAATGTAAGTAATCAAAAGGGAAAAAAAAAACCTAAACCAATTTTGCTTGAAGCTTAAGAGCAAAAAGGAATAACAGTATATTAGAAATGAAATTATATCAAAAAATAAGCAAAGAATAATGATAATCAGCTGACAATGTCACGTGGAAGTATTTTCTTCTACCGATTCCATCGTTTTCTCAGTAATCAGAGGAACAAGGTTTAAAAAAATAACGGAGATAGATACCTCGAGGGACTGGAGACCGATTTAGGTGCGTTAAACAGCTTGTCCATGATCGAGTGAAATCTCTTCTCTGGATCCTCCGCCATTTTTTCTTCTACTCTTCAACTTCTGCTTCCGAGCAAACAAACCGATGCTTCAAGCTTTGAAAGCCTTGAAAATCTTTCTTAGAGCGGTTACTGTGCAAACTTGGTATGAATGGAGATTCTGATTTGCGAGATGACGTTAGAGGAATTTTATTTGCAACCGCTGGTTACTCACCTCGTCACCGTTGATTTATTGGACTTTTTAGTTTATGTACGTGGTGATGGATCTTTCTCTAGCCATCAGATTTTCAGGGTGTGAATTTGTGAGATTGAATTTTCATACAAAAATATTTTTTTTTAAATTATAATTGAAAGCTAGGAACAATTTATTTATTTTATTTTATTTTTCGATCGATTCATTTTAGCCAAATAATACTCTTCCTTATGTATGAATGAGTTTAAAAAAAATGGCATTGTCAAATATTTATTTTTCATTTTAAATGTTAGAATATTTTGCATCCGGTATCTGAAGTTTATTGACCTGAATTTACGCTGGCAAGCCCATAAAGGGAACAAATGATTCCTCCCGAGTGTTTAAAGAAACTTCATACTCTAATTAAGGGATAAGAGAGATTTCTCTCATCCTAACTCAATCTTTGGAGATTAAATTTTTTTTTTTTTTTCAATCAAAAGGTTATTTTTATTTGGCTTAAACTACAAAATTATCTTAAACTTTGCCACTTATTATAAAATCACTTTATTTTGACCTTTATACATCAAGTACCCTAACTTTGAAATTTAGATATATTAATACCCTAATTTCAAATTTAACCTAGAATATTAAATAAAATATTATACAATGGACTCACCATATAATCTTGGGTTAACTTAAACCAATGTCATGAAACGCACAGTTTTATTGCCTTCATCAATCTCCACTGTGGCCTGTCTATTCCCTCCATTTTGAAGCCAATAAAGCATTCAAGTTGTGTACCAATCGTCACTAACCTGCACATCATCCAACACTATCAAGTACCTCTTGCGTTTCAACTCCACATGCAGTGCACAGATTAGCGCAGCTAAGCCATTTTTATCTAAAAGGATTTCACCATCTCCTCTTCAATTCCAAGTGAAATTCAACCTTCTTAAAACAATTGATTTCTCTGGACCATTGCTATTATCTTCTTTTGCCTTTTTTGCCATGTGCTCCCAAATCCTAGGGACAGTGATTCTTCACTTCTGGCCTCATCAAAAGTAATTAGCAAAGTGTTGTTTTTCCAGCACTTCTCAATTCTAAAATTCAAACTATATTAAAGTTTTTATCTAACCAACTCCTTTACATCTATCTTTAAATTCCTTAGCTAAAGGAACTTTTAAGGATTCAATGCATTCACTGAGTTTATAGTAGATAAGTTTCAATATGCTGGCCATATCAGTTAAACTAATTTCGCCGGAAACTAATTAGTAGAAGATTGGTTAACAGTTGTGTTGTTTATGGAGTCGCAGAAGAAGATATGAAAACTCACCATTTTTGACCTTGGGTTAAACTAACCCAAGGATAACTAGTAGATCCCATTTTTATAATATTTTGTTCAAGACCTCGGGATAATTTTGAAGTTGATGTACTAATATATATAAAAATTTCAAAATTGGAGTGTTCGGGGTACAAAAGGTCAAAATAGAATGATTTTGTAATAAGTCATAAAATTCAGGATAAATTTATAGTTTAAACCATTTTTATTTATATGTTAAAGTTTATAAAGTTAAGTGTGAATTTGATTGAAATCAAATTAAATAAGTACAAACCGAATAAATGAAATTATTATAAAATTAAAATCAAACTAAATTATTTATAAAATTAAAGCGAACTAGGGTGAATTATCTGATTTTTTTTAACTTAATTATTAAATTAATCACTTTCATTTTTAGGATTTTTATTTTTATAAAATAAAAATTAAGTTGAACCAAAAATTTCAAAATTATTAAAAATAAAATTAAATCGGATTTTAGAGAATTAAATCCAACTAAACTAATTAATTTAATTCATGCCAAGCCGTAAAAATTTCAAACTTCTTCTAAAATATGCAATATTGTGTGATCTTGTATAATAAAGCTAATATTGATTAGAAATGGATGTCAATAAAAATAATTTATGAAGTCACAAGAACTTAAAATAAATAATTAATTTCTTCCCTTTATCATTATTTAAAATTCAAAATATAAAGATTGAATAAGACCACATAAAAACCACCGGCAAAATGCTGTGAACATATCTTCATTTTGGATTAGAACCCCACACGCACAGATACAACGAAAGAAGGAGTTCAAGAGGTCCTGGCCCAAGCCCAAACTGCATCCATTTCCCACCTTTATTTTTTATTTTATTTTATTTTATTACCATGAATATCCCATACGCTTTTGAGTACCATGTGATTTTCGTTTTTGAATATAATATAATTATTGTATAATAAAGCTAATATGATTAGAAATGGATGTCAAATAAAAATAATTTATGAAGTCAACAAAGAACTTTAAAATAAATTAATTTAAATTTCTTCCCTTTATTCATTATTTAAAATTCAAAAATATAAATGATTGGAATAAGACCACATTAAAAAACCACCGGCAAAATTGCTGTGAACATATCTTTCATTTTTGGGGATTAGAACCCCACACCAACCAGATACAACGGAAAGAAGGAGTTCAAGAGGTCCTGGGCCCAAAGCCCCCAAACGCATCCATTTCCCACCTTTATGTTTTAATATTTTATTTCATTTACCCATGGTATTCCCATACGCTTTTAACCATCCTTAACGATTCGTGATTTCGTTTTGATATAAATCATAATTTTATATACTATAATATATATATATATATATATTAATATAATCATAATATAATCTCATTAGCCCAACTAATAATTAGTCAAATTGAAGATAATTGGAATCCAAATGTGATGCCATTACCAACTAGTTTATAATTTGAGTAATGATAATAATATTTGTTTGATAAAATAGTAATAATAATAATAATAATAATAATAATATATTCCTTCAAACTTCATAAGAGACAGTAATTAAACAATAGTATAAAGCTAGATTGCAATTTATATGATTAATTTAGGAGAAAAAAAAATTAAGACAAGGATTGCCAAAGCATTAAACAAGAATGAGAAGCAATATGATGATAACATATACTTCACATTCCACTCCAAAAGCATATGCATGAATTCTCATAATTTGGGTGCTTCATTGGGGCTCTTTTTTTTTTTTTTTTTTTCTTTTTTTTTTTTTTTTTTTTTTTTTTTCTCCCTTTCTTTTACATTGTAATGGACCTTCCTTTGAAGGCATTGTTTATACTTCTAACAACAACCTTTTTTTATAATCCACCAGTATTCAGATTCTATTATCAAAAACCGTCTAATCTGGTTTAGGGTTTAGTCACATTTAAGACTCTTCGTCCCTCCCTACAGATGTGTTTAGTAAAAATAAAATCTGATAACTCTTTTCACATGTTTAACTTACGTTGCCAACTGAGTCGGAACCTACAGTTCTTCTAACAAAAACTTTAATGATAAACAACTTCTATACTTATATCACATTCATTAGGTAATGGGTTATTTAACATTTTTTAATCAATTATTATGTTGAGTATCCCTTTTCTTTGAGTTCCAATATTCATCATACAATTACATTCTATATCATGGAATAATACCTTCCTTAATTAATCTCTTTTATAACATTTAAGCAAACAAATTCTCTCATATTTTCTTTTAAATCTCATTGTTTCCCTTAAGCATTTACAAAAAAAAAAAAAAAAAAAAAAAAAAAAAAAAAAAAAAAAAAAAAAAAAAAAAAAAAAAAAAAAAAAAAAAAAAAAAAAAAAAAAAAAAAAAAAAAAAAAACTTAATATAGCTTTAGGTGAAAATTTGAAGTTGCAATCTCATAATTCTTAAAGGACACCAATATTATTGAATTAAAACTTATTACTTACAAATAATTAGAGTTAATTAGATTATAAAAATGCAATTAAAATTGATATCATATGCAAGCTAATCCATCTTGACAACTGACAAAAAGAAAAATGCTAAGTAAAACTTAAACACATCATTCAATAACATTGTCTCAAATAATTAGTTAATGATCCCATTTTTAACTGTAACATGGAGGATTAAAGAAGATGATATATTAAGTTTTTTTTTTTCTTATATGTATTTTCACGTTCAAGTTGAATATGATTTCAGATTTCAAATTTTGATTTATAGTAAAATTTATTTAATGACACAGTCTATTTTAACCGATCTAATGACTTGTTTGTTAAATGATCTCTCATTTTTAATTATATGAGTGTATATATATATATATATATATATATATATATATATATATATTAGATTACTATATTACCTAATGGCGTTGTTTGACTGAAAAATATTAATTGAAAAGGTGAATTGAAGAAATATTTTTTTTCCAATGGCACTCAAATAAAGCTTATGTTGAAAAGCGAAACAGTGAAAAGAAATTTTATGGGTTGATAGCATTTAAAATTAAAATAGTTTTGTCATCATTTTTCACCAAACCAATATGATCCAATATATTTCTTTAAGTGAAAAAGAAAAAGCAAAATATATATATATATATATATATATTAGATTACTATATACCTAATGGCGTTGTTTGACTGAAAATTATTAATTGAAAAGGTTTTGATTGAAGAAATATTTTTTTCAATGGCACTCAATAGCTTATGTTGAAGGAAAAGTGAAAAGAAATTTTATGGTTGATAGCATAAAATTAATATTTGTCATCATTCACCCCTTATGAATCCAATATATTTCTTTTAAGTGAAAGAAAAGCAAAGATCTAACAACATCTAATTACTAATTATTCCCCTCAAAAAAAAAAAAAACACTAATTATACCATTTGATTTAAGAAATCATCTAATTTGTTTTGAACCGAAGCAAACCCATTTTGCAAAAGTAATTAATAACCGCTTGATGTAGAAAATCACCATGATTCATATTATGAATTAGCCATCGAACGGTATAGAATTGAAGTACATGAAGAAATGATGTACCTTAGGTCCACTATATAGCACTCTCTTTCCCTTCTGGCTTTCGCTTACTTTGAAAAAGATTTTTACTTTAATTATTCACATTATTAAAAGCAAAGGGTTTCTCGTGCTGGAAGAAAATAAAAAATTTAAAATGGACCCACAAATTACCAATACCTAACCGTTTGGGGGCTGACACCATTTTGACCGTTACAAACACTATATTTTAAATTCCCATTTCAAAATTTAACCCTAATATCCCTACCATTACTTCTGTTTCCAATCCCATCCGCTTAAAATTCTCTATCACAATTTGGCTTCTACTGGAGTGTAAGAACCAAAAATTGTAGTGATAATAGCAACTCACTTCAAAATCTGACCTCCCCGCTTCACTGTCAACCGTCCGATCTAACCCCTAAATCAATAGCTGAGATTTCGTGTCCCAACTCCCAAATTAACTCAGGAAGTCAGCAATCTTTATCTTCCCTCTCTTTCATTTTCTCTTTTTGGCTTCTATGTATCATCAATTTCTCAACTTTCCGAGAAAATTACACAATTTTATTGCATTTTTAGCTGTTACATGAACTGGGTCGGAGAATCCATCTGGGTATGTTTGGATAACGAGAAAATTTAAAATGCCAGTGTCAACCAGGTCTCAAATTGGCAACCAAGACCAAACTGGGTCAAACTCAGACCAGACCCATTTGAGTGTTCCCTTAAGAAACCCTCATCATGGGTTGAAAGAGAAAATGAAAGCTTTAACTCTGTTATATGAGCAGCAAAAGAAAGCTTCTATGACAATTAGTAGGAACCCATCTCCAAAACCGGAAGAGAAGCGGTACTCAACACATCCAAGCGTTGATCTCGTCAGTTCTTCCAAGAAAAAAGAAAAAGATTTGAAAGAAACTAAAGATTCCGAGCAAGAAAATATAATGAGAGAAAACACAATGCCTACAGTTCCTACAGTACCTACATTGCCTAATCTGAGGTCTAATTCTACAATCACAAGAACCTTTGTTTTGCCACAACCAGCTATACATGATGGTAAGGAGAACCTTGTAATGGGTCCGGATCCGGTTATTGGGTTTTCTACATGTGCAAGAAAGGCTAGTGTTTCAACTACAGTGGCAAGGAAGCTTTCTATGGGAAGTTCAGTGCCACAGACAGAGCCAAGAGGGTTTCTTGGAAAAGAAAATATGGAAAAATTAGAGGAGAAAAATATTGAGCCTAGTGATGGAAGCCGGATTCTAGTGTTTGTAAGACTTAGGCCAATGTTCAAGAAAGAAAGAGACGCTGGTATGCGTTGTTGTGTGAAGATTGTGAATAGGAAAGATGTATATTTGACCGAGTTTGCTAATGAGAATGATTATCTTAGGCTTAAAAGGCTTCGTGGTCGCCATTTCGCCTTTGATGCTTCATTTCCTGATTCAACTTCTCAACAGGAAGTTTATTCTACTACGTGAGTTTGATTTTTAATTTTCCCCTCTATGAATGATAAATTTTAATTATAGTTATTGATTTTTCATGTTTATGGACTTGGGTTTGCTTGTTTTGTTTGCAATTATTTCCTCAATTCCCCATTTTTTTATGATTAGCTGAAATTTATGGTTGCATTTTCTTGAATTATAATTCCTGCTTAATGTATTGAAAATTGACGTAATTAATCTATTCTTCCACTAATTAAGGATTTTTAGCTTATACTAGAAATGTGTTTGATGCTTAGAAAATTGAATGATTTAAGTGAAAATGATGTTATGTTTAATGACTCAGCTGTTTTAGTTTGCCAAGGAAAATGAAAAAGAAAAAGAAAATTCTTATTAGTTTTCAAATAGTTGGACTTCTAGTATGCATATGCAAATGATGAAGTACGTAATGACATGATTTATTTAAATTTCTGCTTCATTATAGGTCTCACAAAATAAATTATTTCATTATGACCAGTTTAATGTTCAATTAATAAAAAAAAGTGATCTAACCCATATCTTAGATTGGTAAATGCTAAAAATGGGTGTGACCAATTGAACTGAATTTTCAGGACAGCTGAACTTGTGGAAGCAGTGCTGCAAGGAAGAAATGGATCAGTATTCTGCTATGGTGCCACAGGTGCGGGAAAAACATATACAATGCTTGGTACAGTGGAGAATCCTGGAGTGATGGTTTTGGCAATTAAGGATCTCTTTACCAAGATTAGACAGAGGAGCTGTGATGGAAACCACGTGGTTCATCTTTCTTATCTTGAAGTTTATAACGAAACTGTTAGAGATTTGCTCTCTCCGGGAAGACCTCTTGTGCTTAGAGAAGATAAGCAGGTCTACCCTCTAGTATATATTTATTACATTCCTCAGTTTTTGCTTACCAAAAAACAAATAAAGTTTCTGTTACTTTTGCTAGATTGACACTGTCATAACTTTACCTTTTATGATGTGAGTTCTTTTTGCTCAAGAGTCTATTGAGTATGGAGATTGAATTGCTTTTCCATAAAAATAACATTTTTGATGTTGTTGGAAAGAGTTGTTTGTGAGTGTTTTTTTGATGTTATAAAACTTATATGATTCGACTATATGAAATTACCCTCACCAATAAACTTTAGGCACTTCTAATCAACATTTTCAGCATATTATTCTTCTCAACAACAACTCAAACAGAGATGCCAAACAAATCCCTACAGAACTTATTCTACAGATGAATTAATTTCCTGCTTATTTAGACAGTAGATTTTACGTTTTGGGGATGATATTTGTTTCATTGTAACAGGGAATTGTGGCAGCTGGTCTCACTCAATACAGAGCTTATTCTACAGATGAAGTAAATTCCTGCTTCCATGGATGATAAGTCTCAAGGTTAGTAGTCATTTGATTGGGAAAGAATTGATATACATCCGTGTTGTGGTAGGTAATGGCATTGCTTCAAAGAGGAAACCAAAATCGAACAACTGAACCTACTCGTGCCAATGAAACCTCTTCAAGATCACATGCTATTCTGCAGGTAATACTTTTATGTCTGTCTTTTTTTTCCTCATAAAATTTTGAAGAAAAGATGTCCTTTACATTTTCTTAACTTCTTTAATGACCTGTTATGCTCCTTGCAGGTGGTTGTTGAATACCGAGTTAGGGATGCTTCAATGAATGTTGTCAATAGAGTTGGGAAGCTCTCACTGATTGATCTTGCTGGGTCAGAGAGAGCTCTAGCAACTGATCAAAGAACACTTAGATCACTTGAGGGTGCTAATATAAACCGATCACTCCTTGCATTAAGCAGCTGCATCAATGCCCTTGTTGAGGGTAAGAAACACATTCCATATCGGAACTCGAAGCTTACTCAACTCCTCAAGGACTCATTAGGAGGAGCTTGCAACACTGTAATGATTGCAAATATCAGCCCAAGCAATCTCTCCTTTGGTGAAACTCAAAATACACTACATTGGGCTGACCGAGCTAAGGAGATTCGGACCAAGGTCATTCTTTTAAGCTTCTTTTCTTTGCACCTTCATTTTATCTAGTCATTCATTTTGAAGTTATGTTAGCTACTCAAAGAAGTTATCTTTGATTTTCTATTGTCTGCTTTTGTTTTTACATTATAAAGCCTCAACTGCCATGTGATTCTTGAAATGAATTTGAGTGATGAGAGAAAAAGAAGTACATTCATCTTACCTCTCTCCTGAAATGCATTCTCTAATTTTCCTTGATTTGATTATTACGTATGCCTTAATTGCCATTGTGATTCTTGAAATGACTGAGGGCAATGAGAGTAAAGAGACATTAACATAACCTCTTTCCTGAATTGCAGGCATGTGATGTAAATATGGGAATACAATTCCCACTAGAATCTGAAACTGATCAGGCCAGGTTATTACTTGAACTGCAAAAAGAGAATCGAGAATTGCGAGTACAATTAGCTCGCCAGCAACAAAAGCTACTAACCCTCCAAGCACAATCCCTGGCTGCAAATGCTTCTCCAACACCTCCTTCAATTTCCTCTCAATTGACCCCTCCATCTGCAACTCAACCAAATGAAAAAAGAAAAGGCAGGCCTTCGTTTTTAGCTAGGAACTGTTTTACACCAGAATCCAGAAGAAAAGGAGAAAATGAGGTGGTTAAAGAGCTTCAAAGAACTATCAAAGCATTAGAGACAGAGATTGAGAAAATGAAGAAAGATCATGCTTTAGAGCTAAAGCAGAAGGATGAACGCATTCGCGAGCTTTCTCAAAGAAATGACAAACCATATGGAGTAGCTTCAGTTGATGGTGCGAAGAGGATAGTCACTAGAGCTAGCTTGAGACCAAAAGAATCAAACATTGGTGAATTGAAGAGTCCAAATCACCGGTTTAAGTCACCGGTTCCAACTGCAAAGAAACGAAGCTTTTGGGACATAACAACAGCTAACAGCCCATCTCTAGCTTCAGTAAATCGGAGAAAAACCAGAAGTCATGTAAATGCACAACCTGCTGCAGCTCCTTCTATGCTTCTTCAGGTAAAATGACCTTTTTTCTCATTCTTTATTTCTGCAACTCTCAGAAAATGCAAGTAGAAAGGCTAATAAGTAACCAATGAGCTTTGGCTCAATGGGATAATGAGGTAGTGAGTTCAGTTCTGAATCCAATGTTAGCAAAATTAACCCAAAAAAATAAAGATTACTGACTACATTTCCCCTCCAAGAAACCTTGTAGGAACTAATCATTATTCTATATTTTATGTATGTGTATTTCTTTTCTGCAACTGATGCAGCTAGCATATCCATGTTTCTGTTTTGTGTTCTTATTTGGACCCATGTCTTCAATTACCATCATTCAGCCAGGTTTTGCTCGACAAAGACTGGACCCTTCGAAGTAGGAGATTGAAGAAGGAGAGGCCTTTTTCTGTTGACAGTGTCCATCAGGTGTTCTTTTTTTTTGCTACTGATAAGACATCCTTCTGCTTGGGCTGGCAATTTCACAAGGAAGAAACCATTATACTTGGTAGGTTTTCCTGTACTTATTTGTTGTGATCAAAAAAAGTCTTGTAGAATAGATATTCTGTTCCTTATTGTGTTTTTTTATTGAGCTGTTCCATTTATCAGTAAATATTTCCAAGAATGAGTATTTATTCCAGAAATTTTGTGTCTGAAAAACTATATAATTCTTATTTCCTTTTATCAAGGAAAAATCTCTCACAAGATCAGTTAAGTTGGTTTGTTAAGAATCTTAGCCTTGCCCAGTATTATTATATCTGTCATAACCGTATTATTTTTTTATGATATTAGTATTATTTAATACATCAAAAAAATTATATTTAAATTAATTATTTATTGTGATATAGGTATTTTTATATTTTATTTTTTAAAATATTGTTCATCCTCGTATCTCAATGTATGTAAGGAGGAGTAAATTAAAGAGATTGATAAATCTCTTGGAATGACTTGCCTACTCTCAAAAATATGTTTTTAGTTGTAACCAAGTTATTTTTGTCATTCATTGAAAAGAGAAAGACAAAACTGTAAATAACCTTTCAAAGAATCTCCATTGATTGGTTTAATAGGTAGGAAGTTTTATCCAAATTTTAAGAGAGATGACTTCCTTGTAACAGCAAATTAATTATTTATTATTAATTTAAAATAAAAAAAATTATCAAATGTCAATCTAATGTTCTTACACGCAATTAGTGCTAATTATTATTATGGCATAGGAAGCAATTAAAAAAAAATATTTATGAAATTGATGATAACTTTGGAATGGAGAAAACTCAAATTCAAAATCTTTCACTCTCCATATTTTTTACAAGAGGTAGGAAGATCATCGAAACTCATATCTGATTAGCTTCTAAAAATAAGTTAAACATATGATATACAGAAACATTCAAATTTCAAATGTAGTATTTAATATTATTCTCAAGTTGTCTATCAAAATATTTGGTAACTCTTTGAGTACTAAAAACAACTAATGAAACTATATAATAATAATAATAATAATAGTCAAATAAAACAGCAGCTCACAGACATTACATTACATGTGAGTTATGCCTAACATTGCTTTAATTACCTTTCAGTTTTCATGCAACTTGGTTTAATCTTCTTCGTAACTTGAAAAAATAGTAAGAACGCAGTTCAGTTGCACTCGTACATCCATCTTTCGGCTTCTTGTCTGAACAATGAACCTTCTGCTTCTTCTCCGTTTCATTGCAAGTGTTACTTTAGATGATGACTATTATTTATTCAATCTTACCATTTTAAGATCCCAACATCCAACTCCCACTCAGAATTCTTTTTTGCTTTTCCTATTTAATTCGCCATATTGGACAATATAAACAAACATTTACACACAAACACAAAAAAAAAAATGATATTTGAAAAATTATTTGTTCAAAAAAATTCATTATTTAATAATTATTAAAAGAGAGTTATGAAAAGAAAAATAATAGAAAAGGAGAGGAATAGCATTCAGTGGAGAAATTATGGTATAAAGCAAAGCAATGTGGCCTTTGCTTTTTGAATCTTTTGAAGAATGATGAGTAGATGATGCTATTGCTATTTCTCTTCTCGGTTTTTGTGTTTATGCTCATCTTCTTAACGGATTATTTTTTGTCCTGGCTGTCACCCACACCTTCCCAAATTTTCTTTTCCTTCACTGTATTTTCTTTTCTTTGGAGAAGGAAAATTTTACTTCATGACCGATTTAGGTTTAAGGGTGCTAATGATTGATAATTATGAATATTCTTTACTGAAAATTCCGTTCTTTTTAAATGGATTATGATTTCTAATTATTATCGTGACATTAATTTATTCATATGCTAATTTTTTAACGAATCTTTTTAATATTTACATATTTGAATTTTGATATATTGGATCATCCTCTCGATATTTTTTTTTTATTGTTCGATAATATAAATGGAGTTTTACATCTAGAACTTTATTTGTAAGTACGATAGATTGATAATTATGAATATAATTATTGAAAATTTTACATTCTTTTGATGGATTACGATTTCCAGTTATTATCATATGAATATTTCTTTATGCGGATGTTTTAACTAATCTTTCCAGTTATTATCATCTTCTTGATATTTCTTTTTGTTGTTCGATAATATAAGTGGATTTTCTTATTCAGAATTTTACTTATAGCTCATCTGAATTGAGTTTAGATATCTTTTCGAACTTAAAAAGTTTTTAATTTTAGTATTTGTATTTATAATTTAAATTATTAACTATAATTTAAAATCATTGGATTCCAATGCTAAAACTAACATTTCAAAGCTCAAATGTCAAAGTTGATTCTCAATAATCACATATATAGTAATTCTGTGCATTAATCTTCTTGAAGAAGAAAAATGGAGGAGTGAAGGGTGATCACTGTAAAGGCTTCAAAGTAAAAAAGAGGAGTAAGACATGCACAGTAACAGTTTCTTCAACTATCCCTTTCAAAGCAGACCAAAATACCCATGTGAAAGCATATCTTTTTGTTCTCTCTTTCTTTCTTTTTGGCTAAAACTTAAAACTCCATTGAAAAATTATGAAGAACTTAACAGTGAAGCTTTAAGATTTAGCAGAAGAAGATTCAAATGACATTGTGAAAAAGCAGTCAACAAATCAGAAAAGATTAACTCAGGTGTCAGGAATTGTTTTTCTTTTTTTTATTTTAAATGATTTGTTTGTTCTTTTCTGATCCTTTTTTTTTTTTTTTTTTTTTTCTTTTCTGATCCTTTTTTTTTTTTTTTTTTTGAACATTGCTTTTGATGACTTTCTAGTGATTAGGCCTTTAAATTAAAATTTTATAGCTTTTTTTTTTTTTTTTTTTGAACATTGCTTTTGATGACTTCTATGATTAGGCTTTAATAAAATTTATAGGGATCATTCCACACAGAATGTTTGCACAAAAAGCAATCATTGGAACATATTACAGTTTTGGACCAAATGGTGAAAATTTTATTATTAGCTATATATTTGAACATAATTGCCAAAGTATCCTATCCAAACAGGAAGATTTAAGGAAGTAAAAAAGAGAAACTAGCTAGACTTATCATTAATGAACTCAATGACCATTTCCTTAACCATCAATTAGATTCAAAAAGTGTTAAACTACTATTTCAAGGGACAAAAGTAGAAATTCCCAAAATGAAATAGTTCATGAATTTTTATTTCTTTCACATTTGACTTATAAACAATAAGAAACAACTCTGAAAATTTGATTTAGTTATGCATGTTTAGATAAAAATTGCGGATTTAGCTTTCAAAGAACATACATTTCAAAGAACAGAAGAAAGACTTCATCATTTTCTATTTTTATTTGAATCAATAGGAAGCTATATATCCAACGAGCATACATTTCAAAGAACAGAAAAAAGAAAAATAAGTCGGGTCATGATGGCCTAGTTTTCAAGTGTGATTGAGAAAAAAATTTTCAGATGATAGAATCCCACAAAATAAGCAAATAGGCCCCTGAAATCCCACTCCAATGACTTTGTTTGTAGTACTGTGTTTGTGAGTATTCTTTTCTTGAATTATAAAAATTCAACCCTGAAATAAGTATGGGAATAGAAAATATGAAAAGAAAGAAAATTAAAACAAAATGAGAAGACATTCATCATTGCACTTATCCTCCTTGTCTCACATCACTTACACTAAAAAAAAAAAAAAAGAAAAGAAAAACACTATACATATACACCTTCATTGCCCCACCTATCCATCATGTTCTCTAGTATTTTCCCCCTCCAGCTACAAAACTAACAAAATACAAGTAATAAACCCCCACTTTCCCCCTCCATAATTTTCTCCAAAGGAGAAAAAAAAGAAACATAACAGAAGACTTGGAGATCACTAAACCTCCATTTCTTGGTTCTTCAACTTCAATAGCTAAACAAGTATATATGACTAGCTTAATTAATTACTATTCCAAAATTATTATGTAAAAGAAAAAGAAATTACTTTGGAGTAATTAGTAACTCAAGCTTATAGACTCTTAAGCTCAAACAGGGGGGGTTTAAACTTGTAATCTCACAGTCCTGGAGATTCCTTGAGCGCCATTGAGATTGAATGCTTCAGACTCTAAGCAAGTAGATACTAAGCTCAGGAGCTCCATTGCTATCAGGATTCATCATATAAAAAGCTTCAGAATCTCTAGACCCAACAATTCTTTCAAACTTGGCTCTCATATACATAAGCTCACCATCACCATCAGCTCCCATTTCAGGCAAAACACCAGCACCCATTGAAATAGGTTCCACAGCTTTCAAAATCTTCCAATCTTTAGCCCCACATTCTCTTCTTGCAGCAAACCCACATTTTTTACCATTACAATAAGTTCTCCACATTGGTTCTTCAAGCAATCTCAAAGCAGAACAAGATTTCCTTTCTTGCTTTACATCTTCTTTATCACATTCCAATGCAATTCTAACCAACCCAGATGCCATTTCTCTAACCAACCCACTAATTGGAGTGGCAAGTTCAATTAGAAAGGCAGGTGGTGAAATGGGATCCCTTTGAAATGCAAAATGGACATGTCCTCTACGGTAGCCAAAAAGAGTACCAATAACTCTATGACCAAGCCCTGATTGTAGGTTAGATCGGTTCTTGCCAAAGGCATTAAGAACAGAACGAAGCCTAGCAACTGCTACTGCTGGTAATTTCTTCTTTGGAGTTAATAAAGCAGAATGGCTATGGCTATGGCTATGGCTGTTGCTTCTAGTAATATTTTCTTTTTTGTCTTCTTCAGTATTTTTTTTGGCAGTTGAGATTGAAGAAAAAGAAGAGGATGATTTAAAGGTTGGAACTGATGATTCATCAGTTTCGGTTGTTCCAATCTTTTTTGTCCAATGGAAGTGTCTTTTGGAGGAGGAAGAGTCTTGAGAGGCTCTAGCCATTACTACTACTAATGCTGTTGGTTTTAATTTGAGAAAGCAAAATTAACAAGGAAGGCTTCTCCTTATAGATGGTGGGTTTTGGTTTTTTCTTTATCCTTTTTTCTTACAAAAACTCAATTTATTGATTTGTGGGGCTTGTGTGTAATTCTTTGTTTGTAGCCTTCGTTGTGGAGCAAGAGAATCCTGACAAAAGAAACAAGGGTTGGCCCACAAAACTAATTTAGGGAATGAAGGGGAGAGATTTGAAATATAAAAATAAAAATAAAAAGAAAGGAATCAAAGGGGACAATTAGTGTGTAATTTCACTTTCTTGTGGGGTAGTGGATTTGTGCTTGACTGACTCTTTTGACTTGAATCCAAAAAAGCATAAAGAATGGCTAACTACTAACCAAATCCAAAAACCATCTCATGCTTTAGAAATTGTCTTCTATACTAAACCTGCTTCAGGCCAATGTTGGGTTCAAACAGTAACTGGGTTGATGAGTCTACATTTCATCTACCTAGGAACTGACACCTCATTGCATCTGGGACCCACCTAAAAAATTTCAGGGGAAAAAAGAAAACCTAGTCTGGTATTCTCTGCTATTCCCATCCATTTGTTTGATTAGGGTTTCACCCACAATTGACACATCACTAACCTGCTGGGGTCCACATTAGAAGAAGCATCCCAACACTCTTCAGAGACCTGTGATATTAATCACAACATTAATGTTTTCTTGCAATCCATTTAGCGGGAGTTTTGATTTAATGTCGCAGAGCACAAATTGTTGGTGAAATTGGATGTTCTTTCAACTTGATGTTGTCAAGTTTACCAACATGATTTGGCCCTTCCCACCTGAAAATGTAGGATTAAACCTTAACCCTACCTATATTTAGGGTCTTTGCAGCATAATTCTGTTTTTGGTTGTTTTCAAATGCTAAAATATTGAATCTTGAAATACATATCAATGAAACAATGTTTCAACTTGTTTTTTAACACCCATTGTCTTGAATCTTGAAATACACATCAACGAAACAATGTTTCAACTTGTTTTTTAACACCCATTGTCTTGAATCTTGAAATACACATCAACGAAACAATGTTTCAACTTGTTTTTTAACACCCATTGTCTTGAATCTTGAAATACACATCAACGAAACAATGTTTCAACTTGTTTTTTAACACCCATTGTTGAAATACACATCAACGAAACAATGTTTCAACTTGTTTTTTAACACCCATTGTAAGGTGCCTTCCACACTGAATATGGTACCTATTATCTAATCCTTCGGAACTAGATGATGTAACAAGATGATGGATGTTACACTTTTCTTTCTCTCCTTTTTTTCTTTTAATTAGACATCAAATAAGAAAAATAAATAAACTTAGATGATAGCATTCTTTGACAATTGAAAAGCAAAAACCATAAACCAAACAACTACGAAGAGATTCAAGTATAACCATAGTAAGAATACGGTATCTAATTGTTCTTATAGTTGTGAAAAATAAAGATGGATTTTGGACAAACTTGCAATAATTACATTAAGTTATAGACATGATCCATAAGTTGAAGTACAAATCTAAGTGCATATCCACATTGGCTAGTGCACTTCAAATGACTTTTTGTACACTATATAAGGAGAGATTAGAAGCACAAAACAAAGTAGAGTCAAGGAAGCTTGCCTATGGTTTAATAAAATAAAAAGGCCCTAAGGTTAGCTCTCTAAACTTCGGTCAGTCTCTGGTTGTTGCTTTGGGGCAATAGCACCTCCATTCATTCTTGCACGTGCCTCAGCAAACATCCTTTGCTGCTCCGCTACTGCTTCTTCCTCGGTCATCTCCGCTCCATTGCTCCATTTACCACCTTTTAATGAGTCCTGCTGGAAGGCATTCCCAAAAATGTTGTCAGGAAATAAATATCTAGTAACATGATATCACATGCTATCACATAAAAGAAGAAAGCCCCATAAAAAATAGCTATCACATGCTGCTATCCAAGTGCCATAGCAGTTTTATGTTCTGCTAAGCTAGTGATATCTGGTTCTCAATAGCCTTTTTTACAAAAAGTCACATCGATATGACCATAAAAAAATGATGAATTACCATAGTCTCAAGCTTGTGTTGCTCGTATGCAGCATAAACCTCTTCGATGTACTCTCCAAAACCAAGAACCTGATAGATCAGGAGGAATCAAATTATTCTTGCAAATAACATAGGCAAATAGCTGGTTTAAGCAATTTTTTAAATTCCTAACATCAATATACCAAGCCAGTAAGTGGTAAATCTTGAAATTGTACATTCCATGCCCACATCCAAAATAAAAAAGCTTGGATCATCACAAGAGACACTACTAGCTACATATCCATATGATTATCCGATAGGTTCAAAGGTGGAACTGTCTGTATATGTGATGATGGCCAGAAGACAGTTTCAATCATTATTGAGAAATCACAGAAGAGGAAGATTACTATAATTACTTATTAAGATGTATATTTCACCTAGACTAATGAAACAAATGCCACATAGATCACTCACACCTTACCCTAACAATAATCAAACACTGGACAGAAGAAAGGGTTTGATGTAAATACAACAATGCTGGAAATCTCAGGTTAGTGTAATTTAAGTTCTTATACATTGCTCAGTGACAAAAGAATAGGGAGCCAGAACATCCTAGGAATAGATTATTTTCTTGCCAATCAAAAAGTTATACCTAATCCTAAGAAAATTAGAACATGCCCAACTTTGTTTTTTTGTTTTCCTCTTTCCTGGTCATGGTGAGGATTTTGTAAGAATAGAATGAATTAGTCACAAACCTCTAACGCCTTGAGTACATGCTCAGGCGCAATCGTCCGCTTCTCCTCTTTACTGCATACTTCATTGGACTCTGATGATACAAGGTTTATAAACTCTGAAATTAGAAAATTTCCTCATTTGTTAGCAAAACAATAATTGCATATCTATAAAGAATAAAAACTATTAATGAAGAAAATATTAAAGTGAAATGGAAACATATTGAAGACTTACAATAAATAATAATCAGAGACTTACAAAACTATCATCAGCCAATTAGAACAATGTCAAACAAAAAAAATTTGTGAACTTAGTAAAAAACTTGCACTGAGTGCTAAATTGGCTCTCTTTAATGGCTTCTAAATTCTGTCATCTTCAGTATCATATATCCAACTGAATAAGATGAAAACCAAGTGTCTTGCACTGTTGGGGAAAAGTACTAAAATATGATAATGAAAAATTGTGTTCCGAAGTATGTGCCTCCTCTAAAATGGCTCATTGAGATTTAGCCTCAAATGTATTCTGATCCTCCTTTTCCTAACGAATTCAGCAATTTGATCCATATTTTGCAAAATTCAAAAATTTAATCAATTTTTTATTTTTCAAATCAATGAGTTCTTTTAGGACTACTGTTTTGATAACCAATTTTTGGCCAATAAGAAATAAAAAGATTAGTTCAGAAAATTCAAATATCAAAGAGTCAGATTTTGAAAATAAAGAACCATAGCATATAAAAACTAAATCTCAGTGAGGTTTCTACAATGTTCCCACCCAAAAATAGAATTCCAAACAGGTATACTATTTAGAATGGATCATCTAACTTAGGTTTCTCGTTGATTAGAAGTGATTATATGTGTTATTTTTTATGTAAAACATGAAAATACTGCAAAAACATCTCCAAGATTCGTTAGTCATAGCAAAACCAAGGATGACACAGAGACTGACTGGTTTAAGATGAAGAATTACAGAATATATGACATTCATAGTTGTCATACAGAAGGAACTGAATGATCCTTGCTTAAACATTCACCTAAGATGTCCAACCCCTACCCTCTTTGACTTGGGACATATTTACCCTGGCCTCTTTCACTTGAGGTATGCACATGTGAGTTTTAATAGAAAATAAGTTGTCGACCACTTTTCTTATTGATCACTACTGTAAAAATGACAAATCTTGTTTGATAATACTAAACCACAATAGTGGCTCTCTCCCCCCACTATCTCATACATATTCCTCCAATAAGAAGTTTTGTAGAACCCTCGATGTATAAAGCAATATGCAAAAAAAAAAAAGGTCAATTTCTATTACAGAACCAAAATAGCATTTTTTTTCTCTCTCCCCCTATCTACATACATATTCCTCCAAAGAGAAGTCTTGTAGCACCCTCAATGTATAAAGCAATATGCAGAAAAAATGTCAAAGTAATAGTTTCTATTGACAAGCTAATAAATTATAATGTGGAACATGATAATCAAACCAAAACAACATTCCTAATCAACAGCACTACTTAACAATATCATGAATAAAAGTAAAAGAAGAAAGATGCATGGAAAAATTGGATATATCACAAATCAAAAGAACATTTTTGAAGCCACAAGATGATAGTTGGACAGATGATGAAAACAATATTGAAAAAACTCAAAGCTGGATACATGCACAATATTTATTTTTAAAAAGAATACTCACCTACACAACACTCTATCAAAAGATCTTGTGCATCTCTTGCAACGCGAACGTCTGGAGGTAACATCTCTTTAATAATTTTGGTCATAGTTGCTGGAAAGAAAATCGTAATTCATCAAACAATCAATCCTCTTTTTTTTTTGGGAGGGGGGCAGGGCATATCATTTGTCAAGCATTAGCATGTTTCAGAGCCAAGCATTAGCACAAACCTATGAGCAACCAATAAAACATACACAGAAGTCGCAATCTATGAAGGACTCCATTATGAAGCAAAGAAACCTTTTAAAACACTTAGTTCTGCAATAATATCCCAACCTAATCTAATCATTGCTTTCCAGCTGACACCTATGCAAATAGGAGACTTAAAATTCAGCATAGGATAGTATCAAACCAACTAACAACCTGCATCAATTGAAAACTGAGTATACAAATTAGAAAACTAAAGATGAGTATATGCAAAAGGCATGCACACACAGATAGCAGTAAAACTCATTTGCGCTGAAGAATGCTTTATACCAATTCAAAATGACCACAAACTAACCTTGTAAAGATTAAACAGAAATAATCATCAAATTCAATAATGTATGGAAACAAATAATTGGAACCTAGAACAATCACAAGCTAAACAAAGACTGATCTATATACATGTTTTTTATATATTTCAATCAACCAAAGGGCAATTAACATCACTGATTGCATGAACTGGAGGTACTCAAGCTGTCAGTGACCAGATTCATGTAAGAATATAATCACTTGGGGATAGGCATTAAACTGTAGAGTAAGTCAAGTAAGTACACTAGTTTGACCATTATAATAGTATCAATTTCAGCTCAAATAGCAAAATCCGTAAACTTACCGAGCCAAAAGCTCCTAGGGTTGTAGATTTTACCAGCAAAATCTATTCTTCAGTTGCTAAATCAAATCTAACAGTCAAGCCATTCATATAGAGAACTCAAACCAATATAATTCGCTGTCACTTTGTAGATACCTTATAAATAGCTATAAACCCAATTAGCAGAAGAAAATTAATGTGTACAATAATATAACAAAAAGGAAGCATATTAAGTTCAAGTTTCTTCATAATTGGACACCATTGCAACTCAACCAGCAACTCAAAATTCATATTGCAAACCAACTCAAAATCAATAGACTGACAAACCTAGGTCCGGCAATGGGAGCTCCACAAAAATTGAACAATTTCAAAAAAAATGAAAAATAAAATCAATATTATTTTTTTTTTTTTTTTTTTTTTTTTTTCAACTCAAAATTCCATAATTGGCAAACCAACTCAAAATCATAGACTGACCAAACCTAGGCGGCAATGGGAGCTCCAACAAAAATTGAACATTTCAAAAAAAAATGAAAAAATAAAAATCAATATTATTTTTTTTTTTTTTTTTTTTTTTTTTACCTTTTTCAGGTTAGCGAAGCATTCCTCTTTCGATTTACCAACAATATTTTTTTTTTTTTTTTTTTTTTTTTTTACCTTTAGGTAGCGAAGCATCCTCTTTCGATTTACCAACAATATCCATGGGTTCCATCTTTAATACTCAAAACCTAATTAAATAAAAAAAATCAACACAAAATATTTATACGACGTAAACTCTATAAATATGTATATAAATCGAATCGAACGAAAAAAGATAGATCTGAAACCCTATTAACTGAAACATAAAAGGAAAGCGGAGAAATTTGACTCACCGAGTCGAAACGCGTGGGAGCGACTGCGAAAACCTACGGCCGGAGAAAACGAGCCAACCGATTGAGGATCCGAGATGTAGCGGTGGGAGAGATCAAGCACAAGAAGAAGGCGAGGAGGGGCATCGTTGATATATGGATTTATCAGAGAAGAGCATGGTTTGTGTCGTTCTCTTCTCTCGCTCACGATAAGAGAGCCAGGTCTGGTTCGCAGGCGATTAGGACTCGCATGGAAAGCACCAAAAGCAGTTCCCTTCTCGTGGAAGCACGCTCCAGATTGGGCGCGTCAAACTATTATTAAAAAATGGGACTTTGTAGGACCCATAAAGCTAATTGGTAAGTGTCGTACACGGAAATGATGGCGCGTGAAAATTGTATTGGAGGATCTTGGATATTTCTTTTTTTGAATTTTCTATTCTTTCTTGGTTTCGCGATATTGATTATCGTTTTGTTGTTGTCAGATGACTTTTAGGATATCGATTCTTTTGTCGGCTAGTCTTTTTGGGCAATCAACAAACAGAATAAAGTGGGCCTGGCCCATTTAGAAACCCACCTGTGTTTCTTGTAACTGGACTAGTTGGGTATTATGTTTTGGGGCGGACGCTCGTTATGAAAAATACAATTAATCATGTTATTAAATTTAATTTTTATGTAAAATAAATTTTGAGCAATATTTTTAGATAAAAAATATTATTATTATATATAAAAATATATTGAAAATTTTAAATTTTAGTTAAACGAGTAGGCTCAAAATAGTATGAGCTTGCTAAAAAAATTAAAAGAACTAAAATTAAAGAAAATTATAATTTTGAAATTAAATTTCGACACGGCCAAAGTTCAAATCACATATTACAAATTAATTTTATTATTATAATATTTAGATTCGCTTACCTCCTTTACAACTCGTATGTGTAATAGTATGATTATGTAATGGTTGATATTTAGTGAAAAACACTATTTAAACGATGTGATATTATTCAAATTAAAAAGGAAAATAGTATTTTAAATATTAAATATATTGATAATTTTTAATAGTATTTTCAATTCAAGAAAATAAAAATAAAAGTTAAATGATTGCATGAATTAATACATAATTATTTATTAATTTATTTGAAGTTTTTTCTTTTGAAAGGTTAGTTGAAATTATTATTGTGCTTTAATATTCTTTTTATTTTAATGGATTAAATGCACATTTTGCCTTGCAAGCCATTGCTCTTAGATAGTGATACAGTGAAACTTTTTCCTTATGCTTTGTGATTGGTGTATTCACTTCACCAAATAGATTTTGTAAATGGTTTTCATAATTTTTGCGGTGAGCATGTCAAAGAATTTATCAATAATTGAAAAAAAAATTATAAAAATTATTATTATTTTTTATTTAGCATTAGGCCTATATGCTTTCAGCCAACATATATGTACGTTGGCCCCCAACCAACGAGAATAACTGATAACATTTGTGGATATTCTTATAACTAAACATTTATGATTTTTAAATTATAATTTCTCGAATCAATTAGCCTAAAATTTTTTTTTTTTTGAAAGGGAATTAGCCTAAAATTTTATTTTCCCTTGGATGTGTCAATCATTTTTTATACTAAACAGAAAACTTGAATTTACACAGTTATGTGAAAATTCATTTATTTATTCAAATAAATAAACAAACTTGAATTTCCCATTCATCTCATTGATTTCTTTTTAATAAAATTATATATTTTGATGAATATCACTATAGGAGAACACCATAATAACAACGGATATTTAGAAACGGATGGATCCGTTGCCAAATAGCAACGGATCAGAAACAGATTAGCAATGGAAAATAAACTAACAGCTCATATTTAAACTAGCAACGGATTAGAAATGATTTAGTAAGAGGAATTAAAATTACATGCAGTTTTTTTAATAATTCTAATGAACTTAAATAAAAATTCGATTTTAATAATCCATTATTCTTAATTCGCTATTTTCACCATCTAACCCTTAGACTTTGTAGGTTAGAATTATTAGTAAATTTTTCTTAATAATCAATTCAATTTAATAAATTTTATGGTTATTAAAATATAGTTGTCTATACACGGCGAAGTGAAATATAGAAGATAGATGCGGGGTTATTGGTCTTAGAATTAGTAAGCATTTTGATATTGAATTGGTAATATGGGAATATGCATGGGAATATGTTGCTTGTTCCATTATTTTATTTTCTTTTCTTTTTTTAATAAAATATGTTAGCTATGCTTTTATTTCATTATATGATTATACATTCTCGGTTTACAGGTTTTTTTTTTTTTGGCTACAATCTTGCTTTGAAGAACGAGATGGTGAAAATATTGATGCTTGGATTCAGGAGATAATAGAGCAACGGTTACGACAACAAATTGCAAAACATCAGACTTTAGAGCATCCAAACTTCTTAAATACTCACACTAATAGTTAGGGTGATGGTGTTATTTTGGTAGATTTTAGTTGCTTTGTATCTAACAAATATAAATTTGATGAGCATCTATGAAACATGGTTTTTTTTTAATCGATAGACAAATTTTGTTATTTTATATTTTCAATATATTTAAAATTTATGCTAATTTTATTGATTTTATTTACTTGATTTTTTATTATGAAATATATAAATTATAAAAGTCAAGAACATAAATAGAATGCTAACAAATATGGATTTTAGAAACGGGCGTAGAAATTTACTTAGAAACGGATCTTACAGTCCAATGATAAACTTAGAAACGGATTCAAAAATGGCAACGTCCATATTACTTTTCAGGGATGTTAGAAACGGAAATTAGCAACAGATATAAATGTTTAGAAACGTGTATAGAAAAGGACAAGCAATGGTTTAGCAATGAAATTAGAAACGAATTTAGAGACGAAAAGAAAACGGATCGAGAACGAATTAATCCATATTCAGAAACGGATTTATAGCAATGTAGAAATGGAAAAATCCATTGTCATGCAGAAACGGATAAATAAATCCGTTTGCAGCCTCAGAAATGCCTCAAGTTGACATGGATTTTTTCGGTTTATGATTTGTTTCTAAATTGATTTGGCAACAGATTTTAGTAATTTAGAAACGGTAAATTTCTATTTCAATACTTTATTGTTGTGTATTGGGAAGATAATTTGAAATTGAATCTAATGTCAGATACTATATGCACTTATCATGTGTGCTTAATAAAATTATATTTAAACATACATGTTATATTATATAATTTTAGTAACGGATTTTTTTCTGAAGAGATTGATGGATTGGTTTCAATGAGATGATTTTGTTCTATTTATTTTTTATCAACGAAATTAACTTATTTTATTATAATAAAACATATGAGAAAAAACTTAACTTATCAAAGTAATCTAACTCTAGTTAACAGGCTTTCCAAAACACCTGTAAAAGTTAAGTGAAAAAATCTAGTAAAAATACCTCAATAAACAAAATCAAAAGGGACATCAATAAGATCTCTTCTTAGGATAAGAAAGAGAGAGAGAGAGAAAAAAAAAAAAAAACTATGCTATTACATAAACGAAACCAATTTTTAAAATCATGCCAAAAAAGATTCTGCAGTATCCATTCCCTTCTTAGCTAAACATTGTGCAAAATGATAACGTTCTCTTTTGACAAAACTGAAATCAATTTGAACCAAATAACACAGTAACGAATCGAATTTATTAAAATGATCACACCATTGCCACGCCGTTTGTAGAATTTGATTTAACAATGAGAGACATAGAAGAATTATCACAATGACTAAACAACTCAATAACTTTTAAAACTACTTATAATTTAGCTTCATTAGAATCTAAGATTCCCACCGATTAATGAAAAACACATATAACCAAACCAATAGAGTTTTTTAATGCATCGCGGATACCAGCCGATCCTGGTTTTCCTCTTGCAGCCTACCAACATTAAATTTTAAAGCACATTATGATAGATACTGCCAAAAAATATATTTAAATAGGTTGTATTTCAACTTTGATAGGCATCATGCTCTTACAAACCAATAAAAGGAAAGAAATCCAATCATTTAAGCAAAATAACAATGAGGGAAACTTAACTTTTAACATCTCAAAACTTTTAAATTTAATCTCATCCATCGTCTTGTCAAAGTCTAATATTTGAAAAAAAAAGATTTATTTATAATTATGAAATATATAACATTTTTGTCTAACTTGATTGCATTTCCATCATAAAAGTGTGTTAAACATGTTTTTGATAAAATTTTATGGTTAGGATAACTTTATTTTTATATTTATTAAGAAGCTTGATGAATCGAAATAAATAATATAATGTGATAATTTTTTCACTATAAAAATAATATAATGGGTTAATATATCATCAAATTAGCGAAGATTCTAATGAGCGATTATTCAAACTTAGATTTAAAATTAGACCCCTCACTTTGAAAATCCTATCAGACCACATTCGTTGATTAAGAGAATTTTTTTTTTTTTTTTGAAAGAGATTAAGAGAAATTTAATTGATGTCCACCGTCCGTTATAAGGCGAATAGCGTAGGTCTGTAATCAGAAAACAGACTTATAAATAGTTTCCAATATTATAAAAAAATATTAAAATAAAAAAAATTCACACTGTTCATTCCCTTTCGCGGACTCTACTTTATACTAGAAGATTTTGTTTATCTGCGATTTTTCATTTGCACAGACAAAAACCTAACATTTTCCATCTGCATATCTCCTCTGATTAAGTCCTTACCCGATCAATTAGATATATGGCACAAAGAATGATCGAGCTTTAATTATTCAGTGAAAAGAATAAAATTAAATTCAGTGAAAATGGATATGGACGAAGAGGATTTTGTGTTCTATGGTACGCCGATAGAACGTGAAGAAGAGCTCACTAGTCGCAAGAAGAAAGCCGTCGCCGAGGCCTCCGGTCACCTTCGAACCCTTCCTTCTTGGAAACAAGAGGTAATTGTTTCGATTTGACCTCCGTTTGGTTCAGAGAAAGCAAAGGAAGCACGAAAACCGTGTTTTTTATTTTTTCCCTTTTTCTTCTTAAAAGAAGAGGGAAAGAATGTATCGAGCTGCTAGAGCTGCTTATAGTTTACTGTGTGTATTCATGACTGGCACAGTTTAGATTTTTCTCTTTTTTTTTTGTTTGGTTTTGTTGGAGAAGTTGATATCATTATAATGTTTGGTTGCGAATAAATACAATAAAGGGATTGGAAATTTAAATGTCATGTAATGCTATAACCATTTATATAAAGCAAGAAAGAAATTTTTTTAGAAATCAATTGCGATGTATCTCTGTTAGGGCTAGCTGGACCCCCAACTCGTGAAGAATCAAATGGGTAAGAGCATGAGACATTAACCGTGTTTCTAGATTCCTAATATCATCCATGACTACACTCAATTCTCTGAGACAGTGGATATCCTTATACAGTGATTTAATTCCCTATAGCTTGGGCAGAAGTCCCTTAAGTTGCTCTCGATAGTAATCTTTGTTTATCTGTGTCCCAAGCATATTTGAAGTCCACAGAGCAAGGGATCGGTATAAGGTTGATTTCATTCAGACGTCTTTTCCAGGGCCAATGCTTCTTTTGTATCCTGTTTCTCTGCTTAATTTAAAATGCCATCCGATTGAGTTTTCTGAGTTACTTCGTCCTGTTGCACATTTATCAACTGTCATTTGTTGTTTCAACATGTTTTGTTTGCTTATTTGTTTTGAGTTTCATATCAGGTTAGAGATGAAGAAGGTCGAAGAAGATTCCATGGAGCATTTACTGGGGGATTCTCTGCTGGTTATTACAATACAGCGGGCTCAAAGGAGGGTATGCTTTATCCAGATTATAAAATTTTTCAGTGTTATAGAGTCATGAATTTGTTAAGAGAAGTTTGTGCGCTAACATGACAAAACACTATGCAGGTTGGACTCCTCAGTCATTTACTTCGTCCCGGAAAAACAGAGCTGAATTTAAACAACAAAGCATTCTTAACTTTCTAGATGACGATGAGAAAGATGTATGTATCACCTTACTGCCATATTTAATTCTTTTTGGATTAAATGAAAATAATATGATTTATTGATGTTGGCCATTGTATTAGTTTTGCACGGAACATCTATAATTGCTTGTTATCTTACTGTAAGCATTTGACGTTTTATGATATGAATACAAGTTTAGAAATCTTGCAGAGAAATAAAAAATTTGTTGTTTTAATGTTTCTGCATTGTTACATATTTGAGGGGATGGTACTTACGAAAAATAAACATCTAAGCTAACATGAGAATTGGATATACTCCCATTGCTTGCAATTCTGGTAAATCTCTCCTTTTTTCTTTTCTTTTTTTTTTTTTTCTTCATTTGTAAAGGTAAGAATTCTATTAAGCAAAGGTGTATGACCATATAAAAAAAATTCCTGTTACCCGAAACTATGGACTAGACTGCTACTTCTGTTAATAGTTCTCCGTCAGTGTTTCCATTTTCCCAAACAGCCTTCAAGCTTTTCCTTACTTCTTGAAGCTTTAATGTGCAGTTATGTTCATCAAAATGTCCATCTCCGTACATACATGCTTTTGCATTGACAAATCTATCGTTGAATAGCTAAATTACTATGCACAATCACTTCTGGGTGACATAAATAACTTTCTTCATATACTTATTTAGTTGAGATTCCAATAGACTCATCAGCCAATAATGTATTTGATAGCCTTTTATGGATTCTTAATGCGTGGGTGCTTCAAAAGTCTGGATGAACCTGAGTGGTAGAATGAATTTTAATTCTTCCAATTATTATTACTACTACTATATAAGGCACCCAAATTGGGCTAAGCCCTGTGCATTATTCATGTGAATGACTAGAGTTCTATTGATTAGAAATTAATTCTGGTTTTTTTATTTGTTTTGATTTTCCATTTTAGGAATTGGAAGGTCGATCCTTGGGGACATCATCTGAGTTTGATACATTTGGATTTACGGCTGCTGAATATGCTCGTAAACAAGCTGAGAAGGAGCAGCAACAAAGGTTTCCCTTTTGTTTGTGATTGATATTCTACTATTGGTGATTACTTATAATAATATATGGAATTAACAATTGCTATTGGTGCCTACTATGAACTAAGCATCCTAGAAACAAAGATAATATGCTGTAGACTTTGTACAAGATTTTCATTGTGTTACAAAATAGTAGAATTTTTTTGATGTGGATGAAAATGATAAGTTGTGATGCGCCACATTTTCTGCAGTCCCTCTTAAACGCAGTTTAGATTTTCCTCTTATATTGCTGAAGGATATGGTCTAATTTAATTTCTGGGGTTTCCTATCCCAACATGATAGGCAGTTTCCCCTTTGTTTTTAATGCATTGATGGATTTGAAAAGAGATTAAGGTGTAATTGTTTCAATGGGTTGGACTAAATACGATAGAACAAATATCTCGTCCTATTGTTTGGTATACCAGTTGGATAAGTCAAAAGTGGATTCTTTACCTGTATAGTCCTCTTTTTTGCTCCCTAATAGTCTGTTTATCAACCTGTCCAGTTTCCTATGAGGAGTAATGAAATTTTTGTTTAAAAAATATTCTAGGAAAAGATGAAGCAAATAAATGTTATATTCCTTAAATTTTGTAAAATAAAGAAATTAGTATTTAGAAATTTTTTATTTGTTGTTTTCATTTATGTTTTTGATGACTTTATTATCATTTTATTTATATATTGAATATTAGATATGATGTCCTAGTTATTAATTATCTGATACATAAATAACTATTTTGTGTGCGTGATGCTCGCTATATGCTCATGTTACATTTAGTTGCTAATTTTTTGTTGATCTTTTTATTAAGCGGCATGAATTTTTTTTTCTTGATACATCTGTTGCAGGCCATCAGCTATTCCTGGACCTGTTCCTGATGAACTAGTTCTTCCAGCTGCAGAGTCTATTGGTTTGTGATGGCCATATTATAGTAGTGTTTTCATGAAATTATGTATTTTTTTCTGTTTGCAAATTGAGCTACTCTTGGTTCACATTGCTGCTGCTTATTAGGTATAAAATTGCTGCTGAAGATGGGATGGAGACATGGTCATTCAATCAAGGATTCACATGCAAATTCGCTGTATGGTATGTTTTCTCCATTCTTTATTTCTTGTTTGGTCTGGTCTCTATACCTTCAATATGGAATTCTCTTAAATTTCAATGGATATTTGCTGCTTGGTTGGATTGTTAATTTCTTGTGTTAATTGGCATCTTAACGTATATTTGATCAGTTTTTTCATGTGAGCAGAGATTGAGAGCTCTATATATTGTATCTTTCAGTGTTTGGGGATTAATTTAAGTATAGCAAAGTCTAGCCCCCTTTTGTATCTTTCTTCATCTTTGTAATTTACTCACAGATGCTCGTAGAGAAGCTAGAAAAGCTTTCCTAGCATTTTCTTCTGATGATGCAAAAGAACATCTTGCTGATTCTGAACCTGGTGAGGATGACCCTGGAAGCTTAGAGCAGTCTGTTAGTGATGGTGTTCAGACTTCTCAAAGCACACCTGTGAGGACCTTTTCATGGCTAATACTTTATCTTTTGATTTCAATCTCCTGTATTAGCTGTTTTGTATTCCTTATAACTTTACATTCCCATACTGGTTGCAACATTCTGAGTCTTCTTATTCAACTGAGTATTGCACGCTACAATTACAGATTTAACATGTTGTACTCTAGCAGAAAGCTCACACTTCATTCATAATAATGAACTGTTACGAAATTATCCATATTTAGTGCTAAGGTTCCAGTTTGCTTGATTTTCTGGGAGCCAAACAAGGTGCTTTGTTGAATGAATGCATTAAGTTTTTGTGGTTCATAATTATAGAAGTAAAGAACATAGGTAAAATGGTCAAATGTGCTGATGTGATAGAAATCCCTTTATAGAAACTGTTGTACATAACTTGATGACCTTGCAATCAGTGTATGTGTATCATTCCATTATTATGTTTAAAAATAATTATAACTATATTATAATTTAGAATTTTGGTGCCTCTAAAAAATTTTGATATTCTCAAAATAAAAGTTCTAAAATTTTGTTTTCTTTCACATAAATTTCTTAATGTGATACAGTCTAATGTAGATTGTCAACCAAGAGTAAGACCAGCATTGTACTGATTCTCATCCTTTCGATTGATATGGCTACTCTTATGTGTTTTCATGTTGGAGGTTTCCGAAAATCATGAATTAATATGTCTTATTTTACAAATCTACGGAAAAATTCTTCTCACGGTGGCAACATAAACCGTACTTCTTTTCTGCTGCAGGTTTTCGTACTCAACCCAAAGCAGGATTTATACGGCTTAGGGTATGATCCATATAAACATGCTCCTGAGTTCAGAGGTGTGTTATTTCTTGAAGTTAACTGAGTTATACTTTACAAATTTGTCCTATTAATGCAAGTTTGTCTTAGAAGTTTGTTTCCTCCTATTTGCAGAGAAGAAAAGATCACGTGTATCTGATAGCAGAGGGTCAGGGAATAGAAAAGCTTTATTAAAGAGAGATGATCTTTTTGGTTTCAAGTGTAAGATATATTATCATCTGATTCTGTTTTGATGGCCTTTGTCCTTGTTCTCTAGATTATTTGCTGCCTGTTCTATCTCTCATTTAGTTATTTATTCGTTATTTTGCTTGCATCTATGAATCTTTTATCTCGAGTTTGATCAGCTAATTACTTTAATTCATCAGCAGGAAAGGCTGCTCCTGGCTTTGGCATTGGTGCACTTGAAGAATATGATGCTGAAGATGAGGATGTCTATGCAACTGGTTAGTAAATATTATTTTACATTTTGGCAATCTCTGGTCCCTTCTGTTTGATGCTATAAGGAAGAAGCTATTCACTGTGGTGGATAGAGGATTTGATCAATACCTTGGCTTTTTTCAAAATAGAGATTTTTCACATAATTGAAGATACTTTCTTCATCTTTATTTTCATATTTACTTTTGTTGTTTGTATGTTGTTTTTCTAAATTTGTTTACTGACAAGAAGCTTTAGTCTCCTACGGTATAAGCTTCATTTTTCTTAATTTGGATGAGGTTATAAGAGGGAATAAGAAACCTTTTGTTTGATTCTGTGTGAGAATGGAAAGAAAGTTTTTGAGTTATTCTCTTGAGACGTTATTTGTTTTTTCCCGTCAAAATAATCCCTAAATCTAATTTTCCTTGACTACATCAAGATATTCTCTGTCTTGGTTTTTTATATAAGTTTTCTATTGGTCGTTGTGCCAATGGTACTGTCTAAAACATCATTTATCTGATTTTGGTAAACTAGAAAAAAAGAGGAAAAGGAATATCCTAATCACTCAAGTCTCATTCATGCTGTTCTTTATTCTTAACTCAGTGGAAGCATACTCTTCTTCCTTCCTCCAGTCTAATTTGAGATGCTAAATAGTTTCTTAAATCTTTTTAAACCCCTGATTGGAAAAGCTGGTATGCTATATGCTAAATAGCTTTAGACTCTATGCTATAAACGCATCATTTTTTTTTTTCTACATTTGAATGACGTTTTAAGAGGGAATGAGAGAGTAAAACCCTTTCCTCATATGCTGTTTGATGATGGAAAGAAAGCTTACGAGGGTTAGTTATTCCCTTAAGACCATGTTTGTTTTCCCCTCAAAATAATCCCTAAATCTAATTTCCTAGACTACATCAAAGTATTACTCTGCTTTTTTGCTATAAATTTTCTGTTTGGTGATTGTGCCAATGGTGATATGTTGTTGAAACCATCATTTGTCTGATTTTGTTACAATAGAAAAGGAGAGGAAAAGGAAGATCCTAGTTACCTGAATCTCATCCATGCTATTCTTTAGCCATCATCTCTCCTTAACTGAGTGGAAGCATACTCTCTCCCTCCCTCCAGTCTAATTTGAGATACTAAATAGTTTATCTTTTTAAACATCTGAATGGAAATGTTGTTACTTTCAATGTTTCTCGTCTTCTCTCATGGTTTAACCTGACTTCCCTTTTCTTTCCATTCCAACCAAAATTGCCGACCGACTGTTTGTGTGATTTGATCAATTTTGGTATTTCACCTGCTGGTACTAACTGATTTAGTTTTTGGATACAGTATTATATTGCAGTGGGTATGTTTTGGGTGTTTGTTTTGCAAAGTTGTGCATATGTAGTCGTGGAACAACATCTATGCTTCAATTATAAATTTGCCTTCCGTTATTGATATGGTTTCTACTTTTTGCTGTTATCTTTGTGTGTCTGTGCGTGAGAGAGAGAGAGAGAGAGAGAGTTCTATTTAATCTAACAATCATTGTTCTCTAGTACAAGGTTATCATCTCTACAGTACTAATTGTTGTTTTTGATCAGCTTATGACTTGGAAGAAACTTATGTACAAGAAGTTGAAGAACCTTCAAGATCCAGCACAGACCATAAGCCAAAATTGGTCTGGAAGGAGCAAGGTGTTCTGTCTGGATTTAGAATTGCATCAAATACTGATTACCAGTTGGAAAGGTAATTAGAAAATCATGTGGAATTTTGTAATTTTTTTTTGTGAGACAAATCTGAAGCGACTTCTGCTGCTGCTGTTATCATGATATCATTCATTATTACTATTATTTGGAGGAGGGGTGCAGTGTCATGCATGCGGAGCTTTACTATATCTTTGTACTCAATATAACTTAATTTCCATTGTGCAAATTTTGGTCAGGTTTCAACCCCCAGCAATTCCAGAGGATTTTGTTCCCCACCATAAGTTTCCCAGTCCCCTTGAGTCTGATAACAAGCAAACTGTTCCTGCTCCGCCTGAGGTTGCTCCTCCAGTTGATAATAATATGAAACTCTTAATTGAAGGGGTTGCAACTCTAGTTGCTAGATGTGGTCAATTATTTGAGGATCTTTCCAGGGAGAAAAATAAATCAAATCCTTTATTTAGTTTTCTTAATGGAGGAAATGGCCAAGACTACTATGCTAGGAAGTTGTGGGAGGAACGGCAAAAACGTAATGATCTCAAGCATCCAATTTTGGATGGGAAATCATCTCCAAGTGTTCAGAAGATGACTGCTGAGAGCCGTGGAAAAATATTAGGGGAAAAACCCTTAGAAAGAAGCTCAAAAGATTTAAGCTCATCTGTTGTGTCTGCTGATGTTAATCTCCAATTTAATCTTTCAGATACATTTACAAAACCTGCATCTTTTGTGAGTGGTTTACTTCTTTGTATGTTTGTGTGTTGCTTCTTGAACTCATAGATGTTTTGGAAGTTCAAGTTTGACTTTTCTTTTCCTTAACTTTTTTTCTTCAAATACTCTAAAAAATAGGGTGAGTTTCCTGAAGTGGCAAAGCCTTTCAAAGATGATCCTGCAAAGCAAGAAAGATTTGAGCGGTTTCTCAAGGAAAAGCACCAAGGAGGACTTCGTTCTGTGAATTCTGCCGGAGCAAGCCATATGTCAGAAGCAGCTCGTGCACGCGAAAGATTGGACTTTGAGTTTGCGGCCGAGGCAATAGAGAAAGGGAAGTGGAATAAGGAAGACAAACTCTCTATACAACAGTTTCTGGAGTTTTCGGCTAGTGGTGGGATGCAGTTCACCTCTGCTGGATTGGAGGTAATACTTCTCTTACAACAGTTTCATGTTGTCAGGGTATTCCCCTTGGTATCTTCCTGAGCTAAAATTTCTGTAACAGCCAGGTAGAGATACTCATGCTGAAGATCCAGCAAAGAAGAAAATTTACCCCAAAAGGGAAGAATTTCAGTGGCGTCCTCTACCTGTTCTATGCAAGCGGTTTGATCTAATTGATCCTTATATGGGGAAGGTACTCTTTACGTGCTTGGCTTCTTTATGGACTTTCTGCTATTAGGTTAACGGTCAAAAAGAGTAATTGTGAATTTTTTTTTCCATTTTGTTTTCTTGTTTTGATGACGATAATTTATTTACAGATGCAATTATTGGGCTCTTATCTCCAATACAAGGGAACTAAGCAAGTTCCTTTGGCTAGACAGACTTGTTTTTTTGATGATCATATGTGCTGGGTTGCTGGGGTTTTCTCCCAACCCTCCAATAATTTATTTTCTTGATACTGTTTAACTGCATCCAAGTTATTTTCTTTCTAGTTCTTATCATTTTACACAGCTTATTTATTGGAGCTGTCATATTATTATTGATTTAAGATTTTTGCACAACTGTATGACTTGGGAGTATGGTGTTACCATTTTCAGCCACCACCACCTCCACGGATGAGAAGCAAGATGGATTCTTTAATATTCACGTCAGATTCTGTGAAAGCCACAAAATTGGAGGAAACTGTTACTGCAAATAGAGATCAATTTTCAGCGCTTCAATCTGATATGCAACAAATACGCAAAATTGTAGATGATGAGGAAAAGGAAGTCGAGGTAGAAGTGGAAAATGTGGAGAGACCAGTTGACCTTTACAAGGTATAGTTTTCTGCCAAATATATCTGTTAGCATTTGATGAATATGTAAAAGGGTATTGCATCATAAACTGAGTATCATATGGTCGTCATTTCTAATAATACCATAACAGAAATACTGCTGTCATGCAAGAAATCTGTGGCAGAAAGCCTGATTTCTTGGAAGTACATTAAAAATTTCAAGCAGGCTATACTTGTCCCTTTCACCAATATCACCAATCACTATCCTTCGCTCTTACCTTAAGAACCCAATTCAAGTCTAAGTCCTATCATAGTGCCTGCATTTTGTCCATCTTCCTTGTGAGTGTTCAAATCATTTCAAAGTATCCTGTATTTCTTCTATTTGTGCTTTTTGTTAGGATTTTACATAATGAAATTGGAAATGGTTTTGGAATCAAAAACCTAGTATTGGAATCAGACTGTATCAGATTCCTCTGCTGCTATTCTGAATATTTTTTTAAAATAGTAAAATAGCTCAAATAAATATTAAATAATATTTAACTAAATGTAATCATAATCTTGTGTGTCTAATTATTTATATTGAAAAATTATACTCAAAAGAAATAATTTATTGCAGATTTACAAGTATATTTGATTTTCAGGGAATATCATATGGAAAGGCTAAAAAATCTGATACATAACAGCCAATATCTAAAACCCTGGTTGGTGCTGTTCAGTTTGCCCATTTCAATGTAGTTACTTTATACTCCTGATATATGCACCAGAGTTTCTATACTATTAGAATTTTTTTGAAGCAACCCTTATGGTATAAGATGAAAATGAGGGTAGAAATGGGGAAGTAATCTGCACTCTTTCAGTGCTCTGTAATCTGTAATGTGATATTTTTGGTGAGTTAACCAATATGAGAAACGACCAGCTCTTGGTCATAGGTTACCTGCCTCAGATTGCAGTCTAGGGTTTGAACTTCTCTGAACCAAAGAAGAAGAAAGGAGGAAGAAGTGAAAAGAAAGAAGAATAGTTGGTCATAGGCCTGATGCCGTCTGTTTCTTTTGCAATGTTACTATTTGGATTTGATTCTGGAAAGAGCAAACTGTTGATTCTACTATCTGTTTATCACCTAATTTCATTTAAGTGTGGAGAAGACAGTTGGCATGTTGAATTATTGTCTTGACTGACAACGTGCATTTTTGTAGTTAGGTCATCATTAATGTGCTCGCTGTGTGCACTGCTGATACACGCATCAACAATTTAGATGGGTTATTCTTCTTATAAAGTTTGGTATAATTTTTGCTGCTAATGGTAATTTTTGTGCAGGCTATTTTCTCTGATGATTCTGATGATGAGGTTGAAACCCTTGCGGTCAATAAAGCGGAGGATTCAGAGAAAAAGGTTGAAGTGGCTCATACAACATTAAATCGTCTGATAGCAGGTGACTTTTTGGAATCATTAGGGAAAGAACTGGGGCTAGAGGTTCCTCCTGATATGCCATACTCAACAAATAAAACCAAGATTTCTGCTTCTAAGAAAGAATCAGCTCTTGCCGATTCTGAGAATACACCCTCTGCTAATACTAATAATCAACCCTCTAGAGCTGAAGAGGTTGTCCATCCCCAGGAAAGCACTAAAGGGACCGATTCCCAAAAGAATGAATCTGGTCATGGTAATCCACTGAATATTAGTAGCAAATATGCAGAACTTGGTCCATCTGACGATAATATACCTGGTAAACTTGAGCTTGAAAAGATAGTTCAAGAGGATAGGAAAGCTAAATCCCCTCCCAGTAACCGCCGAAAACCAACCAGCAGTTCATCAGATGATGAAAGGAGCAGGAAACGCTCCAGGCGACATCGGTATAGTAGTAGTGACTCATATAGTGATTCATCCAGTGATAATCAAAGTCGGTACCATTCAAGGTCGAAAGGAAGGAGGAAAGGATCCTCTCATGAAAAGAAAAGCAGCAGCAGAAAACATTCAAAACACCACAAGCATAGAAGCAGGGACTCTCCTAGCCGATCTCATTTTGGTTCTGAAAAAGATCGTTCGGGATCCAAGAGAGAGAAGCGGAAGTGGAGGGATTGAATTTCCTTGTACTAAAGAAATCAGCCACCAATGTTTTTGATCGATGGATTTCTTAGCAGGTTTTTATGTTTAATTCACTTTATTACTGGAGATCGAAATGTGCTGGTGTGCAACCATGTATTTTGTGCATCATGGTAGAAATTAGTCATATTCATTGTAAGAAATGGAAATGGGAGAATAATGAGAAAGCTTTGCTTAGTTTCTCCTGTATCTAAAATGAATTTCGTTCTACTTATCAAGTTACGAGTCTTATGACCATCATTTAGAGGGATTTTAGTAGAGAAAACATGAGCCTGTAGCCTCTTTCCGGTATTTGTGGATAAAATATGTAAAATCACTTATATGATTTTTGTTTTATTTGAATATTGATTTGATTGTTGTCTTAAAAATAAATTTAAAATGGATGTTTGAAATAGAAAATAAAACATCTCGAGTCACAAAGCCTCCAACTTGGCCAAACCAACTATGCTATCTGTTTATTCTATTCCAAACCAAGTATTTTGGCAAATGGCAATGGAATTGAACAAACAGATAAGTAAAATAATTTTATTTTATTTATAATTATTATGATTCCAACTTAAAACCAAAGTCCATATGTAACAGCTGATATCACAACAAATAGAAAAGTAATAGAGAGTGACGAAAGGGTGGTTGGTTCTTTGAAACTGACATTCTTATATATATTTATACACTCTCTCAGCATTTAAGTGTTGACAAATTTGAACCTTCTCATGGTTAATATGTGGTTTCGTGTTGCTCCTAAATTGCACTTATAATTTTCCGAAATATAAATAAGCACATTGGAGGTTACCTGTTACTGTTAAAAGGAATAAGCAGTAATTAAGGGCCCCTCCTGTTGAAGGGGCTGGGTCCACTTCTTTTGATTAAAATTGATACGTGCCCTCAACAAAATGCCCTACAATCTGGTAGTTGCGCCCATGACGATTGAGTTTTGATTCTTCTGGCGTTGAAATTGTCGTTGGACTCTCGTCTCCTTGTACTACTAGTAGTTAGGTTAGGAGTGATGGAACTTGTGCGACTTCTTGTAGAGATACTTGTGCTCGGAGGCAAACGAGTTAGTCAAGAAAGAAAGAGTTTATAGTCCGAAGAATTGAACTCATGATCTAAACCATATCTCCTATTTTACTTGTTTGAAATTAATTTAAATATTAATCAAATAAAATATATTCCAACAAATATATAAATTAGATATCCACCGTCACTTCCATCTATAGTAAGTAGGGTGTTTCTTATCTTGGACTAATTAATTTCTACGAATAATTTAGGAGTATACTAAACTTAGTAAAATGATACACACGTATAGTATTTTGTTCTAACTAATCAAATCAATTGCCATTAGGTATTTTACCATAGCAAGTAGAAATTACCAAATATTAGGTGAAGTGCCAAACAAGGAAAAGACTATTATATAATCAAACTTTGCCTACAAAACGGATCTCCAAATAATTAAACAACTATATTATGTATTTGCATTTATGGTACCCCAAGGATATATTTGTCATTTCAGCTATTAATTTTTGGCTTAATTTAAGACTACTTTAATTACATAAATCCAAAAATCAAAGATTAATATCAAACTTCTTGCAATATAAAATGCTACTACTTATCACTTTGTTTGCTATTAATTCGTGAAAAAACAAGCTAACTTAGTGAGAATAAAATACTTTAAACTTTGATATATATAATTAGATATAGCGATAATATCATAAAGTCCCTGTGTTGTCAAAGTTAAAATTACTATCGAGGGGTGAGGTGAGATGAGATGACAACGATCTTTTATCTCTTAATCAGATGTTTCGAGTTCGAATTCTAGATATAAAGTTTCTTTTTAAACACACGAGAGGAAACATTTTACTTTGTAGGCTTTCTCTGTGCGAATCCAAAATAGTTGACTGGTAGATTTCGAATACTAGATAGTTAAAATGAAAAAGATTAAAATTATTTTTCTCCAAAAAAAAAAAAGGTTAAGTTGATTATTTTGACTCGTAATATAACTTAATTAAATGTATTTACAAAAATTATTTAATTAATTATAATTCATTATGATTTATTAATATATTATTTTGAATTTTTTTAAATTTTAAGATGTGGCATATTCACCTCTATTTTTCTTATTTTTTTAGTAAAATCAATTGATGTTAAATAAAAATTTAATCCTTTTGAGTTGTAGACAATAAAATATTTTTACTTTTTCAATAAGTGTGCTTCTTAAAAATAAATTTATATTCTTAATCTTATAAAAGTCAAAGTCGCTTACCACTTTTATCTAACCCATTATTGTTACCTCTATTCTTGTGTAGTTAAATATCAACCTAAGTGTTTAAAAAGTTGAAAATTTGAATTTTAAAAATTGTGAAAGATTCAAAAATTTGTTTGTAAAAATATTTCTCTCTCACTCCTATGAATGAGAAGAAGAAAATTTGCATATTCTCTTTTACAATAGATTAACTTTTGAATTAATAGTAATCATCTTCTCTTTTAGCTCCTACCAATTTATAATGAGAATAAATTTTTTAAATTTTATTAATATAATAGATAAAATTACTTCTCTCTCTCTATATATATTTTTTAGTAAACTAGAAATTCTCTCTCTATATGATTTGCAATCTCTTAATAATACACTAGAAATTTTCTTCACAACTTTTAATAATTATGTTTTGCATGATAAAAGAAAAAAAATAGTACTATTTATCAATTTACACAAGAAAAGGAAAATTAACTTTTTATAATTGTAGCTTTATATATACAATAATGGCATGTGCTAAGCGCTAAGTGGAGGGCCAGCCTACAGTTTGACAAGCACCTAATCATGCATTTAAATGTAATGTTGACTATGGGTTTTTAAATTTGATTCAAACTTTTTTTTTTTTGTGATTTGACTAACTAATTAAAGTTCCAAATCATACCTAATTCTTTAATATAACTTAATCAAAAAAAAAAATCTCTTGCATAAAATGGAGATTTTCACTTTTCAAACAATAGTAAAATTTTCTTGAAAATTATCAAAACATATAATTGTTTAGTAAAAATTTTCAAAAGTTGCATATTAAACTGGCAGCTTAGTAATTCGCCACGTGGCAATTCAACTATATATTATGATTAATTGGATTAATAATTTAATAATCGAATATTTATAAATAAATGATGGGTTATTATTTGGTAAAACATTGGACAAAAATGTAATTAAAGTGGAAAATATGTAATTATGTCTCTCCTTTCTTGACTCCAAGCTAAAACTTAGGCAATTAATCATATGGAGAATGCATTGTATTGAATAACAAATAGATGATAAGGTCAAAGTTTTGGCTGCTAAACTCTGATCAACTGTCCACTTGAAGATGAAGTCAGCCAATCAATACATGTTATTCTAAGAAATTGTTATTTGTCACTTCTATTGAATTCAAGCATATTTATTATTTCAGTCACTTCTTGGTGTTTAACTATTAATTTGTTATATATATATACTTAGGCAATTAATCATATGGAGAATGCATTGTATGAATAACAAAATAGATGATAAGGTCAAAGTTTGGCTGCTAAACTCTGATTCACTGTCCACTTTGAAGATGAAAGTCAGTCCAAAATCAATACATGTTATTCTAAAGAAATTGTTATTTGTCACTTCTATTGAATTCAAGCATATTTATTAATTTCAGTCCACTTCTTGTGTTTAACTATTAATTTGTTTAATATATATATATATATATATATATATATATAATTTAATATGAATTTCATATTTATATATTGCAATGCTGAATTTTTCAAATATATAATTTAATATGAATTTCATATTTATATATTGCATCCTGAATTTTTCAAATATAATTCAACAGTACCAAGTAGGATATTTTTCATATTATCATCTATTTATTTCTTTATTAAAATAAAATTACTTATTTATTGATGGTGTATAAGATCATCTTTGCATCAAGCCAATGAATAACTTTTATTTCAATTTTTTTACTGTTCATAACTCTTTTATTTTTTTATTTTTTTTACTTGAATGAATCATCAATAATACTCTCATTTGCCTTTTTTTTATTCATTAGAATAACAATAAAATTTAATGCTGCCATTGCCCATAAATAAGTAGTAATTACTGGGACCCATAATTTCATTTATTACTACTTAATCCTAAAAATAAATAAATAAATAAATACCTCTACTTATAGTGAAGAAATCACAATTCATTAATGCAACTTCTAGAACGTTGTGTGATTTATTTATTTATTTATTTATTTTATTGTGCATTGCGATGGATTTTAATTGAAACCCAATTAGTCTTAATTTGTTAATATTTAATTTTTTTGAAATCTTTATTTTTTTATTAAATTGATAAAATTTTATAATGAATAATTATATAATTGATGTCTAAAATATTTTAGTTTTTTCTATTTAATTTGTTAATTTCACATTTTTTTTGTAAATTAAGCGCTTCAATGGATAATTTTTTTCTAAATAAATCACGCAGAAATTTTTTTTTATCAGAAAATCAAAATACATTATTTCACTCAATTAATAGTGCCACGCTTAAATATCTATTTCATTCATCTCTGTTTCTTTTTTTTTTTTTTTTAGTTTCTTAAGTTTTATGTCTTCTTTTTTTGTAAAAAAAAACAAAAGATATGAAAGTTCAAAATTTTCTTATAATTTTATATTTATTATAAAATAAAAATCAATAAAAATAAGAGAAAATGAAACAAAGACAGAAATGTAACCATTTGAAGAAGTGAATAAAGTGAAAAAAATAGATAATGAAATAGTCTATTTTGAAATTAAAGAAGAAATATCGGTCAAATGTACTTAATCGTATAAATTATTAATTTAAATACTTAACAAAAAATAAATTTGAGATACGAAAATAAAAAATAAAAAAATAAAATAGTAAATTTATAATTATTTAATTTTCTCATTTTTTCTCTCCCTTTTTCTCTATAATTCAAAGATATGTCCAATAAATTATCTTATGTTTAGTTGACTTTTAGATTTATTCAAATGTAAACATTCTTTAATGAATCTTGTATTCAAATGTAAAATATTTATTAATTCAAACTGTATTTTCAATAAATATAGTTTTATTTCTTTTTTTAAAAGATTATTTCTTGTTTAATTTTTTAATATGCCCTTATTTAATGTACATAGGTATTCCTAATTGTATACATTGCAATTATTAATAGATATGAATTTTAGGAAAAAAAAAACTAAATAGAAAAAATATAGTTTAACTATAATAAGTTTTTCCTACATTGAAAGATCTAAGTTGAAAAGTTTTTAAGGTTTTAACAGCTCAATCTATTGAATTGAAATGGTGAAATTTTTTTTGAGGAAACTCCAAAATTTTAAATTAATCGATTGAATATAATTTATAAAATCAAAAGATGGAAACTTGAATTTCAAATTAAATAATTTTATTATTCGCCAACCATATATGATTTAGTTGATCTTTTTGGTAATGTAGTGAGAAGTTTCGAGTTTAAGTCTTCTCAATCATAAAAGTTCTCACTAATTGGTCTTTTAATGAATAAAAAAAATTCATTTTTCTAAATTTATTATATTATTTTCATTTTTAAATTTAAATTTAAAAGATAAAAACATATTTTAGACAAAATTGTTTTTGACAATTATTGTCCAAAAATTATGTTTGTTTTTAGACAAAAATTGTGATGATTTGTACATTATTTAAACCTGCCCTAACAGTTGATAAAAAAAAAAAAAAAAATCAATTGTAAGCCCTAACAGTTGGAATAAAAAAAAAAAAAAAAAAAAATCAAAATTGTAACTTTAAATTTTCTAATTCTTTATCTTTGAAAGATAAAAAAAAAAAAAAAATCAATTGTAACTTTATTTTCTAATTCTTTATCTTTTGAAATAAAAACCTACCTTCTATTTTGTGGGAATTCTGATTTTGCCGTTCAGTATAAAAATGATGGGAATGAAAAATCCAAGAATTGCATATACATGGTACTTAATCAATAATAAAAATACTATAGACTTTATAAATTAATCATATTTAGATAATTACTGACTAGATGAGAGGTCTATAATTTTTATATATAGTTTTAAAATATTTTTAATATAGATTTAAGATATATTCATCATTTGAATTTTTTGTTTTCACTAATTAACCGGGAAAGAGAATGGGATTTTTATTAATATTCTCTAATAGAAAATTAGAGTATTTAGTATATTCTTAAAATATTAAATCATTGCATGGATAAGACATTGGAAAAATTGTTACTTAGGGAGTAATAATCTTTTAATTATTGTTTATAATAATGTTTTAATGGCAACGAAGATTAAGTTGCTGCCAAACAGTTGCCAAAGCTACTCTTTTCTTTCTAAATTAAGTTTATGGATATTCATGAATCATAATAAAAAATTATTAATGGAGGTCAAATATAAATAAATTTACCTTTACATTTTTCATAAATTAATTATTTATATATATTATATTATATTTTTATTTATTCTTTTATATGTACGTTAAATTATTATTTAGTGCTTCAGTTAATGATAAATATTACATGTTTCGAATGTAGATATTAGTGTATTTATTAAGCAAGAGGAATGAAATTATAATAATTTTAAGGATTAAGTTGTTCATCTAAAAAATACCCTTTCATTTATTGAATTTTAATATTTTATTTATTAGAGTAGTTTTTGAAAAATAAAAATTATAAACTCTAATATTATCAAGAAGTTTTTCCTTTATTATATTTAAAAAATAAAAAATAATATAAAAAGGCGGCCACGTGAATTGTTACTCTGTAAAACTCCGATTGGTCTTTGTTTGACCTTTCAAATCAGCTGCTCTTCCTCATCCATATTCCATACTACCTCTGCTCTTCCTCTTCCTATATATTCTTATTTACGAATTTTATTTTCTATTAAACTATCTTTCACAACTGTCTTTCAAAATTATTTTCTTTTCTTTTTTCCTCTTTTCCTGTCTCTAATCTTTTATAATTTACCGTTAAGTCTGTATTTTTATGCGTGTATATATAAGTATAATTTATGTTGATTGAAACTCTGCATTGGCATATAGGCTCACGCACCTGCATTAACCATTTAGATCGCCTACAATCTTGCAGTTCATGATCATGTGAAGCGTTGCCAAAACCAAAAGAAACAAGAAGAAAAAAAAGAAAAATTTGAGTTGACCCGAAATTATAAAGTCTACAATTAGCAAGAACTCTGCTGTCTCTGTAACTCTGTTCTGTAAGTTCCGTTCTCTACTTTTTTATCTCTCTTTTGCAGCTCTTTTTTTTTTTTTCAATCAATTTTTTTGGGCTTCGTTTGACCTTCTAGAATGCTTGTTGTCTACTCCAATTTTATCTTTTTCTTGCTTAGCTGTTGCCATTATTTTTTTGTTACTCTTTTTATAGCAATTGATGAGCAGCAGTGGTACTTCCTATTTTTATTTGATTTTGATTAATTTGAAGTGAGCTCCTTGTTCCTTCTTCTTCTAACTTGATGAAGTAGCTCAGTTTTGTTATTATGTAATTTTAGGTGAGAAACCCAAATGCATGCTTTTAAGTTTTTTTTTTTTTTTTTTTTTTAGTAGCTCAGTTTTGTTATTATGTAATTTAGGTGAGGAAACCCAAATTGCATCTTTTAAGTTTTTTTTTTTTTTTTTTTTTCCTGGTTTCGTTTCTACGAGTTCAACGTAAGAAATGGCATGGCTTTGTTTCGTTAGCTTACAAAAAAAAAAGGCTCGATCAAGAACAGAAAAATTTTGTTACTTTTCTTTGCTTTTTTTTTTGTCTTGTTCCAGGGATCTGGAATATTGGACCAGGAATATTTTTGTACGTTTTTTCTTACTGGCCTTTTTTGATAAAAGGGCTACTTTTGCCTTCTGCGTTTTTGATATTATTTTTATTTTTCATGTTAAAGAATTACTTAAATTTCCTTGTATTTTCTGTTTCTTTCCTGTTTATTCACTTTAGCATTTCTTTTCTGATTTAATTTACTAAATTGGTTTTTTCTCTTATGTTTTAATGTGCCATTTTGGGCAGTTTAACACCTCCCATACCGACGCCACGTGTACATTAAGTGGGTTGGCGAGGGATACTGTTCGTATAGCCAGTCAACTTTTTCCCTACTCTTATTTCCTTTCGTGAAAAGGCTTTGATGCTCCCACATTGCATAGTAGTATGCAGTGAATATATGAAGAAATGCATTAAGTTTTTGAAGTATGCACTTTAATACAGCTCTCGCTATTAAATGCCAGCTCAAATTATGTCGAGCCAGCCCTAATTACAAAGCTGACATTTGAACCCTTCTTGATATTAAAAAGTGAAAACTGTTTTTTTTTCTTTAAAATAAAGAATGTTAAACCCAAAATCATTTTACTAGTTATTGCGTATTTTGAATGTTTACATGTCGTTATGTTTCTCTCGCGCCTAGTAAATATTCTTGATATGAAGATACAGCTTAATTCGCCAAATTGTATGAGCCTTTATGATTGGTCCTAATATATGTCAGGGAATTCTGAGGATATATGTTATAGACTCGGACTTACTTTCAGGGCATTAGCGTGCCAGTTTAATCTATGCCTGGTGGTCTGTCTTACTTCCTAACCAGTGTAGGCTCTGAGATCAACAAGTGGTGGCTACGTGTATTGTATTGCTTAGAAAGACGTCTAATAGAAAGTGACTCTAAAACCATCATTGTATGCAGGTTGGCCTGTACGTAAGGCGATGGCATATGCGCATAATCATTAGATGATAGTGGCAGTGCTAGCTAATAATTGTCTTAGGGTGTTTTTTCTATGGTAAAGATAAAATAGGGTGTCAATTTCATCTCGCAAGAACAGTGCTAAGTAAATATGTGAAGCATCTTCGCAAATATTCCATTGACCTATGGTGCTCGATTTTTAAGCAAATATTAGAGATATCTCAAACCAGAGCGCATTTACACAGGAGCTTTCTTTTGATTAGTTATATTATCTTTTACTGATCAACCCAAACAGAAGAAATGTGGGACAAATGCGGAAAAGGGGTGAGGAGGGGTGGGTGTGAGAGGAGAATGAGAGGAAATAATATGTGGGAAAGTACAATGCCAAAAGGTATGCAGCAGGGTGTGGGGTAGATCTAAGAACCAAGTTCATTAACAAGTCGTAGTTAGACATGTCTTATCGTCATGCGCTAGAGTGAAGGACACATAGCCGCTCTCTATAAAGTTGCAGGGGTGAGACAAGAGAAGGTCGAGTGACGCAAAACGTGATGTACTAACTAACAAGAGCTGGTGAAGTAAAGATGAGGCGCCATCTGACGAGATCGCCGGCGGACAACCAGGCCCCTTGTATCTGAGCACAAAGCGCTATACGCGGAATACGGAGGAGTCACAACAGCTCTCAATGATAACTCCTGACCTAAAGCCTGGGTAGGCTGAAGCATATACAAGAATAGATTGAGCTAAATGAAATAGTATAACGATCAAACCAAATACAGCATCCGGCGTCAGAACTAGCCCTAAGCCTATACCCTCTACAACCTCTTGTTCGGACCCAAAGTTCGATGATATGTTTGACACGCCTATTCAGGTGGGAGTTGCCAAAGTTTTTCATTATCGCTCATCTGTGCCAGTTTAGTGTCTTTCACTCCACGTCGCCTTTACTTTTTTTTTTTTTTTTTTTTCCTGGTTTCGTTTCTACGAGTCAACGTAAGAAATGGCTGGCTTTGTTCTTAGCTTACAAAAAAAAGGCTCGATCAAGACAGAAATTTTGTTTCTTTTCTTTGCTTTTTTTTTTTTGTCTTGTTCCAGGGGATCTGGATATGTGACCAGGAATATTTTTGTACGTTTTTTCTTACTGGCTTTTGATTAAAAGGGCTCTTTTGCCTTCTGGGTTTTTGATATTATTTTTTATTTCATGTTAAGAATTACTTAAATCCTGTATTTCCTGTTTCTTCCTGTTTATTCACTTTAGCATTTCTTTTCTGATTTAATACTAAATTGGTTTGTCTCTAGTTTTGCTTAATGGGATGTGCTACTATTCCTTTTATCTCTGTTCCTTTATTATTATCTTTTAAAATTATTGTTATAGCTTAATTGTTTTTATATTTTTGTGATGGATTTTTTGATTGATTGATTATCAGGGATTTGGTTCTATTCGGCTGGTATATTGGAAGTTGGTTCTTTTTAACTTATTGGTCATTGGTCTTTACTTGAAGACAGAATTTTCTGGCATAAAATTTCCTGCTTTTTGGGAAGTAAAATTAATTCCAGTTGGTGAGATTTTATGCGTTTAAGCAATTTGGAAACACAACTATTAATTGCTTAAAATGTCTGGAGGTAGAAGAAAGAAACAACATTTTAGCAGAATACATGCTTTCTCATGTGGAAAGGCATCTTTTAAAGGAGACCATTCACTGATTGGGGGCCCTGGCTTTTCAAGGGTAATCCACTGCAATGATCCTGAAAGCTTTGAGGCTGGGGTTCAAAATTATGGCAAGAATTATGTTAGAACTACTAAGTATACTCTTGCAACCTTTTTCCCCAAGTCATTATTTGAGCAGTTCAGGCGGGTTGCCAATTTTTATTTCCTCATCTGTGCCATACTGTCTTTCACTCCACTGTCGCCTTACACGGCAGTTAGTAATGTTATTCCTCTTGTTGTCGTTATTGGAGCTACAATGGGAAAAGAGGTGATTGAAGACTGGAGAAGGAAAAAGCAGGTAAGCTTCTTCATGCTACCAATTCCAGATCAAATACTAAATTTTTATGTTTTATTATCTAAATTACAGCATAGAATTGTGTTTAAGATAATTTGTTGGACAAAATCCAAATCATGATTCCTTAAATAGAAATCTTATGAGTTTTTGATTCTTTACAGTTGGTTTTTGGTATACAATGAAGAGTCTTGGATATTTTCTAATACCTATATGTAGCTATCTATTTATTATAGTATTTTCTTGGTTGTCTTCAATTTAATTTTGGAATTCTCAAAGTTGGATTGGCTTTGAGTGCAATCAGTTGCCAATGTTTCTGATAATTCTTTTGTTTGACATTTTCCGTGGCAGACAATGCATGATGCCTCTTTTACATTGAATCATTTTAGGGTTTTACATGATGTTTCAGTTCCAACATAAGGAGTTAGCTATATAATTTTTTTTGTCAACCTGGGAATTTAGAGTTGGTTTTCGACCTCTTTTTTTGTTTCTTTTTTTCAAGTGTGATATTCATATGCTTAGTGTTATTTGATTGAACTTCTTACTCTGGATGAATAATCTTGTCTATTAAAATGTTATCAGGATATTGAAGTGAACAATCGTAAGGTAAAAGTGCATTCTGGGGATGGTGTTTTCCATCATACCAAATGGATGGATTTGAAAGTAGGGGACATAGTAAAAGTAGAAAAGGATGAGTTTTTCCCTGCTGATCTTATCTTACTCTCATCAAGTTATGAGGAAGCAATTTGCTATGTTGAGACAATGAATCTTGATGGGGAAACCAATTTGAAACTCAAACAAGCACTAGAAGCAACTTCTAATCTTCATGAGGACTCTAGTTTTCAAGATTTCAAGGCTTTAATAAGATGTGAAGATCCAAATGCGAATTTGTACTCTTTCATAGGGAATTTAGAGCTTGGGGAGCAACAACATCCTCTTTCACCTCAGCAGCTTCTACTTAGAGACTCAAAGTTACGAAACACTGATTATATTTATGGGGTAGTTATTTTCACGGGTCATGACACCAAGGTTATGCAGAATTCAACAGAACCCCCTTCCAAGAGAAGCAAAATTGAGAGGAGGACAGATAAGATTGTCTACCTCTTGTTCCTGTTGTTGGTGGTACTGTCTATTATTGGGTCAATTTTCTTTGGAATTGCAACAAGGGATGATCTTGAGGATGGGAAAATGAAAAGATGGTATCTCCGACCAGACGATACTACAGTTTATTATGACCCAAAGAGAGCACCAGCTGCAGCTATTTTGAATTTTTTGACTGCCCTAATGTTGTATAGTTATTTGATTCCCATTTCCTTGTATGTATCCATAGAAATTGTCAAAGTTCTTCAGAGTGTTTTCATCAACCAAGATCTTCATATGTACTATGAGGAAGCTGATAAGCCAGCACGAGCACGGACCTCAAATTTGAATGAAGAACTTGGCCAAGTTGACACTATTCTTTCTGATAAAACAGGAACCTTGACTTGCAACTCAATGGAATTTATCAAGTGTTCTGTGGCTGGGACCTCCTATGGCCGTGGAGTGACTGAAGTTGAGAGGGCTGTGGCTAAGAGAAAGGGTTCACCTTTACCTCAAGAGGTGATAGAAGAAGATGCTATTGTTCAGGAACAAACTGAACAAAAACCATCCGTTAAAGGTTTCAATTTTGTGGATGAAAGAATTACTGATGGTCAATGGGTGAACGAGCCTCGTGCAGATGTAATCCAAAGGTTTCTAAGGTTACTGGCTCTCTGCCACACTGCAATACCAGAAATCGATGAAGAAACTGGAATAATAACATATGAAGCTGAATCACCTGATGAGGCAGCTTTTGTGATTGCTGCAAGAGAACTTGGATTTGAATTTTATGAAAAGACACAAACAAGCATCTCGCTGAAAGAGTTAGATCCATTAGCTGGCAGGAAATCTGAAAGGTCATTTTCTTATCCTTATATTATTTATGTTTTCAGGATTTTTATATTTTATTTAGAAAGGATAGCCTGTATATATATTTCTGTACCGTATGTTCGTGTCATTTCCTAAAAACATAAGATCTAGATATGAAATGCTAGTTTACAAGACTCGAAGATTTCCTGTATTCATAGACAAGCCATCTGTATTCTGTTTTGGCTGTTAACATTTTGGGCCCCTCGATCACTTTTTCTTATCTGTTAGTAGTTTGCATGTAGCATTTTGCTTTAGTAAGCTAACTTATTATTTTTCATTATTCCTGCAGACATTATCAACTTTTGCATGTTATCGAGTTTACTAGCTCTAGAAAGCGGATGTCTGTGATTGTAAGGGATGAAGAGGGAAAGCTGCTACTGCTTTGTAAAGGTGCTGACAGGTTGGTAAAAAATGGAGAAACACCTTATTGTTTGATGATTTCCGATTTTTGCTGTTTATAATCTTTTATATTTTTTAACTTAATTTTTCTTTGATGAACAGCGTCATGTTTGAAAGACTTGCAAAGAATGGAAGAGAGTTTGAAGAGCAGACCAAAGATCACATTAGTGAGTATGCTGATGCTGGTTTGAGGACTTTGGTACTTGCATATCGCGAACTTGATGAGGAAGAATACAGTGAGTTCAAGCAAGAATTTACTGAGGCCAAGAGCTCAGTAAGTGCAGATCGCGAGGAAATGGTTGAGGAAGTGGCAGCCAAAATCGAGACTGATTTGATTCTTCTTGGTGCTACGGCAGTTGAAGACAAACTTCAAAATGGGGTGAGTTTAAAAAATAGACTAGGACATGAGCATTCAGCATCAGTAAGGGGAAATCGAGTACTTTAGTGTTCTGCAGAATAAATTGCTTGACTTTCATCATCAAATGGTCAAAACATCAGTTTCTTTTCTTAGAAATCACTATCTTCTTATCTTCCACATAAATTCTTGTCACATCTAAAAGAGATTCAAGCAAAAAGAACAAAAGGATCTGTTCACTTTCCTAAATGCACCTAACATTAAATAAATTAATTAGAGATGCATTGTTGTATTTGAAATCAAATTTTCTTTTCCTTCATTCCATACAGGTTCCTGAATGTATTGACAAGCTTGCTCAAGCTGGAATCAAAATATGGGTTTTGACTGGAGATAAGATGGAGACAGCAATTAATATTGGGTATGATTAATGGATGTCAGTGCCATGATTATAGGTGTTTTGAACTTCGATACTGGCTTTCTAACTTGATGTTCGATCTTGCAGTTTTGCCTGTAGTTTACTTAGGCAAGGAATGAAACAAATAATAATCAGCTCAGAGACCTCAGAAAATAGAGCCCTACAGAAGATGGAGGACAAGGATGCAGCTGCTGCGGTAATTTCAATTTTAATTTCTGTATATTTGTGGCATTTAGACAAGTATAAAGTTTATTATTTGGTATCAAGAAGCTAATTTCTAATGAAAATTTAAGAATAATAGGAAGGAGAATAATTCCTCACTTTTTAACAGTTATACAATGATGTCAGATGTAAATAACACAACTGCAAGGTAAGGACAAGTTTTACCAAGTATAACCTGGACACATTTTTCTATGATACACATACATTGAAAAAAAATTTGTACGGTTCCCATAGATACTGTTATTTGGTTTAAGCAATCCTTAATGTCAATGAAGTTTTTCCATACTGGAGGCCAGAGACCCATATATAAAAATTTGAAAAATTCTGGGACTTGATTTCCCAATCTAGTAATGGCAATCAAAGGTTCCAAGGTTTATCAGTTGGGATTACCTCTTGTTTCAATTTTGTGCTGCTTTGCTGTTTCTTACTCTTACCCATTATCTATATAATTGCATATATTTATGCAAAGATTAGCTAAAGTCAAACTATTGATATCGGCCAATGAATTTTTTTTTTTACATAGCCTGTTTGAATGTTGATGCATAAACCTTGAAAGCACTAGTCCTACATCCATTTTACACAGTTAACATGTGAATGTTGACTCTGTAGGCTTCAAAGGCAAGTGTCCTCCAGCAGATAACTGAGGGAAAGGCATTGCTCGCTGCATCAAGTGAAAGTCCCGAGGCATTGGCTTTGATCATCGATGGGAATTCACTCGCTTATGCTCTTCGGGATGATGTCAAGGACCAGTTTCTAGAGCTTGCCATAGGATGTGCATCTGTCATTTGCTGCCGCTCGTCTCCTAAACAGAAAGCTCTGGTAAGTTACATTAGCTGGTTTGACTCATGTTCTTCTTTTCCTCCATTTACTAAAATGGCATGGTTTATAAATGTTACTAAAAAAGAGCTTTATAACAAGTGCTGTTATGGTCAATCTACATATAAAGAGTTTGTTTCCTTGAATTCCAAACCTAAAATTTTGTGGGACCTTGCAAATTGAAAATACAGGTTACCAGATTAGTTAAAACAAAAACAGGCAGTACAACATTAGCAATTGGGGATGGGGCAAATGATGTTGGAATGCTCCAGGAAGCAGATATTGGTGTTGGTATCAGTGGTGTTGAAGGAATGCAGGCAAGTGGTAGACAGATTGCTGTATTGTTTGTTTGTTTTTTTTTTTTTTCTTTTTTCTTTTTCCCCAATTATATATGTAATCCCAATTTGTTAATTAGTTTCTTTTCAAATTCTCAATCTTCTACTTTGGTGACTTTCCAAAATTTCAGGCAGTCATGTCAAGTGATTTTGCAATTGCACAATTCCGATATTTGGAGCGCTTGCTACTCGTTCACGGGCATTGGTGTTACCGAAGGATCTCATCAATGGTACTATTTTATCATGCATGTGTTGTATGATAAGTTTTCTAATGCCAGCTTCCTTGAATTACCTGCATCTCTGGAGGATGTTCTCCTCATGCATGATAATGCTTGTAAAGATTTTTTATGAAATGGTTATATCCACTGCTGGCTATAACTTTGGAAATGAATTTAAACCAATATTATTCCTCCTTCCTCTCCTCACCCCCCTCCCTCCCTTTTCTCTTCCTTCTTCTTGTTGTGGGTGATCAGAAATAATATAATTCAAGAAGCCTGTGTATGCTGCTGCTTGAAATTTAAATGAACCTAGCAAATGAATTTGAAGTGTTTCACATATTTATTTTTTTGCTGTTTTGCAGATATGCTATTTCTTTTACAAGAACATTGCATTTGGCTTCACTCTCTTCTTCTATGAGGCATATGCATCCTTCTCAGGCCAACCTGCATACAATGATTGGTTTTTGTCTCTTTATAACGTCTTCTTCACATCACTTCCTGTGATTGCCCTGGGAGTATTCGACCAGGATGTATCTGCACGCTATTGCCTGAAAGTATGTCTAACATTCTGATGACTAATTGGACACATAATAGCTCAATACAATTTGGATTAAGCGTATCTTACTTCAGTAATTTCTGGAACATAGGTGTACATTCAACGCATTTTTGTAATAGATTTTTGGTTTAACATTCTTTATTTCTTACAGTTTCCACTTTTATATCAAGAAGGGGTTCAAAATGTCCTGTTTAGCTGGCTTCGAATATTTGGCTGGGCATTTAATGGCGTATTAAGTGCTACCTTAATCTTCTTCTTCTGCATCTCTGCAATGGAGCATCAAGCCTTTCAAGAAAGTGGGAAAGTTGCTGGCTTAGAGATCCTCGGCACCACTATGTACACGTGCGTCGTGTGGGTGGTTAACTGCCAAATGGCATTATCTATCAGTTATTTCACTTACATACAGCATATCTTCATTTGGGGTGGCATCATATTCTGGTATATATTTCTCTTGGCATATGGAGCAATAGATCCTAACATATCAACTACTGCATACAAGGTTTTCATCGAAGCCTGTGCACCGGCTCCATCTTATTGGCTTACCACACTCTTTGTTTTGATTTCCACTCTCCTCCCATATTTCACTTACTCAGCCATCCAGATGCGATTTTTCCCCTTATACCATCAAATGATACAATGGATAAGAAATGATGGTCAAACAGAAGACCCTGAGTACTGTCATATGGTGCGACAAAGATCATTACGGCCAACAACAGTAGGTTTTACAGCTCGTATTGAAGCCGAATCACAACGCGGGAGACCTTCTGGCCATTGATGAAGTACATTGGAAAGTTCCTGTCAAAAGATGCTTGTAGATTTTGCTGCAAAGGAAAGCTTCTTCTAACTGTACATATGTGACACACAGAATAGGTTTTTAGTATTGCTGCTTTACACCAAAGACCTACAAGATGACATTCTTGAGTAACTTGATACAGCCACTGCAGAAGAATTTTCTTTTCTTTTCATTTTTTTGTTTCATAATGTTCCAAAACCATAATTTTGACGCGTCGACAGCTTCCAGCCAAATCAAATTTTATACTGGTAATTCTATTTTGTTCAGGAAATGTACAATAATACACTTCCTAGTTTAGAAATTCATGTATCCCATAGGAATAGTGGCATTGCCTCTGTGCTAACTGTATCTTATCAATAATGAGCTCTCAATTAGTATTTAAGAAGATTAGTTTATCATTTTTATCATATGTTTGTTTAATAATACACTTCTTGAAATGTTGTTTTGATACCATTTTAAACTTTGTAGTTCTTCTGATGATTAATATAAAGGTTATTTGATATTGAATGTTGTGAAATTTTCTTTAATCAAATACCATTCTCATAAGCATTATGGAAAAAAAAAAGGTAACGAATCCGTAAGGAGTAACGAATCTATAAGGAGTAACTTAACTGGTAAGAAACGTTCCATGAACTCTCCAAAATTTGATAGCTAACGAAATAATATTTTTATAATGTTATTGCTACTAATTGTGTAATCAAATACATGTTTCAGAATTCTTTAAAACTTTGGGATTTTATAAAAAAAAAAAAAAAACTTTTACAATAGAGAACAAATTTCCCATATGGAATGAATGCCCATCTTGTAATTAATTTCATTCCTCTTCTTACTTTTCAAATGCCTATATAAACAAGTCTATCAATCCCTAAAACCTAAGTTTAATGAACAAATTAATTACATCAACAATTATAAAATGATGAAGATGTTGACCAAAAACAACATACCATCAATCGGTCATATGTTGACTCATGACAATGCAGGCCCTAAAAACTCCATAGCTGACTTTGCCATTACAGAAGTAAATTCTTTAAAGCTAATGACACCATCACCGTCTGTATCTGCCTCCTTGATCATCTCCCTAAGCTCCTTATAGGTCAACGGTTGCCCCATTTTTGCCATGGCTCCGGCAAGCTCCGCCGCGCTAATATAACCGTTACCGTCCTTGTCAAACAATTGAAAAACATCTAAAAGTTGTTCTTGATTACCAAAAATCTGTTCGTTCATATCAGGTAAAATTGCGCTTACCAATTCGTCAAATTCTATTGACCCATTTCCATTAGAATCCATATTGGCTAATAAGACATGAATTTGGTCACCTGAGGGTTTGAGACCTAATGACCTTAACAATGCTGCAAGCTCTAAAATGGTGAGGCTTCCATCGGAATCCATGTCGAATCGAGCAAATATTTCCTTTAATTGATCAAATTGTTCAACTTGAATTGCTTCTGAAGATCCCATGTTGAGTATAATATAAATATAAATTTATAAAAATGTTCCTAACACAAATGACCGTGCCCAAAAAAAATTTGGAAATCGAATATATATTGTAGGGATGATTATGATGATAATAATGTTGTTGTGCCGGTTGTGACGGTGGCTAATGGTGGCGGTTGTTGCATCGGTGGTGGCCGGAGAGGAAAAGGATTGGTAGTTTTTTTGGGGGAGGTGTTTGAAGAGGGATTTTTTTTTTTTTTTTTTTATTGTAGGATGCATTATGATGATAATTAATAGTTGTTGTGCCGGTTTGACGGTGGCTAATGGTGGGCGGTTAGTTTTGCAATCGCGTGGTGGCCGGAGGAGGAAAAGGATTGGTAGTTTTCTGCGGGGAGGTGTTTGAAGCAGGGATTTTTTTTTTTTTTTTTGTGGTTTGTTTGTTATGGTTATGTTTGTTATTGGGGTGAGGTTATAGGCATATTTAGTCCTTTTTTTTTTATTTTTTATTATTCTTAATAGCATGGAGACTGAGGCTGTTGTTTTATTGCAATTATTTTACTACAATTAATTTATATTTTTTTTGCTTGGATATATATATATTAATATATATATATAATATATATTATATATATTATTTTATTTTTTTTTTTAAGTTTTTTTGTTTTTTTTTTTTTTTTAAGTTTTTTTGGAAAATATAGTGGCTATATACAGTTTAGCTATGGGCATTGGGAATGGGTCGTACATTGAAGATCCGTATTGGCGATTGTATACTTGTCAAATAACCAATTGAGGAGTATAGAAATGTTCTGGCTAATCCAATATCATAAGAAGCATTTGACAAATATTCATGGAAAAGGGGGAAATGATATGAAAATGGAGAAAATTATCCACCATCTATAATATCTTTAAAACTGTAAGATCACAAATTCTGATAATTAATAAAAATGCAAGTTTACAAGCAGCACTCAAGCTTGAGGGGGTTGCTGGTCATGTACCTCACCATCTTCAGCCTTACAATCTTGATCACCAAGAGCCATCACCTTATTATTAGCTCCAACCTCAACATCTCCACCCCTGCACCATCGGTTCTTCCGCTTCATCCATTTTTCATAGCTTTAGCTGAAACCATTACTTTGTCAACAAGAAAATTTCGTAAGAGAGGCATTGTGAATTATCTACTTTTTCATAGCTTTAGCTGAAACCATTACTTTGTCAACAAGAAAATTTCGTAAGAGAGGCATTGTGAATTATCTACTTTTTCATAGCTTTAGCTGAAACCATTACTTTGTCAACAAGAAAATTTCGTAAGAGAGGCATTGTGAATTATCTACTTTTTCATAGCTTTAGCTGAAACCATTACTTTGTCAACAAGAAAATTTCGTAAGAGAGGCATTGTGAATTATCTACTTTTTCATAGCTTTAGCTGAAACCATTACTTTGTCAACAAGAAAATTTCGTAAGAGAGGCATTGTGAATTATCTACTTTTTCATAGCTTTAGCTGAAACCATTACTTTGTCAACAAGAAAATTTCGTAAGAGAGGCATTGTGAATTATCTACTTTTTCATAGCTTTAGCTGAAACCATTACTTTGTCAACAAGAAAATTTCGTAAGAGAGGCATTGTGAATTATCTACTTTTTCATAGCTTTAGCTGAAACCATTACTTTGTCAACAAGAAAATTTCGTAAGAGAGGCATTGTGAATTATCTACTTTTTCATAGCTTTAGCTGAAACCATTACTTTGTCAACAAGAAAATTTCGTAAGAGAGGCATTGTGAATTATCTACTTTTTCATAGCTTTAGCTGAAACCATTACTTTGTCAACAAGAAAATTTTGTAAGAGAGGCAATTGTGAATTATCTACTCATGCCTCATAATAAGTAGTTCGGTTCAAGTGTAAGACATCGTTGAATTAAGCAGGCAAGGAGGTTCATTCGAAAACACAAAAAACACTTATAGAAAAGGGCAGCTATAAATTTCAAAATAGAGTAATTTTATATTTAAAAAGAAATGAAAATACTCTATTGTTACTTCTAAGAGGCAATGAGAAGATTTTAAATGGAGGAAGACAAGTCCATAGAGATAGGTATGTACTCAAATTGCAAGAAAATGTAAAAGAATTTTTAAAAAAAAAAAAAAAATCCCCCTTATCGATTTCCTAACTTCGCTATTAGTCCACGCTGCAAATATTTCCCTTATTTGAGGATTAAAAATTGAAAAGAAAAAAAATATATAAATGGGTGTAATAAACAAAAAAATATTTCAAAAAATTCATACAAACATCCACTTTTTATTTAAAATTTTCAGGATTTCACTTTTGGTACATCCAAAAGAAATTTGATTTTCTATTCCTTGAAAATTGAAAAGGGAAACTGCTGCCTCAAAAAATTTCGTATGGGCTTTACTTAATAGTTAAGAAGCCTTCATTTGGCTTATCGCACAATTGCACCACCTGCCTTGAACCCAATTCAGCTAAATCGTTCAAGAATTCTTTGAATTTTTTTGCAAAGACAATCTAATATGAACCAACCTATAAAATTTGATCTAAAAATTCTTCAAAGATGTCGAACCAATGTATAATTTTGGTTAACAAGAATTGTCCAACTTAAAACATTTAAAACTTTCAATAATTTGTGTCCTTTCGGTCTATCTAATTATGGTGTAATCAACCGTATAATGTAATGGAATGAGAATTATATTACATGATTAATTACATTGTTCGGTTAGATTTTTTCTTTTTTAACATTGTAATATAATTGAGAGATTACATATATAATCTTGATCAATTAAATTAATGTAATATTCATTATATCAAAAAACACATGTATTATACGATTTCTCACTCTTGAACCGACTAAGATAAGTCTATCACATCTAGCACATATAATACTAATTACATCAAGTTACCAAAATTAAAACTCTATCACTATAACAATCGCTCAACCACATCTACCACCATCATTCAACCACCACTTCCCCCTCCCCACCACCACCACCACTTCCAATACCATTACTCCATAACCACCACCACCACCACTATCATTCCACCACCACAACCACAGCTCCACCATCGCACCACCACATCAACCACGACCACCCACTCTATCACCACCACCATTGCTCTATCATTACCACCTCAACCATTACCGCCACTACCCTATCACCATCACCACTCCACCACTCTACTATGATTACTACTGCTCCACCGGCAGCATTACCATTACTGCCACTATCACTGTCGCTACTTCACCACCACCGCTCTATCATCACCACCTCAACCACTCTACCACGATCACCACAACCATCACTCCACCACCGCATAATGAAATTTATATTTTATTTTTTTTGTTTTATTATAGGAATGAGAATGGGAAGAATAGAATGAAAAAGCACTAAAAATATCAAAATGCTCATAATTTTATATTGTAATTTAATTTATTCAATGAAAAATCATGAAAAAAAATTAATTTCTAAGTGTAACTTTTATTTTGTCATATGATTTTTTTTTTTCGGGTTACCTTCTTTTAATTTTTTAGTTTAAATAAATCTATAAATCTAAATGGTCTTAATAATTTAATATAACTAATAGTTTTTGGTTCAAATATTTCTTTTGTATTATAATGATTGCGGTGGTAATGGAGTCTTGTTTGAGGTGAAATGATGATAGTGGAAATTGAGCGATGATGATGGTGATATATTAATTATATTACATATTTTAAAGAATATAAAAAAATAAGTGATTATATTTTATAAATTTTCTCAATTATATTATTAAATATAATAATAAAAATCTTAATTACGTTTGATTAGATTATATTTTTTATTATATTGCATGAAACGAAAACGAAAGGTAAATGATTCAAAGGGTAACGAAGTAATGGGAGACATGAAAGGTGAGATGATAGCCAAAAGAACATGGTGGTGTAGCTAATAGTTTTTGGTTTAAATATTTCTTTTGTATTATAATGAGTGTGGTGGTAATGGATTCTTGTTCGAGGTGGAGCGATGATGACAGTAATATGTTAATTACATTACATATTTTCAAAAAAAAAAACAGCAATTATATTTCATAAATTTTTTTAATTATATTATTAAATATAATAATAAAAATCTTAATTACAGTTGATTAGATTATATTTTTTATTACATTACGTCAAACAGAAAACGAAAGGTAAATGATTCAAAGGATAACGAAGTAATGGGAGACATGAAAGATGAGATGATAGCCAAAAGAATATGGTGGTGTAGCTATCCTAGGATGCATGATGCATTAGCTAATAAATGAATACTACTAGGCTTAGTTGGCAAAAAGCCAAAAAAGATTGTGGATCTATCCTCACTAAAGTCTTCCGCCTCTTATCAAACCATTTATTGGTGGACAAAGCTCTTGTATTTTATTTTATTTTTACTTTAGTATTTTATTCAATGGAAAACTAAATTATTTACAAATTAAAAAAAAAAAAAAGCTATAGAATTTGCCAAATTAAGACAAACAAAACTCACCACTAGCACTCATTGATTTCTTTTTCACTTTTTAAATATTGGGTAAAAGACAATCTTCAGAATCCTATAATTAAAAAAAAAAAAAATTATAAAAAGATCTTTCAGAAAAGTTCTTATAATGGTTGATTTATTTAAAAAAATTAAAAAATAAAATAAAATACATATTTATAATTAATTGTATGAAAAATACCTCTCAACTTTCAGCAACCAGATTTTCATAATATTAATTTCTTTTACTATTTATTATTAAAAAATTATTTAAAATTTAATTTGAAAAAAGAATCAAAACAGTGAAGAAAGGCATATCCGAATGAAAATTTTTGTTATGAAATTGCAATTAACTAGTCATCTTTGCAGTGTCCCGTTTTATTACAAAATAAAATAAAAAATGCACACATAAAATAAAAATTTATTTTCTCTTCCTTTTATTTTTATGGAAGGGACAAGCATTCCATCTTTTTTTTTTATTATTTTTAAATTTAGTACCAAATATTGGAGGATCCAACCTAAAAACACAATATAATTCCCACATGAATCATGGTGGCTTAGGTGTCACTATTTCTTTGTTAGAATCATATTTGAACTCTTTAATAAATATTTAATTGATTTAATTTTATAAGTTGAAGGGTTCAATAAAAATGATTTTGCAAATTGAAGTGTTTTTAAATATAATTTTATAAATTAAAATACTTAATATATTAAAATAAAAATTAAAAATATCATAAATTCAAGCAATAAAGTTAAAAAGTAAATTTAGGTATAGAAAATTTTTGATAAATATATAAATTCAACTATGAACTTTGCAACTTTATCTATGTGTCACCTGAACTCTGTGAATGACTTATCGTGCGTTTAAACTTAATGTTACCACTTTTTATACTAATATAGCAATAATTTTTAAGATTTTTATTTTTTATATATAAAATATTAATTTGATGCATAGTTAGGATAATTTTTATAACATTACTTTCCAAATATTTCAATTATCTATTAAGTATTTAATTGATTAACTTTGTAAATTTAAAGTTTAATAAAATAATTTTTTAAATTGAAGTGTTTAATTATGTAATTTTATAAATTAAAATATTTAATAAATAAAAATAAAAATTAGAGTATGTAGTATAATATTAAATATTAAAATAATAAAGTTGACAGATAAATTTACATATTCGCAGGGAATTTTGTGATGGATGACCCCCACCCTCTTTCCCAGAATTATGACGCGTTCCAATATTTTTTGGCACCATATGCCACGTTTTGCCTGCTATTTGTTCGCCAATCACTTTATGTAAAAAGGGCTTGAAAGTTATTTTTTTACTATTTTAATTTATAATTTTAAACAAAGTAAATATTTAATTTTGATAACAAATTTAGTGATACAAATAAAACTACTATTTAAAATTTGGAGATTAAAATTTATTTTCGTCAATAATGTATAATTTTTTTTACAATATTTAGTCAGAATTTAAATATTTAAAGAGATCATTTTAAATAAATCTCTATATATATTACTATTTGCTTCTTTGCAAAAAAGATTTTTAATTTTGAATAATAAGTGTAAAATTTTGAGTACAACTCAAAATTATGAGTGTGAAGGATTTCAACTACAATGCTAAACTCGTGATATTTTTCATAAATTCTCTATAATGCGAACTCTTTGATGGAAGGACTTTTTAGCTGGACCGACACTAAATTGGGGACTGTATATTAATTATTCAAAATAGAAGGATGAAATAATGAATTTGATAATATCTGAGGGATTAAATAGTAAGTTACCCTTGAATAAATTTTGCATGAATTTATTTTGTCACGAAAACTATTGTTACTTGTCAGTCCAATATGAAAAACTAAGGATAAAAGTAAAACAGATATTCATATACAAATACCAAATTGCCCTCTCAAAAGTAATTTGGTGTTTATGGTCTCTCTCTTCACTCAAAACAGAGAGAAAGACAATAAGGGAGAGAGGGACAGAGTACGGAAATGGTGACTCTGCACCGTCTAGATTTCTGGTTCACGCTCCTTTCTCTCTCTTTGAATTAGAAATTTCACTGTTTCTAACTATGTAACTGCATATAAATGCATGCATCTTTTATGTGTAAACATTGAAACTAAAAATGCAAAAGATGCTGTAGTTGATATACATGTTCATATATACACACACACACACACACACACTAATGTTTAGATCTGTGTTTGTTTGGCACTTCTGATTCAATTTTTAAGTGAAATTTTTTTGTATTTGTTTGTTTTGATCTGTTAAGAGAATTGAATGCTTAACTTATTTTTCTTCTAGAAAATTTTTGATTCAGTTTTTTATTTATTATTTTAGTGTGTTTGGTGTTGGCTGGGGACGAGGTCACTGGAGGCAGCGGTTCATCGATCTCTTCCTGGAGGATTTTGTTGTCACATAAGCAAAATGACATGAATCGATCGATAAACCTCTGCATCCAGCGCTTCCCCTCCCTCTTTGTCTTTTTCTTTTTATTTTCCAGTCCCTGTCTAACAAAATTTACTCTGTTTTCTGTTTGGTTACTGTGAAATTGTTAGAAAATAAAGAGAAACTTACAATTTTTGGTATAATCCCGAATCTGAAATACGCTTTGCTCTGCTTCACCTTCATTTTCATTATTTTGTTTTATAAGCTTCAAATTTATTGCGTTAATTAAAGTTGGTTGCAGGAGAGCAAATGCATCTGCTGTGGAACCAAACTGGTAGCGTCCCCTTTTTCTATCCATGTAGTATTAAGTAGCTTATGATAAGTAATTTCTAATTTTTGTTTTTCTTCTGTGTTGTGTTTGAGCTTTGTGTTGGAAAATGTTAATTCCTTCCATGTCTCTGTCTTTGGATTATGCTTTAAATGATTCATTACATATGTTAATTTTTCTTTAGTGGTTTATTGTCCAATTATGCCTAGCGAGTTCTGTTCTGTGATATGCAAATGAGGATTTGAGTAACGAAAGGCAAGAATATTGATTCTTAAACAACTGCCCTATTATGAGCTGAATGAATTATTTCATGTTTTTAAATGCAATTAATATGCAATTAGCTGTGGTGTAGTTATGAATTTGATGATTTATTGGTTACAATTTGTTTAAATATTGCTCATTCAACTTTTTGTTACAAGTTTTGGGTGAAGGAAGAAACTTGAGGATTATTTTTGTAGTCAATCTCTCCAAAAAAATTTGTGGAAGTTGTAAATTCTTATAAATGGCTTATAACACTTGTGTTATCCCACATTGGTTTGGGATAAGGTATTTCAACATATAAGACTCGAACAATCCTCCTCCCCTTGATCTAGCTTTTGGGGAGTGAGTTAGGCCCTGGTCTATTTTATTAATAGGTATCATAGCCTACCATACTTCAATTCATGCTCAATGTTCACTTTTAGCTTTTTCACTTTCCTCATTTTCCTCTTTCATGACTTACTGGAATTTGTTTCCTTCAAGTTCAGAATTTTTTATTTTGTCCATGCTTGTTTAACTTCCCTTTTTGTTACTATTTCCTTGATCAATAAATATGAATATTTACTTTCTCCATAAGTTTTGAGAACCTAAAATACATAGCTTGGACTTTGATGTGGGGTTCATTTTTAATTACCTGTATTTCTTTAATTCCGAGTAGGTGGTTTTTTATTGTTAATCTCAACCTGTATTCCCTTGCTTGAAGCAGTTGTGAGAATGATTTCTGGTGGAGTTTTTAAAGCAGTTCTTTATGAATTTATCATGAAGGAGATTTTTTTTTTCTGTAGTTTGCTCAATTGCATTGATATCCTGCTTCCTTTGATGTTGATTTTGTCTGCAGTATAGGTTCCATGCCCTTCAAAAAATTTTTTGATACAATATTTTTTCCCTTTGTTTCTGAAATATCCTTCTGTTATGAGACTTAGGTTTTTACCTCATTTAGTACATAAATTTGCCCAAAAACACTCTTTCAGCATGAATAGATGCCAATGAGCTTCTTTAATAGTATGAACCTAGACAATTATAGCCATGGCCAGCTCTTATTCTTAAATAGATATTGTTTTTCTTTGGCTTAGAATTGAGGGTGAGATTTTATAAATATGAAGGTAATCATGGATTCATGGTCCCAACTTTCACTATGCACTTATTTGTTAGAGTTGATTGATAGGCTGAGAACATTGTTGTTCCCAGAAAATAGAAAAGAAACTGTGTCAGGCCTGTTTTCTAAGACATGGAGGTCATAGGAGTTGATTTGCTGCCGTTTTGTGTCATTTTCTTGAGCAGGTGGTCAGAAGTATTTTGCTTGTTTCTTTCCTTAGTAAAGTAAAAAATAAGTGTCTCTGAAGGAAGTTTCCGAGTGGGAGACATACTATCGTCATTGCTGCTTGAAAGTGAAGGGAAAAAAAAAAATGCAGTTAAGAGTACCAACTTGTTAGAATCTTCCAAGTTGATGTGTCCTCATGGAATCTGAGTCTGGTGGTATCATGTTCCCTGCTCTAACCAAACTATTTGGGAACATGAAAATCAATTCCAATTCTATAGCCTAAGGAGATGTGGACCAACCAATATTTTTAAAATTTTGTTTTTATAGAGACACATAACTACCATCTCAAGAAAGTGAAAGAGAGATTGCTGGAAACGTGATAAAGCTAAGGATATTCTGCAGTTCTGTTGCTTTTTTATTTTGAATTATCGGTCCAAAATTTTCTGGCATACTGAATTTTTTTTTATTCTCAATTTACTTTACAGAACTTGTATTCCCATTTGTTATAATGGGAAAGCTTAAAGTGGATTCTTCAATCTTAGGGTCATATGTACTCTTAATTCCATGTAGCTGATTAATTCGACAAATGAAAGATGCTAATTCCATTTTCCGTGTTTTTGTTTTTAGTGGCTTTATGATTTTAGTTCCTATGACACAATTTTGATAATTAACTAAATTCCCTTTAATTTGTTTTGCCAATATTCTTTTTTATATTTGTTAATCAAATATAAGTATTGTTATTAAAATTTCAAGGAATATTTCTTGTGGCTTTATGTATTCTATCTATTGGTTTCGTATATCTGTGTCTGATTGGAATTTTGCTTATGCGATTCTCTTGCTATTGAAGTGGTAGGAAGCAAAGATTTTCAAGGCTTTTTCTTTATATATACATGCTCTAGATTTCAGATTTCAGAGGATATTTACATTCTGCATAATAAGACAGAAATGAATTTTTGGCATTCGCTCATTGCCGTAGAAACATTCTCCAAAGTCAAAATTCTTACATTTAAATTTCATCATGATTCACTACATTTGGATTTGACTAAAACTAATTTTAGCAATAATCCGAACAGTTAATGTATTGTATTTTTCACGAAAATATTTTATGGCATTCAAGCCCTTAAAGTTTAGAATTCTGATAATATTGGATTTTTTTTTTACTTCGCAATAATAATTTTTAGAGTTTTTCGTTTTTATATGTAGAATATTGACTTTTTTTTTTTGGGTATATGACCACCGGTATTCGGATTCTGCTTATGTTTCAAGTGCTACAGGTTCCATATAGGGGGTGACTCTCCTAGAGTGATAATTGCCTAAGACTTGAATTTGAGACTTTTAGTTAATAGAGAAGGAGTTCCAATTATTTCATCCCAATTAATGTTTGTTGTAGAATATTAATTTTGATTTGTGGGTAATATAATTTTTGTAATGATAATTTTTATACCTTTAATTATTTGATAAGAATGTAATCAATCTAATTTTATAAATTGAAATATTTAATGGATTAAAATTTAAAATAAAAGTTGAGCTATGTTTATGATCAAATTGATGACAACATTGTAATGCATCTGTAAAATCATAAATAAAATACAATTTAAAATTTCAATGACGAAGACCAATGATATTTAGGCTTTGTATTTCAAAATGATGATTTGATAGATGAATATGTATAAATCAAAAATAGAATAGATGAAATGTAAGGTATTATAAATACACTGATAACAATATATTCACAAGATGGTTGTGAAACGAGTACATAAAAATACATGTGATGAATATGTATATACTAAAATAGAATATGTGAAATGGAGGGTATTATAAATACACTATGTGATAAAAATATATTCACAGGATGGTTGTGAAATGATGATATTAAAGTAAAGGAGAGGAAGATTTATTTTTTTTTTCCTTTTTCTGAACATGATTGCTGATAGATTGATGCCTTGAAAGTGACTGACAGAAACCTTCTGAACAATAAATAAGGAGCGAGACATCTCATCACTAACAAATCATCATCAACCACCCATCTCAAAATCACAAGCTTTGTTTTGTTGATTTTCTGATGAGGAAATAGATTCTAGTAGATCATCAAATTTTAAAGGAGAATGCCGAACCATGTGCTCGAATATAGCCTGCAAGTGTGAATTTCGGTGATAGTATAGTCAATCAATTTGAGCTTAGTTAATTGTTGTTTTGTTTTTTAGTTAATTAGATGTTTTTTTGGTGAAATAGGAGCAGCATTTCCTCATATATCGTAAATGACAACTTTAACCTTTATAACCAAATGCGATTTGAGCTTTAATCAAGTTTAACTTAGAATTTAACAATTAATATCTATAAATTACAAGTTGTGAATATCCAAATTGTGTTCTAATCAACCAAATTCAAACCTTTCTAAAATTGAAATCTATTTTAAATTTTTAACTTACCCTTTGAAATTAAGTGTTGTGCTTTTTGAAAAATATACGAGTAAAAATGAAAAAGTCAAAATAAATTTTCTGTGCATATTGATAAGGTCTAAATATAAAATACGATACACGAAACTTTCTTTTGAAAATTAGTGTATTTCTAAATAATTTAATGACTATATTATACATCCACATACAAAATTTTACCCAAATTCCTACTTATTAAATTCAAGTGCGTACATTATTAACACTCGTGTATTAAATAATAGCATAAAAAAAAATATGTGCATAATGAAAATTCGAGTTCATTTTGCGCTGAATAGAGAGAATATACCGTAATTTCGAAATAGGCCTTCATGGAATTAAGCCTCCAGCAGCAACAAAAGTAATGGGTTGATTTATACCCTAGTAGACTGAATTTAACAGGTGCAGTGTAATCACGTCCAATTGGTCTTTTATGAGTTTTAATTTCTAATTCATTTCATAGGGGATTTGAATATATTTATAATTATGAGTTTTTAGCTCAAATTATAAAATTTTAATATACTAATCCTCACACGTGTATGTATAATTAAGCATGCTTTTTTTTTTTTTTTTTTTTTTTTGAGTTTTTAGCTGCAAATTATAAATTTTAAAATATACTAATCCTCACACGTGTATGTATAATTAAGCATGCCTTTTTTTTTTTTTTTTTTTTTTTTTGAAAGGAAAATATAAGCATGCATTTTTTTTTTTTTTTTTTTTTTTGAAGGAAATATAAGCATGCATTTTAGAGTATTACATTTGAAATGACTGATTACCGAATTACTACCTTGTTTAAGCTGTGGATCTGTTTATATAAAGTTTGAAGGAGAATAATTAATTAAATACAAAAGTTTTCCAAAGCATAAGACAAATAAAATGTTTCTTAAATTAAAAAACACAGATATTTGTACAACCAAATTAATTTTATCTAATTTGTACACTAACCCTCTTTGGATTTGTTTTCATCTCCTGATTGATTACATAGAGGATGAGGAGAAGAAGAAGAAGAAGAAGAAGAAGAAGAAGAAGAAGCACTAAAGGAAGGAGCTATAATAACTGAAGAATAAACCTTAGCAGTACCAAATGATGATAAACCACAAATTTTGCTGCTGGTACTGCTATTACCATAACAATCTTGATCATAAGATGAAGAACAGATAATAGTATCTTCAACCATAGTACCAAAATCTTGACCCATCCATGGAATTTTATCATTATTATCAGAAGCTGAAGCTAATGATGATGATGATGATGATGAAGAAGATGATCTTGCATGGTTCTTGATAATTGCGAGTTGAAGAAGTTGGTGTAATCTTGGATTTTTCCCTAAAAGCTTGCTTTCTTGGTGAGTAGAAATAATTCCACTTCCGTTATTTTTCTCATAAACAAAGTTGGTCTTTGCATTTCTTCCTCTTAAAAGCCTAGCTGCACTGTCATAAGCCATAGCAGCTTCTTCTGCTGAATCGAAAGTCCCTAACCATAGCCTTAGCTTTTGTGATGAATCTTTGATTTCAGCAACCCATCTTCCTGAAGGTCTCTGCCTCACTCCAAGAAATCTTTTTAATGCTCCATTTTTATTGCATCTTGGCGGTACTCTTATTCTTTTTATTTGATCTGAAATATTTGCTTGATGAAGAGGGTTTTCTTGAAATAGATCAACTTTTGAGCTCTCTTTCTTGTCCATGGAGTAGCCAAGAGAGCTAGTTAGGGTTGGATCTAGGTCAGATGAAGAAAGCCTTCAATCTATATATAATAAAGTAACAATAACTACAAGAATGATGAGTAGGAAAGAATAGCATTTTAGTTGTCTTATTTGGGTTAATTATTTGTAGCTTTGTACTAATGTTGTACTGGCAAAAGGAATTAATTTATTTATGGTAGAGAGAAAATAACCAAAATAGCCTTTTATGTATATATATATATAATACTATAAACATTAGTTTAAATTCTATAATGCTATAAAAAACATCGTTTAAATTCTATAATGCTATAAAAAACATCGTTTAGTCAAAACGTTACGAGCTACTTAAAAAGTTGTCACTGAATACTAGCTTAGAATTAGAATTCTCAATTCAAGAACCAAAATCTGACCTTTTGGAGAATCAACCAAACCTAAATCAATCGATGAAAGGAGATAACTCATTAGTAACTAGATTTTCAGATTTTTTATATGTATGCAAGATTTTCAGACTATATTATATATTTTATGTTCAAATTCAAACCTTAGGGCCATAATGCATAATTAACCCTAAATGTAATAATTAACAAGTAAATTGATGAAATGTAAGATTTCTTTGTATTTATATGTATCTACCTATTGACTGTAGTTTGGAAGGACATGAAAGAAAGGAATACTGGGCACCATGCTTTTGGATTTTGGTACCCTATTATTACACTTGTTTGTTTTGTAGACTAGGGAAATAGCCTTTCTATCTAAGACAACATTACAAACCCGACAAAACAAAAACAAATTAGCATGTAACTTTTAATGGATTCTTAATTTTAATGGAATGATGATAATAATAATCATTTAATGAAAAATTGAGTTCTCTTAACTCTAAGGGGTGAAATGGAATAATAAAGATTCATTTTCCCTTAACAAGAAGTTTCGAGTTTTAACTCTGGACATGAAGTCGCTTTTAAACACTCGAGAGTTAGGGAGTGCTTGCTTTACCTTTTGTAGGCTTGCCCAGAGCGTACCTTATTACATTTTAAATGCTTATTTAGGATTTTGAAAGTATAATAATTATTTTTTTTTTTAATTCTATCCATATTTATTAGGTGTTTTATAATAAAATTAAATAGAGAGCTTTTAACTTTAAGAAAGACAATTTAGATATTTTATTAATATATATTTTTAGAAAATCAATATATTCTTTTATCATTTTCTTCGTCCTTAATAAAAGATCAAATGGAGAAGGGAGGGAGTAATATAATAGTGTAAAATACGCACATTTTTTTGGAAGCATGTCTATAAAAAAGATTCACGATTTAGTAACAAGCCTCCAACCAATACCAAAATAAATAAATAAATAAATAAACATCAATAGATATAATTGTTTCTCAAAAAAAAAAAAAAAAAAAAAAGAAACAAAATAAATAAGAATAAATAAATAACCTAATGTAGAGTATAATTGTTGTCTCAAAGAAAGAAAAAAGACACAAAGAATAAAGAAAATAATGAGGAGTGCGGTACTTAGGTCTTTGACCAATGCTTAATTATGATATGGAGTCATCTCGCTCAAGTAGTTGCAGGAAAATTCCAAAGAAGTGTGAGCTAGACTATGAGCAATATTATTTATTGTGATATAATTTATAATATTTAAACTAATTAGATGCCATTGGTTAGAAAAAAAAAAAAAAAAAGAAAAGAAATAATGAGGAGTGGGTAGATTAGTCATTTGACACATGCTTAATTATGATATGAAGTGGATCACTAGCTCACGTAATTGCAGAAAATTCCAAAGAAGTGAGCTGACATGAGCAATATATTTATTGTGAAATAATTAAAATATTTAAACCTAATTAATGCCTTTGGTTGCATAATTCCAATAGCCTAAAAACAAAACTTACGCCTCAAAAGTACCAAAATATTACAAGAACCTCTCCACATTTCTTTCATTCTCTAATATATAATTTTCAAATTTTCTATTAATAAATAAAAATTAAATGTTTGTCATTTGTCACTTAATGTGTGTCTTTTACAAAATGCCTTCTTTCTCACTTCTTTTTTCAGTTATTTATTTAATTTTTTTTTTTTTTTTGTTATTTACTGCAGATCATCAGAAGTAACTTTTAGCATTCTTGTTGGATTCTTCTTCAGGTACTACATATTCACATATTATCCCTTACTTTTATTATTTTAATTTCAAAATCCTCTTTTTGATGTCAAAAAAATAAACTCTGCCCTTAATTACTGTCATGCTTTTGTGGAATTATATATTGGAAAAAAATGAGAATAAAAACAGTTTTTTAATTAAATTTTTTTAAATGTTACCATGTAAATCTATTTAAAAAAATAAATAATTTTTTTATATTAATAACTATGATTTTAAACAGAAATATGGAAAATGTTAAAAAGTTTAGCCAAGTGGGCCTTACGCTATTGAAGCCCATGTCCACAAAAGCCCAAAAGTCGGTGGAGAGATAACCTAATGACCCGCACCTAATACAAAGATTACTATCCTTTTTTTTTTTTTCTTTTACCATTTCTTCGATCTAATTTCAATAATTTGATTAATAATTCATAAAATTTTTTGTCAATGTTCTTAAATTAAATAATAAAACCTTAGACGAACCAACAACTTGCAAAATCACAAAAACATAAAAAATTTACGAAAAAAATTATGCATTTTATAAAAATGAAAGAAAACTAGAACAATAAAACTAATTAATTGCATTGTTGATCACAAATATTTTTTTATATTATTATGTTTATTTTAAGTAATTTTGTATTTAATTTAAGGTGGTTCAATGGGTTCGATATTCTGATGTACTAGGCGTAGAGGAGCCACACTAATCCATTCCCGAACTTGGTGATTAAACGGTGAAGATACCGTCGAAAATGTTCTGCGGAAATATAGCTCAACGCCAAGATAATAAAAAACTTAATACCTCTCATTCTTATTACTTTTTCAATATGAAAACAATGAAAAAATTCGTCTAATTCAAAATTTCAATTATGAAATCTTTTTTCTCCACTTCACACCTCCTCAGAATGCATCGTTTTTATAGAGAGAGAGGTGCTTTGATTTTTGTTCTGGAGGCATGGGTTTAAAGGTTTAAATCCTAATATGGATTCTTTTTGAATTTTCATTTTCTATTTGGCAACATTGGTTCAAACTTCAAAGCTGATCCAAGTATATCTAAAACCACGATTTTAAAAATTAATGGTTTGATTCAGTTTGTAAGATTTAAAAAATCAAGCTCCAAAACCACGATGACTGATGGAAGCACGTTAGAGAGAAAAGCCCAAAGATAACAAGATGGGCGTGGGCCCATCCTTTTGTTATTATTGTAAAAAGGTTAAGAGTTTTTTCTTTTTCTTCTTTTTTTTTTTATTTCAATATATCATTATAAAATATAATGTATTTGTTAAAAAGTAAATTATAATTTTTTCAATATAATTTAATAATTTATATGTAATTTTAATTAAAATTATATATTTAAATACTTAAATATATAAAAATAAATTAATTTTTTAATACAAAAACTAAATTATTAGCAGCTGGTGCGAGTTTCGGGAATCCTACGAGGAGTGAAGGTCTCCTGTTTCTACTCGCATAATATTGAGGCCTCGTCAGAGTCGGGGTCAGAGCGGTACTAAGCGGAGCCAAGGAAATTAAATAGCCATCCCTAGCTATGATATAATTTATTTAGAGAAAGAAATTGTAGCTATGGAACTTTGAATTTCGGTTTAAGCATTGAGCTTGCAGATTACTAGATTCAATGGAATCCCAATTGGATTAAAAAGCATTCCTTTTTTTTTTCCAAACACTAGGAATTGTTGTTAATTTTCTCATTTATCATTAATTGTGTCTAAGTCTCACCATTTTATTGAAGATGGAGGGATTGGGGAGAGAAGATAAGCGAAAGTAAGTTAAAGAAAGAAAAATGTAATTGATTTTTTTTTTTCACTTATAATAGGTAGTAAGTTACTTAAAAAATGACTTAATTTTCTTTTAGTTTAAAAAATATTTTCCGTTGATTTATTTTCTGAATGCTCTAAATAACAGAAAATTATTAAAAAAATTTTCCTGCAAGTTATTTTACCGAAACAAACGAAGATTTAAAAATAATAAATATGTTTCAACCAATAAGAATATGAGTGTTGGACTGACTATAATGAATGACATTTTTCTCCACCCGAGCTTGAAACATTTTGAATATAAAGAAAATAAAAGGGCTTGCGTATATTTTCTTGGAATTAAAATTTCTTATGTTGTCCCTGATTAGCATTTAGCCCTGTATGGTTCATGAAGTGGAGAAGGTTTAGTCCAGTACAAAATGTATGTTGTAGATTTAGGGTGGGTGTTGAAGAGTTGGAAGGCAACAAGTCAACAACCAGCAATAACCACAAGAATGCCATGCAGTAGAGTGGTGCGAGCGGCTCCAGTGAATTCTTGAAATCTTGATGGGCCAGTTGGTTTCCCTTTCTCATTGGCCAAAAGTTTTCTTGCTTTTAAGCCATCAATTCCTCATCACACAATCCTCATACCATCATCCAGACAGTTAGAAATTTCACAAACCACATTCTCTCTGTCTCAGTAGCCAAATATGGCAGCTGAGATGGCCCTGAGAATAAGATCATCTTCTACTGCCACTGCAAGACTCTCTCTTCCCTCTTCTTCATCAACATCTTCTTCTTCACCATCAAAAGCTTTAAGACCCATCTCTGTATCACTTCCTACATCAACCACTATATCTTTCCTGGCCGTCTTCTCTTCTCCTCCTCAAGAAGCAAAAGCTCTCTCTCTTTCCAAAGATCAGATTGTCTCCTCTCTCAATGATGTGAGAAAGTTACACTTCAACAATCTTTCATTGGATTTTTTTACATTTTTTTCTTGAATTGATTCTTTTTTACAATTTATACACTCTTTCCTTGAAATTGTGTTTTTGTTTACATTTTTCTTGATATCCTTTTCTTGTAATTGTGTTTTTTCATATCTTTCTTGATACCCTTTTGTTGAATTTGGCTTTTGAAATCTGTAGGTGGAGAAGACAATCGATCAGGTTCAAGAAGTTGGGTCAGGTTTCTTGGACACTGCTCAGCGTGTATTTGGAATCGTTAGTGATGCTTTGAAGCCAGGCATAGATAAGGCATTGCCAATTGTAAAGCAAGTTGGAGATGAAGCATTGAAGATTGCTTCTCCTGCTATTTCAGAGGCTTCAAGGAAAGCCCAAGAAGCTGTTCAAAACATTGGCATTGACACACAGCCAGTTGTTAGTGCTGCTAAGGTTTCACTTTCAATTTCACTGCTTCATTTCATTTTCTTTCCACATTAAGTATGCAGTTTAATGCTTTCTAATTGGTGTTTACTAAATTGTCTGGAAATTAAAACCCACTTCGTTGCGCTGCTTGAAATTGTTTTGAGCCAATAGTGAAACATCTCTTTGGTTTCGAAATGATTGGTCGGTGTGTTGTGATTTGAATTAAGTATAGCTGCAATAGATTATCCAAACAAATAAAACTACAATGACTAGATTAGCTAATTAATCATTGACTCAACAATGAATTGAAATGCTCATATTGAAAAACTGGAGCAATTCTGATCTTTTTGGCTTTGACATGAGATACCTTAAACTGAATTTGATGAACTAGGCAGGTTAAGAATTTGAATTATCTCATGTTTGTTTCAGTTTTGTGTTTATTTAAGATTTCATTAAGCAATGATGACAATTTGGCAAAGTATTTTTAGTTAAATTCATAAAATTTATGACCCTTGTGGATGCAGACAGCGGCTGATGCTGCTCAACAGACAACAAAGGTAATTGAAGATGTGAAACCTGTAGCTTCTTCAACTGTTGAAACCATTTTGTCAGCAGACCCGGTGGTGATTGTGGGAACTGCAGGAGCAATATTCCTTGCATACCTGCTCTTTCCTCCAGTATGGTCCGCCCTCTCATTTAGCCTCCGTGGTTATCAAGGTGAATTTGGTTAATCTATTGAGGTTCTATTTGTGTGGTTCAATATGGAGGATTCTCCATATTGCATATTTCTTCTAGTTTAGCTTTTCAAGTTTGTGCTAATGGAAAGTGTGGGAAACTAATTTTATGAAGTGGGAAATCCATGTCTTCCGTCACTCTTTAGGTGAGCTAACTCCTGCTCAAACCCTCGATCTAATAACTACAAGAAATCATGTTATGATTGATATTCGTTCGGAGAAAGACAAGGACAAGACTGGTATTCCCCGTCTTCCTTCCAGTGCTAAGAACAAGATGATTGCAATTCCGTGAGTATATATATAGTTATGTGTTTCAATGCATTTCATTTCATTTTTCTGATGCACAGACAGAAACAATTAACAAGATTAAGGATTTTTTTGACATTTTTGTTTAGGCCAGTTGATTATACTAATGGTTTGTTTGGCATTGTTATTTGATCAGAATTTTATTTTTTTCTAATCTATCATTACCATCAATTTTTTCAGTTTGGAAGAACTACCAAGCAAGTTGAGAGGCCTTGTAAGAAATGTGAAGAAAGTAGAAGCTGAAATAGCAGCTATAAAGATTTCATATCTCAAGAAAATTAACAAAGGCACCAACATTATTATTTTGGACTCGTGAGTTATTCTTCCTTACTTGCATGTAAAATCCAATTAATTTCACTCTGGTCAAGATTGAACTCGAGACCTTATAAACCTAGAGATGACTCCAGTATCAATGAGCCAAAGCTCATTGGTCTAGTCTGCCGATTTCTTTCGTTCTTGTTCTTTTTTCCTTTTAACTTAAAATGTCCTTTATTATTCAGGTACTCTGATTCTGCAAAATTAGTTGCTAGAGCACTAACAAGTCTTGGCTTCAAGAATTGCTGGATTGTAGCAGATGGATTTTCAGGAAGCAGAGGATGGTTACAGAGTCGATTAGGAACAGATTCATACAATCTATCTTTCGCCCAGGTTCTGTCACCGTCCCGAATAATTCCTGCAGCAGCTAGACGTTTTGGAACAACAGGCACAAAGTTGCTTCCCGGTGCTGATTAAGATATTTTTTTGCCTCATCCGATGCAGAAATGCTTGAATGTGCATTCTCTGTTAAGAGTAGCCCTCAAGATTGTAATCTGCATTGTAATTTTTTTGTCAGTGCTAGTAAATTGATTTTTGTTCCCTTGTGTAAGTTTCTTCTGTTGCTTGTTTCATACAGATAACAATAGCATTGGACAAGCTTAAGACAGCACCATTAAGCAAGGAGACATATAATTGCCAACTCCTCCCTTGATTAGCGGAATGGATAACTATTTCATAATTAATTACAAAATCTGCACAAGCTTAAGACAGCACCATTAAGCAAGGAGACATATAATTGCCAACTCCTCCCTTGATTAGCGGAATGGACAAGCTTAAGACAGCACCATTAAGCAAGGAGACATATAATTGCCAACTCCTCCCTTGATTAGCGGAATGGATAACTATTTCATAATTAATTACAAAATCTGCACAAGCTTAAGACAGCACCATTAAGCAAGGAGACATATAATTGCCAACTCCTCCCTTGATTAGCGGAATGGATAACTATTTCATAATTAATTACAAAATCTGCACAAGCTTAAGACAGCACCATTAAGCAAGGAGACATATAATTGCCAACTCCTCCCTTGATTAGCGGAATGGATAACTATTTCATAATTAATTACAAAATCTGCACAAGCTTAAGACAGCACCATTAAGCAAGGAGACATATAATTGCCAACTCCTCCCTTGATTAGCGGAATGGATAACTATTTCATAATTAATTACAAAATCTGCATTTTACAAATTTTAAAATATGTATTTAATGTAATAAGTTAACTTGTTTTCTGTTAAAATAGATAATCAATTAATTTAAATAGAGTTATAAAAAGTGATATATTTCTTTTAAATTATATATTTTGATAGGTAACAAGTTATGATGAAAAATAACTAACTTATTACAACCAATATGAAAGAGGTTCTTACACGGCATTTTTCGTAAAGGCCACGTTGCTTTTGAGTTAACTTTTAACGTTTTTAGAAGTCAAAAACTCTATTTCTATTAATTATAAGTTTTTATAAAACATTAAATTCCTTAAAACTTATCATTTAGCTAGCAATTTTTTTTTGACAATCAATACCTATCGTTTTTTCTCCTCTGAATTTAATTAATTAAATAATTAATGTGCTTTTTTATTATTTTAAGTTAAACAATTAATTAGCTAATGGGAATTTTTTTTTTCTTTTGAAAGGGGTTGTTAAAAAAATTAATATTATGGAACAAACCCAAAATATTTCACATCATAATTTGAATTGACATAAAATGAGTTCGACCATCAAATTTTTTACATGAAGAAAAAATATTTTTTTTAACCGCGATAAGCTACATTGACCTAGGGGTGGCCATATTACGGTTTTGGGAACCGGTACCGTCAGTTCGAAACGGTCCCGAATCGGAACTGGAACTGGAACCAGAGATTTTCGGTTCGGTTCCGGTTTTAATTTTTTGGAACCGCAAACTGACGGTTCCACAAAATCGGTCAGAACCAGATTGGAACCGCCGGTTCGAACCGGCGGTTCTAGCCATTAGAAACTCAGTTTTTTTTTTTTTAAATTTGTTGTGAAATCTCTTAATTACCCCTCACAACAACCATAAACGGCTACATAGCTGCTAGTTTTAAGAGTACTTTTGGAAAAATAATTAAGTTCAAGCCCTTTTTTTTTAATTATGTTCAAACTTTTTTAAACAAAAAATAAATTCAGTTGAAGAATTTTTTTTAAAAAAATAATGAATTTTTTAAAAAAAATAAATTAAACTTTTTTAAACAAAAAATAAATTCAGTTGAAGAATTTTTTTTAAAAAAATAATTAAGTTCAAGTCTTTAAAAAAATAAATTTAATTGAACCATTTTAAAATTTTTTAGGTGTATTTTTTTTTTTAACAAATAACTTTCAAAAATTTATTAAATTTTAAAAACCGATCTTCAAAATTTAAAATTTAAAATTATTCGATTTGTCGGAAAATCGATCGGAACCGTCGGTTTTGACACCGTACCGAAACCGGAATCGTTCGGTTCCAAACTGAAATCGAAACCGAAAATTTTCGATTCGATTCCGGAACCGGAACTGCGGGTTCCGTGGCCACCCTTACATTGACCGTTGTCTTCCTATTTAACCAATCACTTTTTTTTTTTTTTCAAAAAAGAAAAAAAGAAAACACACTTCCAGAATAATGTTAAATTTCAGCAATCAAATGTCCTTTTCGTAAGAGAACAAATATCTATCATCGAGGTGGTAGTGAGGGATGGATAACGACAAGTCGTCAGGGTCCACTTTTCCGAGCGAACCAAAAGTTTAAACTTGACGAGCCAGAACAGCAGTTGCGTAAGGCTACCACCTATCCATTGCTTTTGCACATTCTGCAACTGCAACTACTCTCATCACTCATCACCATCGTCATCGGCATCTCACTCCATTATAAACCTACAATGAACCCATTCAATCAATGAACAACTAAACACACAGTCTCTTTCTCTTAAAGTCGAGTCGAATCGAATGGCTCATAACGCCCTAGGTGCCATCTCTGTTTCCGATATTGAAGCTCTTGGGATTTCATCAGAATTAGCAGAGAAGCTTTACACTCATGTTTCCCAAATTATCAATAATTACGGTTCTGCCACTCCTGAAACATGGAGTCGTATATCCAAACATGTCCTTACTCCCGACCTTCCTTTCTCTTTTCATCAAATGATGTTCTATGGCTGTTACAAGGACTTCGGCCCCGACCCGCCGGCTTGGTTACCCGACCCGTAATATATATCTCTCTTTCTAATTTAAACTGAATAAATGAAGAGTTCTTTGAATTTCTTTGAATTTTTGTTACTTGTTGCTTCTATAGGAAGAGTGCAGCGTTGACAAATGTAGGCCAGCTCTTACAAAGGCGTGGAAAAGAGTTTTTGGGTGAAGGATATGTGGATCCAATTTCAAGCTTCTCTGCTTTTCAGGAATTTTCTGTTTCCAATCCTGAGGTGGGACTTGTATAAGTATATTAATCACTAGTTTGTTGTGCCAATTTGAGCTGATTATATATTGTTTCCTATGTGTTGGCCGATCAGGTTTATTGGAAAACTGTACTTGATGAAATGGATGTAGCATTTTCAGTACCTCCCCAATGTATTTTACGTGAGGATTTATCTGGGGAAAGTTCTTTCCTGAACCCAGGTGGGCAATGGCTTCCTGGAGCATATGTCAATCCTGCAAAGAATTGCTTGAGTTTGAATTCTAAAAGAATTTTGGATGATACGGTGATCAGATGGCGGTGTGAAGGAAGTGATGATCTACCTGTAAGCAGCATGACACTTGAGGAATTGCGTACAGAGGTTTGGTATGCTGTTCATCTCATAATCTTTGTTTAGTACTGGTGCTTTTATCCTAGACTAAGTTTCCTATCTCGCTCTCTGTTTATTTTGTCATCTACAAAATTGGGAGTGGCTGTCTATCACCCTTTCATTCCTGGTGGTGTAACAAAAATCACACCATGAAAGTAGGCTTATATTGTTAACTAGATGCTGAAATTAATTGTCAATTTAATAATAAACTTTCTAGCGTATGGTGTTGCTTGTTTTGCATTTCCTGTTGTACTGTTGGCATATATTTTCCTGTATTTATTGGTCTGGGTAGAGCAAATGGCATAAATAGATTCATGTGGTAAGTCCTGTTTTCTGAGATCACTGCTTTGTTAATATGATTTCTGTCAACAATATTTTTTAGTTTCTGATTAATTCAGTATTTCGCTGGAGATAATTTGCTGAAGCATACTTCTTTCTGTAGTATACTCAGAAGTCAAGATATTTTTAAGAAATTTAATTATATGAGAAGTTTATATTAGTGATTGTATGCTGCAATTTGTAAGGTAATTATTTTTTTGGTTTTCTGGAAGCACAGTGTTCTTTACTACGATGAGGCTGATATGAAGTAAATTGGTTTTATTCTGAATTTGTAAAGTACTTCTAATTTCTTAAACTTTAACAAAATCTAAGCCAAGATTGGTTTTGCTCTGCTGCTTGTAGGTTAGTTGCGTATGCACTCAATTCACTGGGTTTGGACAGAGGATCAGCAATTGCAATCGATATGCCAATGAATGTCAAGGCTGTGGTTATCTACCTAGCTATTGTTCTGGCTGGATATGTAGTTGTGTCTATTGCTGATAGTTTTGCTCCCTTGGAGATATCAACGAGGCTTAAAATTTCAAAAGCAAAAGCCATATTTACTCAGGTTGTTATTTCTTTTCTTTTGTTGAAATATAAAATTTTACTTATTTGGATTTTCATGCTTATTTGTGCTTCTTGACATCAAAGTCTGGAATTATTGAGTGGTCTTTGCATTCCCTTTTCTTTTCTTTTGTAATTTCTTTTCCATATTTTCCTTTCCATCATCAAATTTGGTCTTTATTCATTTAATTTTACTGAAGAAGCTGGTAAAGTTTAGTCGGATGATGTATTTAAGTTTCAATATCCTACATGTGTTATCATACAATTAAAGCATGTAGCGTCGACATGTTTTCATTTTAGTTATATCTGTCATTAGTAAATTCATTCTACGATTACTAAGGATGGTTTATGTGTCCTTTCCCCTCTGCAAGTAATATATCAATGATTGGCGAGATGAGATTAGTGAAGTTCATTATGATCATTTACTGACTCAATTTTCAAAATTTGTGTCTTAGCTTATTTAAATCATGCCGAGTAATAATAACGATTTGCAAGACTTTAGAAGGGACTAGAAATAATTGCTTAACAGTTTATATAGGGATCACAAAGATGATGAACATAATGTTTGGGCTCACTTGATGGAGCCACTTATTGTCTTATTGATTTCAAAATTAATTATCAAATTAGAAATTGTTGTACTCTTAATGTTATAAATTCAACCTACAAACGGTTTATTGGCATAGTCAAAGATAGTCTACGAAGTGAAATTTTATTACTACTCTTTGTAATTTGTCACTTTCGGTCTATATCTGAGCCAAGGCTGAGAATTGTCATTTTGGGGTCCACAAATATGATGAAGAACAGATTCAGTAGTTCTAGGTCGTTGATGATTTGTCCGGTGGGACTTTGTTCTTGTTACAATCTCTTTGCTGTACTCATAACTATTGTCTGTCCAGACAAATTCCTCTCTTACCTAATAGAACCATCTTTTTAGAACTAATTTAAGTTTTTGCAAGGTGGTATTGTATTTAACGATGATGGAAGAAGAGAGTTTTTTTCTTATATTGCTATAATTTTGTAGCCCTTATGTTATCTAACATCTGAGGTCATCTTCTATGACCTGGCTTTGTTATGCCACCTTAACTTTCATTTCTGTTATTATTTCCTTCTTTAAACATGTTTGTTTCACAATCATTTGATCTTCAAATCTCTTTTCTCAGGATCTTATAATTCGTGGTGACAAAAATATCCCCTTATACAGGTGTAGTTCTGATTATCTTTTAGCCATATGATTATCTCTTTCTCTATCTCTCTCTCCCCCCACCCTCTCCCTTCTGTGTGTGCAATAATTAATCTCACATTATAACTTCAATTCTGCAGTAGAGTTGTCGATGCCCAGTCACCTATGGCAATTGTCATTCCTACAAAAGGTTCTAGCTTCAGCATGAAATTACGTGATGGAGACATTTCTTGGCATGATTTCCTAGAAAAAGTCCAGAATTTAAGGTGTATTTTCTTGTCTTAATGTTTGATTGAGTTATAGGTCAATCCAAATCTATGGTTATCATTCCCTTTCCCCTTTTCTTTTCTATCTTCCTAGCATTATAGGAACGATGGATAGCTCGCTTTCTGCATTTTATGTTAATTGTTTCATAATCAAACATCTTCATGATATATGGTTTTACCGTTGTTCAATGATTTTTCTGCATTGTATGTTAATTGTTTCACTTAAGGAACTAAACAGAAATGCAAACTGTTGTAAAATGATATAATGGTCTAAGGCGTAGAACTCTTTGGACTCACACCTAGCAATTAAGAATTCTTTGAAATTCTTAGAAATGTAAATAGGTATAAAGTATCTAATGATCTGAGGTGTTGTGCTTCGTTTTAAATATTCTTTCTTAGAATGATGGACAAGTAAATTATTTTATGTTGAAATTGCTGTCTTCCAACTTTGCATGAACTTTTTGTTTTCTATATGTGCTGTTACTTACTCCCTGCTGCAGTGTTGACCTTCACTATGAGTCTAGAAATTACCTAGACCAAGATCTAGGAGTTTCTTTTGCAGGTAGCTTTCTGGAAGTTGCATGGGAAAATACTTAATCAAATAAATAATAAGCTATTGATAAATTAGAAGCTTTGGGAAAGCGCATCATGAGAGATTACACAACTTAATAGATAGAGGTCCTGTGTCCTTTATTGTTGGATCAGCATATTTAGGTTAATATATAAATTTGTGTTTTTTATATTTTTCAATTCTCAAGTAAAACAATCATACAGGAGTTTGTCTAAGAGTTGCATGATTATTTATATGTTTATTTTGAAATTTTATTTGTGCGCCTTTGATATCGGTGATGTATCTGCTTATCTTTATCATGAAACCTGCAGAGGTAATGAGTTTGCTGCTGTAGAACAACCAATAGAAGCATTTACAAACATTCTTTTCTCATCTGGAACTACAGGTAACTCACAGGTTGAAAATTAGGCTCATAATGTTCACTTCTTGGCTGCTTCATTTAATCAAGATAAATCTTTATCTTTGATGGCAACCTTATCCCACTAAAGTTGAAATAAATTCCTGAAATTTTGTTAGAAGCCTTCTAAATCATCTAAGACCTTAATATGTTCTCTCACTGCACAAGGTGAAAGGATTCATAACTTTGAGCAGGGTCCTTATTATAAACTGAAACTCCTAGACAGGTTCTGGCCTTTGTCCTTAAATTCTTAATTAGTTTCCCTTGTTAGAATAGCCTATTTGTCGATATTTGTAGTCTCTTTGGATGCTCTAACTTTCATTCTTTGGCATTTGTAGTCTCTTTAGAGGCTTCCAACTTTCATTATTGTCCACCACCCTAAAAAATTTCTAGTTTTAGATCCCCAAATGTGACTTTTCTGCAAGGTTATTGCTAGTTGGGTTGAACACTTGCACTATTTTCCAACCATTTTCTTAACCTGTCTGCATTCCATTTGCACGACACAATTTGTTGTATGTTGTGCTTGGGTTATGGAGTTCCACAATGGTACCTGCTAATGGATATTCTTGTAAAACTCTAAAGGATACTAGTCCAACATAAGCCCATGAAAACAACTTTCGAACATGGTGTTGGCTGCTATTAGGAATGTATAAATAGATATCTGGATGTGATTAGAGTATAAGGAGTTTTACCATCTGATGGTTAAAGCATTAAGTTTCTTTTAGTTTATCAGACAGGCAAATGAACATCATGGTTCATTTGATTTATGTTTCCATTTGTTTGTTGATCACACAAAAGGATCTGTAGGCTACAGGACCCTATCCCATTGCTTACCCTCTGAATCCATGAAAAAGAAAATGAGTAACTGGTATAATAAAGTGACTAGGAGAAATGGAGAATGCTACAGGGATATATGTCTGGTCTTTGTGGACTTCATAGAGGTTTGCTCACAAGGATGGGAGAAAAAGGTGGACTCGTTAATGGCCTCAGAATTGAAGGTTATGTAGCTTTGGATGAAGATTTTTGGGCTACTAATCAAGACAGCATATTCTACCATAGGATTCAGGACCAGAAAATGAAACCTCAAACTAATATTTACGTGAATGAGTTGCAAATTGGCAATGAAAATCAACAATAGGAATCATTCATTTGGTTAACCATGGGTATGCTCTGTTTTGGAGCAATTCATCTGGGTTCCAGGCTATAGAATGAACAGAACATTAACTTTGTTGACTTGTGACTTTTTTTGAGGATATTATTGATCTGTAACTTTGATTATAGAAATTAACACATAATTTTGCAGTTTTCTTTGGATAAACTAATTTTCATATTGAAAATATTCTTTTACAAATTACATTTCATTCTTTAGTTAACCTGTAGATTGGGGAGAAGCAATTAAGTCTAATCAAACATAATCTTAGTAATATATTAATCCAATTTCAGAAGTTAGCAAACCAACGATCTTCAAATTTGTGAGAAGGAGCATAATGTTAATGTATGGTTACAGGGTTTATTTTCTGGTGCAGGGGAGCCAAAGGCAATTCCATGGACCAGTGCAACTCCTTTCAAAGCTGCTGCAGATGCATGGTGCCATATGGATATTCGCAAAGGTGACATTGTTGCTTGGCCCACTAACCTTGGGTGGATGATGGGTCCTTGGCTGGTGTATGCTTCATTATTAAATGGGGCTTGCATTGCTTTATATAATGGATCCCCCCTAGGTTCTAGCTTTGCCAAGTTTGTACAGGTGGGAATTCTATTCCACTTGGCAGTTTAATATTTCATTTTCTTTTTCTCCATTTGTTGTATGACCTCATGTTACTATATGCATTATTGTTGCACATGTTGGTCAGTCTAGAACAACAAAACTTGTAACATATTAAATTGACCCTCTTAGACAATGGCCTGCTAGAAGTTTTAGAAATGATTCTTGTCCATCCTAGTGAGGTTTTGTTCAAAGTACCTTGAACATCTCTCAGCCTTATGATTAAGGGACTGTCTTTTTATGCTTGTAGTTAAATCTTTTCCTTCGCACTGTTGTAACTGTGCAGGTCCAATCTATAACTATTAGTTTGCCTTTTTCCCTCCCTGTTCAGTTGCTCTTCACTTGCAGTTACTGCATACTTGATAAATAACCAACCTGAGCTCTACTTCATTGCTTTATCAACTTTGAATGCACTTTTCTTTATTGATTCAGGGAACTCCATTTTCCATTATATGTGCATATATGCATATGTGTGTATGTGTGGGTATATGCTTGTGTGAGAGAGAGATAGAGAGATAGTCCATCTCATATTACACAAAATATAATTGCATATACTGCTGCATCAAAGCCATCTATGGAACTGTATATTGTTTCTTTGCATATCATGCATGCCAAATATCACGTGACTAGGTTTTGTGGTCACTTTTTTTTGTGAGGTAAAACTATACTCGCAAAAAAAAAAAAAAAAAAAAAAAAAAAAAAAAAAAAAAAAAAAATAGGTTTTGTGGTCCAACTTTTTTTTGTGAGGTAAAACTATAGCTCGCAAAAAAAAAAAAAAAAAAAAAAAAAAAAAAAAAAAAAAAAAAAAAAAAAAAAAAAAAAAAAAAAACAGAAGGAATACTGTTTCAGTTTTTTGAGTACACATAGTGGTCATGGAAGGCACACGGGTTAAGTTTCATTTTATTAGAATCTTATAGGTATTGAATACAATAAGAGTTTGGAGATTGTTTTCAGTTTCAATTTAGTATGCTAATCTAATGTTTGCTACTGTTTAAATATATCTTTCAGGCATTTCTGAAAATTTTGAAGTTCATATCATTTTCTCATTTATATTTGGTCAGGATGCTAAAGTAACAATGCTCGGTGTGATCCCGAGCATTGTTCGGACATGGAAAACTGCAAATACCACAGCTGGCTATGATTGGTCTGCTATTCGGTAAGCTTCTAGATTTTATCCTTTGCTGTGTTTGTTCTCCATATTGGGAAGTACCACATTCATATTATGTGTAAGTGTTTACACATGTTTTGCTGTTTCATTGAAGGTTATTTATGTATTCTGGATCTTGTTCTTGATACTGATTCAAGATATATTTACTATTGTCAAATCTGGTAGTTGCTTTGGCTCTACTGGTGAAGCATCTAATGTAGATGAACACTTATGGTTGATGGGAAGAGCTCTCTACAAGCCTATTATCGAATACTGTGGTGGTACAGAGATTGGCGGTGGATTTGTTTCAGGATCTTTCTTGCAGCCTCAATCATTGGCTGCTTTTAGCACCCCGGCAATGGGGTGCAGCTTGTTTATTCTTGGTGACGACGGCCATCCAATTGTAAGTATCATTTCACTCTGCATTAAAATGTGAGAAAAGATTAACTTGTCAAATCATAGAGGAAGTGCAATGCTTGAAAAAATTGTTGCCTATTTTTCCTGTATGGTTGGTTTGTTGTGTCATAGAGGAAGTTTTTTTTTTTTTTTTTTAATTGAGGAAGTTTTTTTTTTTTTTTTTTTAATTCCCTTCTAGGATTTTGAAATTGATGCATTGTTAATGCCATCTAAATGGAAGTTTTTTTTTTTTTTTTTTAATTCCTTCTAGGATTTTGAAATTGATGCATTGTTAATGCCATCTAAATGATCTCTGGTTCTCTGTCAAAATTTATGTATCCGTGTCCTAATGAAGAAAACCCTAGATAACATCTATTCAAATAATATTTTGATCTAATTTGCAAATATATGGGTTGTTTTTCCTGCAAAAGATAAGCTATTATACATGAATTGCGAGTATAAACTCAGAGCTGATATTGCATCCATCAGACTTTGTTCTTGACTCCAAGTTTATATTCTGTTGTGCTTTAGAAATTTTTCAACACCATCTTAAGGAATCTCTGTTTTTCTGGAATCAAATACTCAGCTTGTATATTTATGATTTTGAATTATTTTTAAAAATTGATACGCTTTTTTTTTCATCTATTAACCTTGCGGTAAATCATACCTGCACACACAGCTGATTCCAACTTGACAGTTGATAAAGTTTTTTGTTTGACCATGATTTACTATGCTTTTAGTTCAAAATAATAATTTGCTTAGTCCTTGTTTCATCTTCTTTGTGCAGCCACATGATGTACCAGGGATCGGTGAATTGGCTCTTGGTCCCCTCATGTTTGGAGCTTCAAGTTCACTGCTGAATGCGGACCACTATAACGTGTATTATAAGGGAATGCCAGTTTGGAATGGAAAGGTAAGTGCTTTTTCCCCTGCACCTTTATTTTAGATTGGGTGTCCTAAGCAACTCAAGTTTTCAGATTCGAGTACCCTTGCAGATTCTTCGAAGACATGGGGATGTTTTTGAGCGTACTTCTAGAGGATATTATCATGCACATGGTCGTGCAGATGACACTATGAATCTTGGGGGTATCAAGGTATGCATCTGGCCTTGACTGCTATTATCTTTGTGTTTAGGAATGAAGAGTCATGCAACCCATGTAAGATAAGTTAATATCTTATCGAATGTGTCAAGATGTAATGCTCTCTGCCCGAGATCTCTACGAATCATCCTTAGGCAAGCTTTATTTATTTTCAAATTTTATTTTGTCAACCATTTTTTCTTTGTTTCTGATTCTTAAATGTACTGCTTTATAAAAGTCCTATCAAGGACTCCATGTTGCATTTAAGCTTGGCCTAGGGATTGCCACGTAACTAAATTTTTGATAAATCATTTTGCAATGCTTAAATCTACATGTCACCTGAAGCTAGCTACTGGATAATTCATGCAACAGTCAAGTCAGGCATGACATGGTTTTGCAAGGGGGGTTATTAGATTAAACCCATTTATTATATATGTTCCTTTTTCAATTACCAGATATCTTTTGTCTGCGTTCACATCTTTAAAAAGAGATGATATGTTGTGAAACATCAACTGAAGTTTGTCTGGGCATTTTTGAACTGTATTACAATTGCAAAAACATCATCTTACTGAAGAAAATTTATCAGTGGTTCTAAAACTGTTTTGGATCCTTTGAATATTCTATATGACAGGTTAGTTCTGTTGAAATTGAACGCATATGTAATGTGGTTGACAGCAGCATCCTTGAGACAGCTGCCATTGGTGTGCCACCTCCTCAAGGGGGACCCGAGCAGTTGGTAATAGCTGTAGTATTCAAGAATCTGGAAAATTCAACCACAGATTTGGAACAACTGAGGAAGTCTTTCAATTCAGCTGTGCAGAAGAAACTAAATCCTCTCTTCAGGGTATTTAGCATTACTAATTTCTTCTCCGCATTTCCATTCAAAATTTTGGAAATCTCATCCATTTGTAATGCTTAAATGTGCAGGTTTCCCGTGTAGTACCTCATCCTTCTCTTCCAAGGACTGCGTCAAACAAGGTCATGAGAAGGATTTTGCGGCAGCAATTTGTACAACAGGAACAAAATTCAAAACTATAAAAAAGGAAAAGAAGAAAAACTTGGAGTTCAATAATGAAGTGAACGCACGAAAATCCATGTTTTTGTGTAAGGATTGTATGATCCAGAGAAACCGAATTTACTTGCTAAACCTCGTGGTTTTAGGCTCTGTTCGGCATAAGCTTTTCAAGTAATTTTTAGAAAAATGTTAAATGTTATTTCTTATAGTGTTCGGTAATATAACATTTGGATTAACTTTTAGAAGTTAATATAGCATTTTATGAAAAGTTAATCCATGTAAATTTTAGTTTTTAGCTTGTCATGAAAAGCTACTCGAACAATAGTTAGCAGCTACTAAATCAGTTAATTTTGCTGAATAAATTCTCAATGTGAATAAATGTACCAGCAGACGCATATTACATATATGTACATCCTTGCTCCGTTTTTATGGAGGAATAAATAATGTTTTTTTAATATTATTCTTATTTACATTAGATATGATAACTATCTTTATAAATTATTTTTTGTTTGAAATAAAAGGTAATTTGGTCAAAATATTGTTGATTTTTGTGATAATTTAAGATAATTAATGTTTTTTGCAAAAATTTTAAATGATATATATTTTGAAATAGGGAGTGTTGTTAGATATTGTTGATTTTTGTGATAATTTAAGATAATTAATGTTTTTTGCAAAAATTTTAAATGATATATATTTTGAAATAGGGAGTGTTGTTAGATATTGTTGATTTTTGTGATAATTTAAGATTTTTTGCAAAAATTTTAAATGATATATATTTTGAAATAGGGAGTGTTGTTAGTACAGTAATTTGGAATTTCTTACTGAACAAAGTAAGTAAACACCAGAAATTTTCACTGGTCATTCAACGGTCTACTTATAACACCACCTAAACTGTGCTGTTCAAGATTTTGGTTGGTTCAGTCTGACAGGAGGAAGATGCGCATAACTTTGGCCCAATCATTCCACCTAGATTCTCCTTTTTTTTTTTTTTTTTTTTTTTTTTTTCTTTCATTACTATTGCAATTACAAAATTTTTTTTTTTTTTTTTTTTTTTTTTTCCTTTTCAATTACTATTGCAATTACAAAATATGTCCAATTCACGCATCACTAAATACAAATGAAGAACTCCACTTTTGACTGAACGAAGAACCACCCACCATTCAAAACATTAGAATACTGTGATACATGCCGTGCTACATTTTTTATATTTGAATATCCTATTATGTACACTGTTGGTTGATTCTTTTAGTTATTTAAACAGTATTTATTAACTGTTGTTTTATTAATTATTAGCGGTTAGAGATTAATTATTGTTGGTTTAGCTGTTTATACATTACTTTTAAAATTATTAGCTGTTAAATGTTACTACCACTATGGTATAGCACTGAGCTAGTGTTTTAATTTTAGTTAATATGATAAACGTTACTTTAAAAGCAATTTATATTGTATTGATTTTTGTCAAAATATTAAATTTTATTTTAAAAAATTGTTATCCAACATAATCATCTTACATTAATATATATACAGTATACTTAGTAGATTTAACAATAATAATTGACGCAAATAAAAATGTTATTCTCACTGTTCCATTATATTTTCTAAATGTCTCAAAAAATTTACAAGGTTTCTAAATTTATATATGTAAATAATTATTTTTTCCATAATAACCTTTATAATTGTCTATTAAATGAAAAATTGTTATTAATATCTTAATGAGATAAGAGTAAAAAAGAGTAAAATAATTTTTATTGATTAAATTTTTGATATACGTGTTTTGTCAAAAAATACAAACAAAATAAAATGGAGGGATTAATATATTTTCACTAATTAAAAAAAAAACAAAATAACCGTTTATTAGATAATATGATAATCAACTATTGGATAAATATCTAAGAAATGAATATACAGGTAAATATTTTTCCTCTTTTGTGTTAACAGGGAAGGATTTATATTATTAGCAAATATTTTTCTTGAGATTAAATTTCTAAACAAAAGAAATTATACTGTTGATATGATACATTAAGCTCCTTTTCTAATAGAAAAAAAAGCCGTATATATTTTCAGAACTATAATATAAATAAAAAATAGTAATTTGCATAAATGATGATAAAATTTTCATACAAATTAATTAAAATATGGAGATAAATAAAAAAACGGTGGGCCCCACCCCACCGTTTCTCTCTCGACAAATTGCGAAATCCTGCCACAGAAGCTCTCCTTTCCTTCGAGCTCGGCTGCAGCTACCCGAGCCGGAACGTCTACAGAGAGAAAAAAAAAAAAAAAAAGAAAAAAAAAAAAAAAAAAGAGGTTCAATAAATCGAAAATTCCTGGAATTAGGGTTTTTTATGCTGAAAAAATTTGGTTGTAGATAGATGACTTCTTTTCTCCTTTATAGACCTACTCTTTCCTTCTCCTTTCTCTCCCAAAACTGTAAGCTCTCTTTTTCCCCCGTTTTCTCTAATTCTTTTGTATTCTTTTCAGATTATTGGATCCGGAATTTAATCCCGACTAAGTTTTTTTTTTTTTTCCTTTTTATCAAATAGTTTTTTTTTGGATTTTCCTTTTCAGTTGCTTTTGTTTGAAGATTAATTTCAATATTTCGCAATTTAATTCGTTTTTCCTCTTTTTATCTGTTTAGAACTAAATATGAACAAAATACAAAGAACACGACGACAATATGGCGTTCCTATTTTTGAGAGCCCCTGAACTTGCACCGCGTTAAGTGTTCAGTGGATGCACCTATGAAGGTATGGGTTCTCCCTCTCTATTATTACTGTATTTCCAGAGAGAAAAAAAAAAAAAAAAAGAGGTTCAATAATCGGAAATTCTGGAATTAGGGTTTTTTATGCTGAAAATTTGGTTGTAGATAGATGACTTCCTTTCTCCTTTATAACCCTACTCTTTCCTCTCCTTTCCTCTCCCAAAAACTGTAAGCTCTCTTTTTCCCCGTTTTCTCTAATTCTTTTGTATTCTTTTCAGATTATTGAATCCGGAATTTAACTCCGACTAAGTTTTTTTTTTTTTTTCTTTTTATCATAGTTTTGGATTTTCTTTTCAGTTGCTTTTGTTGAGATTAATTTCAATATTTCGCAATTTAATTCGTTTTTCCTCTTTTTATCTGTTTAGAACTAAATATGAACAAAATACAAAGAACACGACGACATATGGCGTTCCTATTTTGAGAAGCCCTAGAACTCTCACCAGCGTTAAGTGTTCAGTGGATGCACCCTATGAAGGTATGGGTTCTCCCTCTCTTATTACTGTATTTCTAATTTTTTAATTCTATTATTTTTTTGAGCTTTCTTTTATTTTAATTCAATTATTTTGTAATGGTTTTAATTTTTTTGGTTGATAGTAGATAAAATATGTGAATAAAGAGTTAGGCTGTTAAAATTAAATGACTCAAAAAAGATGGAAGCTTGGATTTGTGTGGATGTGTTTTTTTTTTGGTAGTGATTGAAGGAAAGCAGTCAAAAAGGGAATTTAATCCTTTCAAATGTAGAGGTCTTCATATATAAGTTGCTATAGTTGAACTTTGCTTGGTCAATAGAAAACACGGATATTGTAACTATATGTTTTTTCTTTTGAACATTTATTCTTGTAGGCAATGAGTTTTATGTTTTTGAGAATTTGGTTAGTAACATTGCTGGAAGGACAATGCTTTTGCTTGGGTGGTCTTGAAAAGCAATCGTAAAATTGGACCAGAGAGTTAGATGATGTACAATATATCTTGTTAATTCTTGTGAAGGTCTATGCTTAAAAAAGAAAATCTTAATAATTTGTTTTGGTGAAGCTAAAAAATCCTAGGAGGCCATGATCCTCCTGCAGAATAAAGCTAGCTGAGCTTTGTTGAGTGAGTATAAGAACTTGTAATTTCAAGCATTAAAATTGGAACAATAAATAACATTTTTTTATCAGCACAAGAACTTTGATTAAGCATAATGGTAACAAGATATTGAGTATCTGCATAAATACTTTTCCAATGCCTAATGGGTATTGACAGCCTATTATGTTGCATTTTCACCTTCTTAAAGAGCTGCATAGGCATGTGTGATTTTGCATGCTTGCATGTAAATGAAGGTGGGGGTGCATGCATAATTTTCTTTTAAATGAATAAATAAGTGGTCAAGGCCCGATTGTTATTATCATGTTCATTTATGCTGGTGAAACTTATTATTATCATGGAGTATTATGTAAATCTTGCTTACTTTTAAAGTTAACAATTTCCCTACCAGTGCTTGGGCTGGGCACATGCTGAAATTTGGGATTTTTTTTGTAGTCCATTGCTGATAACTTTATTCATTTTAATTAAACTGATAACTTTATTCATTTTAATTAAAGTGTTGGTCATGGGTACTTCAAGATGAAGTCAAAGCTCTGAGTAACTTAACTTGCAGTATCCATCTAGATTTTATTTTAGTAGTGGAATGTTCTATTCTGGATCTAAAAGTAGGACTTCTGACAAATTAAGCTCTAATCCTTGCTTGGAGTTCAAAACATGACCTGTGAATGATGTACAGATCATAAATGTGTAATGCTTGATGTCGTTTTACCTATTTGATTTTCATTTTCAATGGACTGGTATTCTTAACCTTTACTAGATAATAATGGACTGACCATTATTATCTAGTAAAGATAGATTTGATTTTTTATTCAATTGAGTTAGACTAGCCCCTGGATTTTATTAAGAATTAATATTTTGAATGGTCAACTTGTAAAATCTGTAGTTATATTAATTATGGATTCAATTCTGTGTATTTTATGGACTGTTGCTACTAATACATGCTTATAAATGAGAATTTATCGAGTTCACATGTTCTCTGGTGCTTTTGTTCTGACTCTAACCGTCTTAACATCCACTTATCTTTTCCCGTAGGTAATGTCCCAAAATTTCCCCGAACTAATGTTTGGGATCCTTATAGACGTCTTGGTATCAGTCCATATGCTTCTGAGGAGGAAATTTGGTCATCACGCAATTTTCTCTTACAGCAATATGCTGGACATGAGAGAAGTGAGGAATCAATAGAGGCTGCTTTTGAGAAATTGTTGATGACCAGCTTTAGAGAAAGGAAGAAAACAAAAATTAATTTGAAAACCAGACTAAAGAAGAAAGTGGAAGAATCTCCACCTTGGGTTAAGAATTTACTTAATTTTGTGGAACTTCCTCCAGTTGAAGTCATTTTTAGAAGATTATTCCTCTTTGCATTCATGGGTGGCTGGAGTATCATGAATTCTGCTGAAGGTGGACCTGCTTTTCAGGTTTGTTCTATATTTCTTTCAGACATTTAAAATAAGTATTTTCTAGGGGTGGATACAACAACCTTCTTAGTAGGCACAAAGTTATCATGTGTGTTTAACTTGTTGTATGGGAACTTTGCCTTTCCAATTCCCTCATGTTTAAAGTTCTGGTAAGTTCTGTTACTGTCTAAAGTGAATAAATTCTACATTTAGACAATATGGGGGAATAATTTTCTTGCGGAGCATGAACTTCCTGAAAAAAAGAAGTGGGGGATCCGTTGTGTTTTCTATTGTTCCTTATATTTTCTTGTATGGGAAGCTTTATGGGGTTTGGATGATGAAATATTGTTGCTGGTGAGCTGCACATCGAGTTGGTCTCTGACATATTGAACAGTATTTGTCGGACTGTTTTTGTGGTTAGAAATAAGAAAACTGAAGAATAAGAATGTTGAACATAATACATTGTTAAAAGGCTCTCTAAAGAGAAGAATCATCTAATCTCGATGCTAAAAATAACATTGCCTAGACTTCTTTCTACTGGCTATTGTTTCAGCTCCGTTTAATCAATACAGCCCCTTGTAAGATTTCTTGGATGCTTAATGCTTTGTGAAATGGTACAAAGAAAACTTTTTTTTTGTATTAACTACATTATTTCTTATGCAGGTGGCGGTCTCTTTGGCAGCTTGCATATATTTCCTCAATGAGAAGACAAAGAACTTGGGCAGAGCTTTCATTATTGGGTGAGTTTGTGAACAAAAAGAATGGAAACTGCAGTTTCCTCTTTATTTCTTTCTTTTTTTGTTACTTATGTGCGCGTCTTATGTGCATTGCAGTCTGGGATCACTTGCAGCTGGATGGATATGTGGCTCTATTTTTGTTCCGATGATTCCAACAGTTGTGATACACCCAACCTGGACACTCGAACTCCTGACTTCTTTGGTAGCTTATCTTTTCATGTTTGTTGGATGTACTTTTCTCAAGTGAAATCACAGTTGCACCTCAATAAGTGCCTGTGGATTATATTGTAGTTGACTCCATTTTCTGTATTCATTGAAATTCTCTTCTATAAATTTTGAATATCATGAAGTTATGCAACTTTTTAACCTTTTCTTCTTACAAAACTGACAACTGTTAATAAGCTTTTATGTTATTAAGTGTCCTGACCTTTTGTAACTGGCCAGGCTAGAATTACAACATCCAGTTTTGGTATAAAAATGTCCAAACGAGCCTGATTGCAAAATTTATCTATCTTAGCGTTTGACATTCTCATCTTTTTCTGACTAGATTTACATCTAGACACTGATGCAACTACATTCCTTTGATTGAATAGGCTGTCAACTATTTATTTAATGTTTTTATCATCTCTGTGTTCAATATTCTAGCTAAAGGTCAAGTTGTGGCTTGTTCTACCAAGTCTATCAATAAGGTTATGGTTATACCAGCTGAAAATAATCTTATTTCAAACAAGATATAATATACCTACTACTATTATATGATTTATAAGTGATAAAAATTTCATATTTTATTGATCAATGGCGGTAATATAATTTGTTCGTGAAAATAATTTCTTCACTCCAAAATAATAATTGCCAAAAGGGATATTCATTTGTTAGCAGAAAAGTAAAAATAAATATTTAGACCATGTTTGGCGAGTCTTAATGTAATGTAATATGATCTAATCAGAGGCATTCTTACTTTTTTAGCATTCGATTGGTGCAGATTATTCCTCTAACTAAGTAAGAGATCTAACACTAAAATAAAAACTGCTATAATCATAAATGAATCTCTACAAAATTAATCACCCAAATGTTATTAATTTTTTTAAAAAAGAAAGAAACTATAACATTAAAGAGTAGTGAACACAAAAAAGATGTCTAAGGGTAAGGTCTATATCCTCTAAGTTTGGGGTAGGATCTGTATGAATTGGTCCTCCTTACACAGCAACCAAGGCAATACAAAATGATGAGAACCACAACAATACAACAATTGAGTATAGCCAATTGCTTCCATTTATGTTTTATGTTCTTCACAATTCCATCTTTGCATGACTCGCAATTGTAGCATAGAGTATCTTGCTGGTTGCTCCATGTTTTGCACTCGCTATTGTTCACTGCTGGCCCTGCCTTTGGCATTACCCAGTACGTTGCATTTTTGTACTCAAATCCACACTCACTTGGTGGCTTGCAACATCCTGACTGCAAATATATAAATCAAATCCATTACTATCATTTAGTAATAAAAATCTCCAATAATTAATGTCTACTATATATACACACATACTATTTTAGGCCAAAAAGGGAATGTATTGAAGTAATAAAGCTGTGTTCGGCAATAACTTTTTAAATGTTACTTTTTATGATGTTCGATAATATAGCGTTTGAACTAGCTTTAAAGATTAGTTTGACATTTTATAAAAAGTTAACCCATATAACATTTAACTTTTAGTTTTTTATGAAAAATTATTTAAACCGTTACATAGGCTACTAAAACAACTAACAGCTAATTTTGACAAACATACCTTAAATGTATGTTCATCTATTCTCGACAGTTATTTCCTTTAAAATTTGAATCCAATGACAAATTAATAACAATAAACTTTTGCTCTATCATAAGAAAAAAAAGATCTAATTAATGTTCTATATAAATATATTTATATATTGCATTGTTAAGTATAAATAAAGCTATGATCCACGAAAAGAAATCGGGTGGTGGTGATATGCAGTGAAATTTTCTTTTCTTCGCATGGCGATTATGGTCAAATATATAGCAAATGAAAATTATAAACATAACTCTAATTAATTATATTCACAATAATTCATAATCATATTGACATGAAAAATTATTTTAAAAAAGAAATAAAAGAAGAAGAAGAAGAAGAAGAAGAAGAGATGATGAAAACCTGCATAGGAGACAAATTCTTCTTGAAAAAATCCTTGACATCTTTATCCATATCATTACTATCACCAAGACTGTTGCAGATCTTTGCATCAATCAAACAATTCCTAATGTGCTCCCAATTCTTATCATTCACAAAATGGTCTCTAATCCAAGTTCTAAAGTTAATAACTTTCAAACGCGAAACAACATCACCAGAAGTTGCATGAGAGACCAAGAACGAAAAAATGGTAAAAATAAGAAGAGCCACAATCAACAAAAACATAACAACTAGATAAATTATCAAAAAGAAATTGATTCTATAACAAGAACCAATTATCCCTAACAAAGAAACAACAACCAGAGCAGCACCAGTTATCATCAACTGGTTATGTACACCTCTCACGCACTGAGAATTGCCTGCTAGAACGAAATACAAGCCAGTGCCAATGGCTGCAAGCCCTGCAATTAAGATAATGCCATTGAGGAACCCTAAAAGAACGTTGCCTACACGAACCATAGTTGATTTTTAGAGGAAAAGTGGTATTCTGATTGGAGATTTTGGTGATTGTTATAGGAAAGAAATGGTTATTTGAAGAGAAAGTAGGCTATAGTTTAGACTATGTTTTGGTGTTGGATTACTGTTTGTGGAATAGTTGAGAGAGAAACGGAGCAAAACAGCCATGAAATGAAAGACTCCTTCCTACAAGATCTACATATTAACTGTTTTTTCATATCAGTTTCTTTTTGGGGAATTATTTAGTGTATGAGGTGCATTACAACATAATGCACCTTACACACATGTATATGAATGATACTGTTAAGTCTGTTATTATCCTATTACTTTTTAACGTAATTACATAAATAAATAAATAAATAATTGCATTCACCCACAATGGTCCGTGGAACATAAAAGAAAATAAAAATAAATTCATGTCCCAAATATTTTTAAAGATATAAATAAATCCATATCAAAATATTTTAAAGAATATTTATAATTTTTCTTCCCAATAAAGAATATTTATAAGGGATATGAAGGCCTAATTAACCTTCTTTACTATGAGGCAAACATACAATTATTGGCTAAAACATTTATTTTTTTAAATTTTTAATAAAATTAAATAACCTTTTTTTTTTTTTTGAAATAGAAATTAAATAACCCTTTAGTATATATTGAAAATTCCAAAATATGAAACTATTCCGATTAAGATCACACTATCCACAATTTATTTGTGGTGGATGATTAGAGGTGAATAGATCAAAAGTTAAGCTTCAGCTGACACCAATTAATTATTAATTAAGGATTACAAATTACAATAGTGTGGAATAATAAATTAAATTAAAATGAGTTTTGGCGATGTTTTAGATTTTATTTTGGAACCAACATCAATTAATCATTAGATTTATAAAATGAATAGATCATTCAGTTCATGTAACCATCGTCGGTCGGTAGTTCCTTTTCCTTTTCTCCATCGTTTTTCTTTATTTTTAATTATTTACAAACATGTGATCATTAAGAATAAAATTTTGGATTTGCCCTCTCATTTGTAATAGTTTATAGAAGTTAAGTGTTTTTAGGACCCTTTTAATAGGGTTGTATCGTTTCTTGTTATTGTAAATGAGAAGTTTTCACATGAATGTTTCTTTCCTTCTTTGTTGTCAGTTTGAAATACAAGATGGTTTATTGTTTGCAAATTTCATATCTTTTAAGTTCGGATAAATTTCTTTTATCAATGAAGTTTGGTAATGTGGTCTGTTCATCTGTTAAAGTTTAGTATATTAAACTCTTCTGCAAGTATCAGTTATAATGAGTGTTCAATAGAATAAAGTTTGGGACAATATTAAAAAAAAAATTTTTTTGTCGTTTTACGAACTAGTTTTTACCAAAAGATTAAATCTTCTCCTAAGGTCATCTTCATACTCAAGTTATATTCTTTATTAATAAATTGCTTAAGTTTTTTAAAATTACAATTAAATTAAAATCAGCAAAGGATGAAAACACAAAAGGATTGAGTTAAGGGTATACATTATATTTTCTATCAGACAAAATGTAACTCCTAGTGCAACAACTAAGAGCAAACATGATAAGGAGAAGGGCAATATCAATGAAGTCAAGTATAGCAAATAATTTCCAGGTCATCCTACTCTTCTCTATCACTCCTTCTTTGCATGCATTGCAATTGAAGCATAGCTTCTCCTTCTCATTGCTCCATGAGCTGCAATCATTTTCTTTTGCACCTTTAGATTTTGGCTTCACCCAAACTGTTGCATTCTTGAACTCAAATCCACAATATATTGGAGGCTTGCAGCAACCAGACTAGACAAAAAAAAAAAAAAAAAAAAAATATCACCTCCTTCTTTGCATGCATTTGCAATTGAAGCATAGCTTCTCCTTCAATTGCTCATGAGCGCTGCAATCATTTCTTTTGCACCTTTAGAATTTGGCTTCACCAACTGTTTGCATTCTTGACCTCAAATCCACAATATATTGGGAGGCTTGCCAGCAACCGCAGACTAGACAAAAAAAAAAAAAAAAAAAAACCTCTAGTTAGTGTTAATATTCCGATTCTAAATCGACTCGATAGTCAAAAAAAAAAAAAAAAAAAAAAAAAACCTCTAGTTAGTGTTAATATTCCGATTCTAATCGACTCGATAGTCTTAGGGTTGTAAATGAGCTAAACCGGCTAGTGAACTGTTTGAACTCGAGCCAGCTTGTTAGTAAAAGAGCCAAGCTCAAACTTAATGATGATGTTCAGCTCGAAAGCTCGTTGAATTTTATCGAGCTGTTATATATACATATATATAATATTTATTTTAAATTTATTCGAGTATCGAGCCTTGAGCCTAACTTGAGTTTAAAATTTTTCAACGTAAACTTGAGCTTTTATCAAACCGAGCTCAAGTTTAAAATTTTCAGATTCGTCGAGTTTCGAGCCGAGTTAAATTCTATCGAACCAAGCTTCGAGTCTAACAGGTTCGAGCTCGGCTCGTTGATGCCCCTAATAATTGTTATCTCATCATCCTAAAACCGACTAACAATTATATACCACTGAATTAAAGCTTTTTTGCTAGTATTTTTGGATGAAAATTTAGATTCATACCTCTATAGAAGACAATTTCTTGATATAAAAATCACTAGGCTTTTGAATGAGATTTTTGTTAGTAAGACGGTTGCAAACTTGATGATCAATCAAACAATCTCTAATGTTCTTCCATTCCTTCCCATTTAAAACCATATTTTGCAACCATGAATTATAATCCCAAACCTTGTGCTTCTTAAACCCTATTGCTTCACTTGGATTATCGTTCCTGTACACAACAAGTGCAAATACTGCAAGCCCAATAAGAACTAACAAGGCCATAAACGAATAGAACCACAGCAGCCAAGTGAACTTGCAATATGCCCCAATTAATCCTACTAATGAAATTATAATTAGGGTTAAACCCAATGCCATCAATGGTTTTTGGACTACATTTTGGCAATCAGTGATCCCATGTATTTGGAAGTACAGATATGAACCGATGGCACAAATCCCACATATCAATGCTAAGTAATTTAAGAATAAGAAAAGACAAGTACTTGGACGGGTCATTGCTCTCTATTTTTAAAATCCAGACGAGTTTATGAAATTTGAAAGGGGTTTGCATGTAAAGGTATATATAGATTTGTATATACAGCCACTTGTCAGTGGTTGTCGTCAATGTTTTCTCTTCTAGACATAACAAGTTCAGTTTGTTATGTAACAATTTGCCCTAATTGTGATGGCTGAAATGAAGGCATTTATAACTTATTATCATGTTAATTAAATTCCTCTCTCCAAATAAAGATGTTGGCCAAGCATATATCAGCTGTCAAATTTGATGTGAGAGAAAAGTAAGTAGTTTTCTCTATTGTCCACCCTCCAAAATAGAATATAAACCCTAGTTTGGAAAAACTAGATTAACTAAAAACCAAGATAAAGAACTGATTAATATTTTTCAAGGGTAATAATTTTTGTAATCAGATGAATGATATGGAAGGTTTATTCTTAGTACATGACTGCTTATTTCGATTCCAGCGAATAACGGCGCTGTAGCTTCAATTCGATTAATTTTTAATAAATTAGTATTTATAATTTGTGAATGACAGTCTAGCTATATACGAAATTCTTGATTAATAATAAGATAAATAAATTATTTTGCGAGGTCAACAGATTTATGGAATTGATTACTATTCTAAAATCAGACAAAAGAGATAAAAATAAAGAAAGAGAAATTTTTTAAGCAAGTAAAACTTCTGCAATAAAATTTTTTTTAAGAAAATTCACCTTTTATGAGATACTGATACTAAAATCAATAGAGTAAGATTCTATTAATATAGAAAAATTTAAAAAAAAAAATGGACAACCAAAATATAAAAAATATGTATCATGCCGTCTAGTAATTCCTCTTATAACTTTGAAAATGAGTAATCATTATCAAGGATAGCAAGAAGACAAGCTAGCATTCATTATCAAGAAGTCTTCTTTTATATGATTTCCACACATTGCGTTAATTATATTTTCTTATTAATTGAACTTCAACTTAAGAAATTAATTTTTCCTCAACAAATTAATTGGCATTAAATTTTCAATTTAATCAGTTTAAAACAAATTGAATTTCAATTTTGAAATTATATGAGTTTATAACAAATTGCATTTGAAATTAATTGAATTTAATTTTAAAATTAGATGAGATTACAAAAAATTGCATAAACTTTCTCCTACTATAAAATGATTCAAATTGAGTTCTAACTTTCTAACACAAAATGAATAACAAAATCAACACAGACCAAACGAAATTAAGCAATTGACAAGTTATAGAACGACAAGATCAGGCATAATAAAATCTGGTGTAGCATCTTTTATCAAGGTAATTGTTCCTCTTGACACAGCAACCAGTAGACAAGACAACAATAATGAAGACGGTTATACAAATTAAGAACACAGCCAAATTTCTCCACTGTTTCTTAATGTTGGCTAGAAACCCAGCTTTACATGAATTGCACTTGTAGCATAGCTGCTTTGGCTCATTACTCCATGTCTTACAGTCACTGTTCTTGACTTCCCGGCCAGCTTTAACCCCCATCCATGTTGTTGCATTCTGTTGCACAAATCCACATTCTGCCGGAGGCCGGCAGCAACCCACCTGAAAAACAAGAATGCAATTGTTTAATGTAAATATTTGTCACAAATGTACGTACATGCATAGTTAATTTGATTGTACATATTCAAATTTGAAACTTTTTACTCGTAGAAAATCAACACCACTCAAGTAAAACTAGAGGGTGCCTAGATGTATTATTTATTTTAGTAAATTTGATGGTGATACTAGTTGTTGGAACTCTAGACTTTTCAGCTTTAGCCTGTGTTTTTTACAGTATTTAGTAACATCACATGTATTTGAACTAGCTTATTTAAACTAGTTTAAGGTAGGTTTTATAAAAGGTCAATTAACCCATATAATCTTAGTTTTTTACATTTTACGAAAAGCTATTAGTTATTCAAACAGCAAAAATACTGTTAAAACAGATTAGAATAACTACGCCGAACAGACCCTTAGCTACACAACTTGAATATCAATGAATTAAAGTTAGACAAGTAAACTAAGAATTCAAAACCCTAGCTAATGGATCACATCATAACCAATTAACAATTAATAGCTAAATTGAGTAAATAAATACCTCTATAGGAGAAAATTTCTGGTGGAAAAAATCTTTTCGATTACTATCATCAGCAAAGGCCCTGCAAACTTGAGCATCAATCAAGGAACGTCTGAGAACATCCCAATTTTTTCCCTTAACAAAATGATTCTGCAACCAATGTGAATAATCTCCGAGTCTATACTCCTTAAACCCTTTGCCAGACACAATTTGACCGGCACGTTCATTAGTAACAACAAAAACAAAAATTGTGAAAAACAAAAGTCCAATGATCATCAAAATCAAGATAATTAGATAAATTACTAGCAAGAAATTGTTCCTACAACAAGAACCAGCTAACCCTAGCAAGGAAACTATAAATACAATGCTTCCAAGTATAAAAAGAACATTCTGCAAAGATTGTCGGGATAGAGCGGTTGCCACGGTGGTGTTGGCGGTGGAAACAGCCTTCACGTGAACATATAATCCTCCAGCAATTATGGATAGGCCAACCACGAGGAAGATGATGTTTAGGGTTGCAATTACAATGTTGCTTACACGAGCCATGGTTAGTTTTGATGGCGAGTTGCAAATTGTTAAGGGGTGAATGAGAATTCTGTATATGGATTCGTGTTAATGGCGGTTTGTGTACCCTAAAGAGCGGAGGAGAACTCAAGTCTGTCTTTTCTGTATATTTTTAAAGAAAGAGTAGGGATTTAGTGTCTTACATAACAAGAAAGGTTTCTATATATGTTAAATTGAATTGATGTTTACAATATACAGCAGAGTATATATACAAGTTATGGATTAGAATACACTCCTATATTTACGTAACATAAATGAATAATATAGAATGATATTGTTAAAACCAAGTTCCCAAGCTTTTAGGAGGCCAAAACCAGCAGCCTCTGTCTTTGCTTTTCCTGACTTTAGACTGAAATTCTCTTTGCACCTGACACATCACTTCCTTTGTTGTATCCCTGATTATGAAACACAATCCACAACCCACAGTGTCTCGAATAGTGGCCCAACATTAATTTTATATCTGCCCAACGCTGGATCGAGTGCTACACTTGAGTACTGTCATCTGCAGAATTGGCTTGCTGAAATTCAAAAAGGAAGCTCAATACAATTTGAATACTTGCATCAGGTTCCATCCCAAGGCGATGGAATCTAAGTAGATTTCGAACTCACCATAAAACCCATGTCATCATAGAGAAAATCTCTAGTTGATCCTGCGTGAAGCGTTCCACAACAAATCCAAACCAATCAACAGAAGAAAACAGTTAACAAAGGAAAGCACTCGTTGGTTTAAGGAATTCACCGTAGAGGACTTAAGCTCCAAACTAGTTGAGCAAAAATAACACTCTTTTAAGACATGAATAGTGTTTTCAACATCGTTTCAGCATATTTCACAAATGGGATCAATCTGCATCTCTGTAGAAACAAGAGTTGTAGTAATGTATTGCTTAGGATCGACACAATAATTCAGATGTTTTAACTTAGGAGTAACAGGAAAGGTTTCTGTATATGTTGAATTGAATTAATGTTTACAATATACAATAGAGTATATATACAAGTTATGGATTAGAATACACTCCTATATTTACGTAACATAAATCTATCTACATAACAGAATTTGTTATTCTGTTTTAATTAGCTGGAACTTCATCCTTACCCAATACACCCCCGCAAGATGGCAGTCAATCTCGGACGCCAATCTTGTCTCGTTGCTTCAGAAAGGCCAGCTTCGACAGGGGCTTGGTTAACATATCTGCTAGCTGTTCTTTGGTGGAAACATATTGAACACGTAACATACCATCTTGAACTTGTTGACGAACAAAGTGATAGTCAAGAGCTAAATGTTTCATTCTAGAATGAAAAATAGGATTTTCAGCAACATACTTAGCTCCTAGATTATCACAGTAAATGACCAGTACATGTGAAAGCTGAACATGCATTTCAGATAGCAAATTTTTTATCCATATAATATCCGCAGATGTGTTTGCCACGGACCTGTACGCGGCCTCTGTAGAGGAGCGAGCTACGGAGGCTTGCTTCTTTGAACTCCATGCAATCGGGTTCTTCCCAAGGTATATGACATGGGCACCAGTAGACCGTCGATCATCAATGTTACCAGCCCAATCCGAGTCAGAAAATGCATGAAGAGTCATTGGAGAGTAAGAGTAAAGCTGTATCCCATAAGAACTTGTACCTTTCAAGTAACGCAACAAGCGTTTTAAAGCAGCCCAGTGATTGATAGTTAGCTTGGAGCTATATTGAGCTAATCGATTTACTGCAAAAGCAATATCTGGACGCGTGAGCAGTAAATACTGAAGGCTACCAACAACCATTCTATATTGCGTCGGATTGTCATACTCTGAGGAGTCATTCTTTGCCAACGTTATTGACAATGTCATTGGCGAAGGTGCAGCTTTTGATTCATGCATATCCACCTTTTCCAATAGTTCTTGAATATAATTTTCTTGTGATAAGAAAATTCCAATGGAACTTCGGGAAACCTCAACACCCAAAAAGAAATGCAGCTCACCCAGATCCTTAATCGAAAACCGTTTACCAAAGTCAATAATAAAATGATCAACAATGGCAACATCATTCCCTATTATAATTATGTCATCGACATAGATTAATAAATAAAGAACAACCCCTGTAAGAGCATAAACAAACAGACATGTATCAGCCTTGGACTGCTCGAAACCAAACTCACGCAAAGCAGTTACTAATTCAGTATACCAGGTTCGTGGAGCCTATTTCAACCCATACAACGATTTTCGGAGATGAACGATTTTCGGAGCCCTGACAAACAAAATTTGAGGATCCTTTCGGCATAACCATCCATGTGGCTTGTTCATAAACACTTCTTTGTTCCGTCAGTTTGCCCATGAAGAAACGGCATTTATTGGACATCAACCTGTCGCAAGTTCCACCCATTGACAACAGCAAGTGATAAGAGAATACAGACAGTTGGATGTTTAGCCACTGGGGCAAATGTCTGATCATAATCCAAGCCTGGTCTTTGAGTAAAACCACGAGCTACCAAACGTGCTTTGTAATGCACGGGAACCCCTTTAGAATCACATTTTATCCGGAACAACCACTTACAACTGACTATATTTGAGGCTTTGTCAGAAGGAACCAACGTCCAGGTGTGTTGTTTCATAAGTGCAGTATACTCTTCCTCCATGGCTCGTCGCCACTTAGGATCTTTCAAAGCTTGAGCAACATTCTTAGGAACAAAGAATTTTTGATTTTCTCGCACAACAGTATGAAGATTCAGTCTCTGAATTGGTTTTGTGATATTATTTTTCCCTCTGGTAATCATAGAATGACTTGGCTGAACCACAGGAACAGATACAGGTATAATACTCTGCTCAACATCAGTCGCAGGAATAGGGGTAGGAATGGAAACAGTAGGTGAAGGTAAGAAATCCATACATGTACTGCATAACGCAGGAGATTGCAAATTGGTGGAGGTTTGATGGGACAATCGAGAAGCCGAAGAATGGAACCTTGAATCCTGCACAAAATTGGAAGAACGAGTATCTGGCAAAATATAGTGAAGTGGTGACCAAACATCAATCGAATCAGAAGTTGGACTAGAATTAGGAGACGTTTGGAACGTAGGATATGGAAACGTAAATTCAACAAAATCAACATGTCTAGATATGTAAAGCTTATTTGCAATAGGATCATAACACTGAAAAGCACTTCTATTGACAGAATAACCCAAAAAGACACATGGTGTTGAGCATTTTTCTAATTTATTAGAAGTGTATGGCCGAATCCAGGGGTAACACAAGCAGCCAAAGACTTTTAATTTGGTGTAATTCGGCTCTTTGTTATGAAGTTTTTTGGTGTAATTCGGCTCTTTGTTATGAAGTTTAAAAAATGGTGATTGATTGTGAAGAATCGGAGTAGGCATTCGATTTATCAAATAAACTGCAGTATGAAACGCAAAAGACCAGAATTCAAGAGGTAAATCAGCTTGATGGAGAAGAGTTAACCCAGTTTCGACAATATGCCGATGTCGGGAGGCCATTTTTATAGGCAGAATTGCTCGGCGGCGGCCCCTTGCATAAGGTGAAGAAACTCATAATGGGAAACACCATGTGCTTGGAAGAAACTCATAAGGTGAAGAAACTCTCCTGCATTATTAGAATACAAAGATCCAATTTTTGTTTTAAAATGATTCTCAACTAAGGTTTTGAACACAGGAAAGATGGCAGACACTTCAGATTTACGTTTCAAAGTATATAGCCAGACATATTTAGTATAGTGATCAACAAATATAAGATAATAAGAAAAACCATCAATAGAAGTAACCGGTGCAGGTCCCCAAGTATCGGAATAAATTAACTCCAAAGGAGCAGTACTAGACATTGACGAAATCGAAAAAGGATTTTTGTGCATTTTATTGCACTTACAGGAATTGCAGAAAAAATTATTATCAGACACAGACAAACTAAGGTGCCATAACATAAGACGCAAAATAAGAGTGGCCGGATGACCAAACTGTTGATGCCATAAGGATGGAGAACGAGAAACAGTATGTAAAACACGACTCGGATTATTGCTGGAGACAGGCACTTGCTGCGGCCATTCATAGATTCCATTAACCGGTTTCCCTTCCACCAATCGCACCCCCATGTTCAAATCCTTTACATAAAACATAAAAGGATTAAATGCAACCTCAACATTGTTAGCAGTACACAATTGATAAACAGAGATCAAATTTTTATCAATAGCAGGAGCACAAAGAACATTTTGTAACTGTAACGGTTTTTTGTTTTAGTCAAAAGCAAAGCAGAACCTTTATGAGAGATGGAATGAGCTGTACCATCACCAAGAACAACATCATCGGTCTGTACCGTCACCAAGAACAACATCATCTGTTCCATCATATTCAGAATGAACAGCCATGTTTCGCACATCTTGAACCACATGCTGATTGGCCCCAGAATCCACTATCCATCGCGGATGAGCAGCAGAGTTTGTATTCACGCAATTGACTTGTGATTGAGCAACAGGTTTGGCCGGCGATTAAGATCCCTCAAATAGCCAGGGAAGCAACTTTTTCAGTTTGTAACATTGTTTGGTAGTGTGTCCAGGGCGATTACAAAATTGACAAGACACCTTGCCTTTAGAATTCGAAAAATTTCGATTACCAGACCCAGTTCCAGATCCACCAGGCTTGGAATTATGAAAAGCAGAACTTGGTCGGTTCTGCAGTGAATTTATAGTCGTTGGAGCCACAACTACGGTAGCTGAGTGAGATAACTGACTTTCGAAGTCAGTAAGTTTAGCATATAACTCATCAAAAGAGACATCATTGTCCCTAGCCCTGAGTGCCGCCACAACTTCTTTGTAATCACTTGGTAAACCACGAAGAACATGAAGCAAGACTTCTCCCATAGAAACAGTCACGCCTGCCAGTGCCAGCGTAGCAACTATAGTTTTAATACGCTGAAGATACTCAGTAGCAGTAGAACGACCCATCTTCGCATTGAACAAGGACCCTCTCAAGCTCATGATTCGAGCTTGAGATCATTTGGCATACGTCTTCTCTAAAGTTCGCCACATAGCAAAAGATGTATTTTCACCAATAACAAATGAAATTAATTCAGGTGAGAGAGATGCAATAAGTGCACTGCGCAAGAGTTCATCTTGATGTAGCCAGAATGGGTCTGTGGCAAGAGTGGCTGGAATTTCAGTTTCAACAAATTTCAACAGATCATAGCCCACAAGCAATAAATACCACTACGTATGCCAGGACTGATAATTAGTAGAGTTTAATTTGAGTGGTGCTTGAGCTGCAGAATTAATAGACACCAACTGGTTTTCTGCGTTTAGACTTAACGCAGTTGTGGGTATCACAGGAGTACCAGGAGTGGGGTATCACAGGAGTTATACCAGGAGATGTTTGTTGATGGAGAGGAGACTTTGAAGAGTCCGTCACCCCATTGCAACAAAGAAACTTGAAATTGATATGAGAAAATTTAGTAATCAAGAAAAGCTTTAGAGAAGCGGAAGGCTCTGATACGCATAACAGAAAGGTTTCTATATATGGTTAAATTGAATTGTGTTTTTAGAAAGGTTTCTATATATGTTAAATTGAATTGATGTTTACAATATACAGCAGAGTATATATACAAGTTATGGATTAGAATACACTCCTATATTTACGTAACATAAATCTATCTACACAACAGAATTTGATAGATTCTGTTTAACACCAGTATTCTGTTTTAACTAGCTGGAACTTCATCCTTACCCAATATTACATATACCAGGAAACTCATTACTACTTGGATTAGTTAAAGATAATTAGGGTTTGCTATACTTAAAAGAATCATACTAGTGTAGGATTTCCATGTAATCCAAATGACATCCTCTACTATATTTGGTGAGTTTTGAAAAGAGCTTATCCAAAAATTTGAACATTGTTTTATATATACACATATATACAAGAAATAGGTATGTGTTACATAATCAAAAGTTTTTTCTTAAAATATATTAAAAATTTTCAATTCTGCTTCTTATTTTTGTGACTATAAAAGTTAGGAGTAATGTTTTTTACATACAAACTTATGTTTCTTCTCTGTACTAAATTCTGAAAATATTAATAAAATGCGTTTGAATTCGGAGATAATTTCTCCAAAATAAATTAGGGTTTTAGGATTCGATTTGTGAAAAAAAAATCTAAAACTGCCATTGTCAAGATTATATAAACATCTAATTGGACTAAATACTTGATAAAAAGGACATCCTTTTGTGCTGTGGCATTAATCAATTTTATCAAAACAAGCTTTTCCAATTTCAATTGCTTAGGTTTTTATTATATCATTCTTTTCAAGAGCTAGGCAGAGGAAGACCTAAATATTTTTCTTGACAACCATATAAAAATTTGACAAAGAGAAATTGATATTGCAATGAATACTAAACATAACAATAAATTTCAAGACAAGCTAACTAGCTAATTGAGATTTCTCGAAAAAATTTTTTCTTTGTACATGATAAATATATAAGAAGAGTGTATATATGTACACTGCAATTAGGCAGAAACATATGGATTAATACCTAACATAACGATATTTGTTGCTCCTTCTAGCTCAACACCCAATGAAATAAACAAGAATAAGGAACAAAATTGTCAAGATATCATAATAAATAAACAAAAGCCTGTATTCATCCCTTAAATTGGCTAAAATCCCAGCCTTGCAAGATTTGCACTCATAGCATAGCAAGTGCTGATTGTTGTTCCATGTAGTGCAGTCTCTATCATTGTTCATTGCAAGTCCTGATTCGGGCATTGTCCAAATTGTAGGGTTCTTATATTCTAGGTGACAACTTGGTGGTGGTATACAGCAACCCGACTGAAAATAGGAAAAAAAAAATGTACACATAATTACATATAGCCCTTCAATCAAAAGTTCATGTAGATTATCAAATAAATAAATAAATAAATATTGTATAATTATTTGTTTACGTATTGTCTTTATAATTTGTATAAGAACATAAATCTGAAAGAAGTTTCCATGGCAAGAAATTTCCTCATTTGAACTAAAAAATTTGGCCTAATAAATAAATTAACCTTGAAATTTGGCATTATGGCTCCCTAAACTTTATAGGGTTTAATTATAACTCTGCACTCTCACATTTCAGTAATAATTTATTAAAAAAAAATAACTTTATAAGAGTTCAATCATAATTTTTTATTTTGGCGAGTGACATAATTATTAATTAAATGTGAAAATACAACATCATGGTAAATCTCTCATAAAATTTAAAGGGCCTTAACAATAATCACTTAAAACACAAGGTCAAATTTATAAATTAGGTCTAAATTTTATTTTGATTGATTTAGTGCATGGATCGAGTCCATACATGATCCATTATACATTACAAGAGACTTTTATAATTAGATAATTATATATTAGATAATTATATATATATATATAATATAATATATATATATTATATATATATAATGTTTTTTTTTATTAATTAATTACAGTCGTATATAATGTATTTTCTTTTATAATATTACAGTCGAATGATATTATATCAAATCAATTTTCTAGATTTCATCAAAAAATTATTATTAATGAAGGGGATTAAGAAAAGCCATCCCTTCATTTATAAATGTGATTGCTAATATTTAAACATTAAAACATGCAAATTTCATCAACAAATCAAAAAAAAAAGAAAAAAAAAGAAAAGAGAGATTTAATTAATTATATACCTCAAGCGGAGACAATTTCATTCTGTAAAAATCAGATTCTTTCTGAACAGAAGTTTGGATAATTAGATTCTTGCAAGTGCGGGAATCAATCGAACACTCCTTGATATGAACCCAATTGTGTTGATCAATAGAATATTTCTGCAAGAATCTAAGGAAATCTTCCAATCTGAACTCCTTAAACCCTAATCCAGAAACCATTTTACCAGCAGCACCTTCATTTAAAACCAAGAATGTAAAAACTGTAAAGCTATAAGCCCTACAATTAGAAAGAAAATGACGAACAAGTAAGCAACAAGAAAAGAATTGTCTTCCAACACGATCCAGCTAACCCTAATAATGAAATCACCAACACTAAAAACCAATTATCAAGAGAGGATTTTGTATAAGCTGTTGACAATGGCTGCTTCCGCCATGGGTACAGATGAACAGGCCGGTGGCTATTGCTATAACACCGAAGACTGTGAAGCTAAAATCGATCGTTGCAGTAAGGATATTGCTTACACCAGGCATTGATGTTTAATCTTTTTATATTTTTTGAGATTTTGTTTTGTTTTTGAGACATAGACACTAGCTGAAGCTAGTCTGTCGTTTATATATAAGGGAAAGGGAGACAAAGTAACAAATTAACTATGAAACTGTAGAAGATAACAGTGTTTGTAACTAAAAGAGAGAAAAAAAAAATAATTACACAGAAAAATCTTTTTAATTATTAAAAATTAACTTGCTATGAAATTAGTAAGAAAAATCACATATCCTATATAAGAAATTACATATCATTATGACTTTTAATAAACGAGATTTTAAATGGTTTGATTAAATAAAAATTAAATAAAATCGTTTTGCTAAATATTAAATATTAAAAACGGTTTGCTATGTGGGAGTATCGGTTTGATATGATTTGCTGTGATTTACGGTTTAAACCGTTTAATGCAACGATAGTCAACCATCTACATCGACACACATGCACACCCAGATACACCTAACCAAAACATAGGCGACTTCTTTAGTAGTAACGTCCTTCAACAACTACCAAAACGCACACCACCGCCACCTTCTACTGTCAAACAACAAGTAACAACTCGCACTTACTTTGCTTTCATCGCCACCTTGGGCGGACTTTCCGACACTCCTATCTCTTCTCTATAAACCCAACTAAGCCCCATTTCTTCTCTTCAACTATTTGCGGATCCCTAGCAAACTCAAAAATGGCGTTCGCCACCTCGCAACCGGCCACCACCACCGGCAATCTCCTCAGCAAGCCCTTCTTCTCTTCAAAACCCCAATCTTCCACTTCCACCTCTATTCCATTCCCTCCCTTGAAATCTCGCTCTTTAGTCGTGCGTAACTCCGTCACGGTGGCGCCACCATCGGCTGCCAAGATTGCCAAGGAGTGCAAGATCAAGTCCGTAAAGGCTAGGCAGATCATTGATAGCAGAGGGAATCCGACGGTCGAGGTTGATCTTATTACTGATGATCTTTACCGATCCGCCGTCCCTAGTGGCGCCTCTACCGGGATCTACGAGGCTTTGGAGCTTAGAGATGGAGATAAGAGTGTTTATGGAGGCAAAGGTGTGCTTAAAGCTGTAAAAAATATTAATGATATTTTGGGCCCTAAGCTAATTGGTGTCGATGTCAGGTAATAGTCTACTAAGTGATCCTTATGACTTTTAGTAACTGTATATATGTTCTTGTTTGCTAATCATATTTATTAGGGACCTGCTGCTTTCTAAGTCTAATTTTCATTAATATAATTGTGTAGTGATTGATTATTTTCAATAAAATGTACAAATGAACCATTGTTAATTTGGGATGTTAAAGCCTTTTCAATGGAAAAAATGTTGGGGTAGCAAAAATACAGAAATTGGAGTGTTTCAATGAAATTTTGTTTGCATCTAAAATATATATAATTGGAGTGTTAATGAAATTTTGTTTTGCATCTAAAATATTATATATATATATATATATATATATATATTATAAATAGATAGTATATATAAATAGATAGATAGATAGAAAGATAGATGCAAAGATCCTCTGCTTTTGGAGTAGTAAAGGCAATTTTTTTGTACTAAATCAGCCGTTTTACTAGTTTGGATGTAAACTAGCCTATTCTAGGTAAACGCATAATGTTGTGTGCTCTTGTAGTATATCAGGACTGCTTTTAGGCCCACCAGTATGTTATTTCCTGAAATTTCAGGTTTACCTTACAATTAGAGCATTGTTCCTTGTAAGCGTTTTTTTGTAATTTATGCTTTATTCTTTTTGTAAACTCGTAATTTATGCTGTTTACACTTGTGAGTGGATTATTTCATTTGTTGGGTTGAAGATTATGACATGTTACTTCTATGTATCACAAGAAATCAAGATGATGTTGATGCAATCATGCTGGATATTGATGGAACGCCAAACAAGTCAAAACTTGGAGCTAATGCGATCCTTGGGGTGTCTCTGAGCATATGCCGGGCTGGTGCTGGAGCAAAAGGATTGCCCTTATACAAGCACATTCAAGAATTGTCGGGAACGAAGGAGCTTGTTATGCCAGTTCCAGCTTTTAATGTCATAAATGGAGGCAGTCATGCTGGAAATAATTTAGCTATGCAAGAATTTATGATATTGCCAGTAGGTGCTACCTCATTCGCCGAGGCCTTGCGCATGGGTAGCGAAGGTTAGCAAATGAGTCCTTTTATCTCCATGATTCTCTTTTATTGAAACCCTGTATCTTATAACTGTTCTGTTTGTTGATGGTATAGTTTACCATACGCTGAAGGGAATTATCAAGGCAAAGTATGGACAGGATGCTTGCAATGTGGGAGATGAAGGGGGATTTGCTCCTAATGTGCAGGATAATAGGGAGGGACTTGTTTTGCTCATCGACGCAATCGAGAAGGCTGGTTACACTGGGAAGGTGAGCTGCGATTTGTTTATTTACCCATTCAAATTGCAAACTGTACTAAATATGGACTCGAAATCCAGATCAAAATTGGAATGGATGTTGCTGCTTCAGAGTTCCTTACAAAGGACGGAAAATATGATTTGAACTTTAAGAAACAACCAAATGATGGGGCTCATGTGCTGTCAGCTCAGAATCTTGGTGAACTCTATAAGGAATTCATCAAGGATTTCCCTATTGTATCTATTGAAGATCCTTTCGACCAGGATGATTGGAGTTCATGGGCTTCGCTGCAGTCTTCAGTTGATATCCAACTTGTCGGGGATGATTTGTTGGTCACAAATCCAAAGAGAATAGCTGAAGCAATTCAGAAAAAGGCTTGCAATGGCTTACTTCTCAAGGCAAGGCTCAAATCCTCTTACTTTCTTTCCTGTACTACATTAACTGAGTGTTTATTTATTTATTCATTTTTGAATTGTAATAAAATGTCAAACGTGTTCTATGCCAATTCTGGCTTTTAGCTTATGTTTATCCATGGAAATTTTCAGGTTAATCAGATTGGCTCAGTGACTGAGTCCATTAGAGCAGCACTTGACTCAAAAGCAGCAGGTTGGGGCGTGATGGTCAGCCACCGAAGTGGTGAAACCGAGGATAACTTCATTGCTGATCTTTCTGTTGGCTTAGCTAGTGGACAGGTTTTACTGGCTGAAAACCTTAAAACTTTACCTTACACTACTCATTTGTTTGTTTCTCTTCAAAATACGGGATTGACTTTCATGTTCCTTGTATAGATCAAGACTGGAGCTCCTTGCAGAAGTGAGCGGTTGGCCAAGTATAATCAGGTAAAACTCTTAGTTGGCATTAGCACCACAATCACGGAATAAGTAGCTTCCTCCTCCCTGATTCCAATCTATGCATGTTTCAGTCGTAGATGAATGTGCATCTTATATGTTGTAAATGTGCTCAATGAGCTAGGGATAATGTTGATTCCAGTATAGTATCACATGAATTGAAGTGGATTCCCACAATGCCGAAGCTAAGAATTGGCTTCGTTAGATCAAAATGATTGCTTTCTGAAACTTAGCCTGATTAGATTGTTTAAAACATTCTGCTTTCTGTTACCCCTTTGACTGACTGAGACGTTGATGACAGTCGACCGAGACTATAATGTGAGAACATTACAAAACTGTCTAGGAGTACGAGTAACAAGACCTTTCTGCTGAATGGCAGTGGTCTTAACACCAGCATTTGAAAATATTTACTGCTCATTTGTTAGCTTTCATCCGTTATTTACATCACAATATCTATCTGCAAAGTTTTACTTGCTGCGTGTCATGTTCATAAAATCCTATTTGATCTTGTTGCAGCTTCTGCGGATTGAAGAGGAACTTGGAAATGTACGATATGCAGGCGAAGCTTTCAGATCCCCTTAGGACAAAAAGGGTACTCCTCACCTGGCGGGTTAGGGTTGCAGATGAATTCAGCCTCATGAAACATTTTCATAGCTACAACTCCAGCTAGGAAACTATAGAGATTTTTGGCAGAACCAGTCGACTTAGCTGTGGATTAAAAACAAAAGTGTCTAATTAATAATACATTAAAAACCATGTTTTTTCAGTATCTTGAAAGAAACAAGCGTGCAGCCAATAAGTTTTACTTAAAAAAGTAAATATTGGATATAAGGGAGTGTCGTATCTGTAGGACTTTTCTGGACCCTAAGGAATGAGAATGTCTTGGCTACTTCTGAATTTGTTAACTTAAGTTTACGTTACATGCAAATTTTTCTTGCAATACAATTTATTATTTGGATAAAAGATAGTCAGAATAATGGTCAAACAAATAAATTTATCTCCGAATTTTGTTACTTTAATATTATGGCATCTTCATCCAAGAGAGATTTAAAATTAAAAATATTTTGATATTATTGCATACATTTACTTTTATAATCATCTTACAGATTTAATTGATTCAATTTTAATATCTTGAAGTGTTCAATAAAATGATTTTATAAATTATTAATAAATATAATTTTATACATTGAAATATTCAATGTGTCAAAATAAAAAAAATTACCCAAGGGTAAGTAAAAAAATTTCAGAAATGAATTTATATATTTTGCTAATAATAGCATCACATAAGGCCTCCATATGAAAAATGTAATAGTACACGGGAAAAGAAATATGTTTTTTTTTTTTTATTTGCAAGCATTCCTTGCATTAATAATGATAATAAGCACTGTGGAATACTATGATACTATCCCACAAATGAAGACGAGCATAAGAATTAAAGTCTCAAAAATCACAAGTGTCATATCACACTCCATTGTAGAAAAGGGATGACTTGATGTCTGTTTGACATCCAAACCCATTAAAAAAAGATCGATTAAAAAGGAAACCTGTGTAAGATATTTAAGGCATACAGCTTACAAGTCACAAAAGACTTCATATTACAGTTAGTGCAATTTCATAACCAAGATTGTATGTCAAGTGGATAGTTTATTGTCCTAGCAAGAAAGTAGATTTGTATTTGAACGAAGAAAACTATGAAGGCAACTTCCTGTAAAGCTTGAAAGAAATGAAGTCAGAAACGCATATTCTACTGAAAAAACAAGCTAAAAGTTAACAGCTGGGCCTGTATATATCCCTGGACGCATATACAGATTATCTGGTGTTTCTATCTCTGCAAGCCATGCATAGTCCTCTTCTTTTCCATCACCTAGCTCGCTTCCATTTCCTGAAGCTGCAGGATAATCAGTTCAATATACGACTCAATATCTAGCACACCTTGCATGCAAAATATAAAAACAGTACACATGCTTTTCAACCTACACGTGCAGTGGCACTGGTGAAGGGAAGGAAAGAATAAAAGATGACAGTGATTGTGAATACATGATTACTTACAGAAGGGGGAATACGGGTAATCATGGTAGTAAGAGCATTTCCTGCCTACGTCTTCCCTGTAAGAGGGTGTGAGAATGTCAAGCACAGCACAAGGGGTGACTGCAGTGAAACAATGGAGATTCCCCCCGCTTTTCGGGTACAAGATTGATGTCCCACATGGAGCTGTCAAAACTTTATCAACTGCCAACTTTGCCAACTTTACTGCCAAAGAAACACATCCTTTAATTCTTATTAAAGCGTGCAAAAAATTTGGTTACTAGAACTAGATACTTAACATCCTTTTACTAATTGCACATATTTTTACATCATGAAAAATGAAAAAACCATAAAGTGACACAAATGGTAACAATTAGCAATTGTAACTATAGGGGAGAGTCTCTTCATGATCACAAGCCTAGTACAAGTCACTTAACTATCCTGCTAACTGCACATATTTTTACCTTATAAAAAACGAAAACACCATAAAGTGCCAGAAATGGTAAACTTGTAACCTTGACGTATACATACAGACAGAAGGAATTTCATATTATTGCAAGGATACAAGTCACATTCAGCTAAAGCAAAAAAACCATAAGGGAATGGTGCTTTAACAACGAACGTTACTCTATTGAAAAAAAGGCAATGCAATTCAGAAGAAACCTTGTATCTAAGGGTATAATTGTAATCTTGCCTTGAATCCTATCACTTAGAAGGTGGACCAAAACAAAGCAATCATGCATTCCTATGGATTATCACTACCATTAAGAGAAAACAGTTCAGACATCACAATCCTTATGAAGTGATTCCGAAAGTAATTTACTAAGAATGCGTGAACTAAACACAAACTGATGTACTGGAAGAACCTCCATGAATGGTTAATTCATTATACAAAATATGCTGCTTCTCAAGTAATAAACTAGTTCCAAAAATTGGCACCTTTTCTTAATTAAAACTGAAAAACTGGCTGCAGCATGGAACGGAACATGTGTGGATTGTCCAAAAATTGCAAAGGTTCCTCTACTTCCTAGTATCAGTTCTCTCTGACTCAACTTTCACAGGACAAAATTGTGGACCCTCTGTGAAAAAATACATGAGCTCGCCATGGTATCGTTTATGATGGACTACTAATTACAGCTGGCTAGAAGTCTGATTCAAGGGCGAAGTAAGATATATAACCCATGGTGGTTACAAGCACATGGATCAGTTTCACAAGGATTGACCACAAATATTTTCAGTAGATGCATTTTGCATAGGTTCAAATTCTTAATTAAGCTAATACCTAAAAAAGAAGACAGCTAAGGCCTCAACCCGAATAACTGTATAGGATTTTGAGTTAAGTTCAGTATTCACAGGATGCCAACTACTCTGTATTCAGAGAGTCATAGCAGGAAGGTTATTAAGAATACGAGGTCTACAGCTGAAAATAAAAAAAAAAATAAAAACCCATCATTTTGTGGGAATCATTAAACTATCTTATCAGAAAGTGGGAAAGGACGTTGAAAAATCACACCTGGTGGATTACCAGATTCCTTGCCTTCAAGGATACAGGTAGGCTCAACCCAATCATAGGCTTTGACATGCAAAGAGCCATAAAGAATTTTGCTGAAAACAGTCATGCCAGGATGGTCATGGAGTGGGATAACTGAGGAAGTAGGGAAGCAGAATATACACATCTGCATAAATAATTATTTCTCATATCAAAACAGTTCTGAATAGCAAGAATCTATATTAGTTTTCAGATAATATTATTCAAGTAAACAGTTGCTTCCAAAATATTAACCCAATCTAAGAAATTGTTTTTGTTTCTCAATGCAAATAGAGTCGCAAGCAACAAAATAAAATTGCAATTCTAGAAACTGAAAAAACAAGAAAGGAAAAAAGAACAGAAGCAAACTGTATTGCAAAAGCATGCACAAGAAGCAAGCAATAATATTTCCAAGTTAAAAGGTTCTAGATGCTGGATGCATGAAATTGTTCTAGCGTAAGGGCCATTGATGAAAAGTTTAGAAGAAACCTGTATCCAAAACAAGATGGTAAAGCTCACCGTAAAACTATCACACTCGTAAATATCTATGTATGTTATTGGTTGAGCCCATCTAGCTGCCCGACTTAATCGGTTCAGTCCAAAAATGCCGTGCCCTCGGTCATCATCTGGATTTTCCTCTTTAAGCCCTACATCAGCAGGCCTAACTGTGTCTGCAGAACACGAATAACTATTGATGTATCAGAGTCACTAAGGCAGTAAATGGTAAATCTGCGTTATGACGTCCAAAGATAGTAAAAACAGTGCTTTTTTGAAAAACAAATCCCTCTATGTATAAGCAATGTTAAAGCAGGAATATGTTCCAATGGACAAACTTCACAAGAAATATTCTAAAATAGATAATATACGACAATTATGTAACGAGAGCATAGTGGCGAGACTTCACAAGAGTTGAACCAAATATCAGGTTGATTTTACTATGAACTACATCAATAAACAAGACCAGACAGCCACTCAATAATGGCTACAATGTTGGACATTGAAAGGGTTAATAGCTTTTCCAAAAAGTTTCTTATTAACCATTCTTCCATTCCAAATATATCCTTCCAACAGAATGTCTCTCTCCCTGAACATTTGTCTCAATATCTTTTATAAAGGCCGGAATTCAACTCTATCTATCACATGAAAACAATTTTATCATTTCAAATAAGCACCATAAAAGATGTTATATCTCTGCAACCACAATAGAAGTTAACCCCAATTTTAAAATGAATAATGTCCGGTATTACAATTAAAAGAACAAAAACACATGCTAAGGTAGTTAATTGCTCACAAGCATTCAATTAGACACTGGGTTGAGGCCTAACTACCAAAAGTACAAACAATTAACCTTGTTTGTAAGGCTATAATTTTTCCAAATTTGTATATCGCAGCAAGAAAACACTCCAAACATGCACATTGTCTCACAAGAAAATAAATAGATTAATATCTCTCTTTCTCACTTCAATTAACACTCAACAACATAGCTCATATCTCATCGGAGCAAAATGGCATTCAAAAAAACTCAAAAAGGAAATAAAAAGAACAACAAGGATATTCTCCGGTGCTAACAAAAAGAGGAATCAATTGCTCCTACATAATGAAACAATCCCTGTTATTCAAACGTTTCATTTCTTCAATTTAAGCTTGAAGACAGGGCAACCCACTTTAAACTTGACATAACACAACAAACCCACATGAAAATTTTAACCAAACTTGAAAATTACACACATAAATCAAGATAAGAAAAAAAAAAATACCCAAAAGAGAGCAGAGTTTATTGATTGCTGGGGAGGATGAAGGAATTTCTGAGGGCGTAAAGGTATTTTTACAGAGATCGTATAGAGCCTGAACCTTAGTAGAGGGGCTTTGCTCCACCATGTTTACGTGGCTCCTGAAGTACACTGCGAAAGGCCAATTCTTTCTGGCTCCTAAAAGGATCCTTCTCGCCTTATCAGTTGCTTGGTAGAATTTTGAAAACATTTTGGTCATGATTAAGATATAAAGAGAAATTTTGAAGTAATTTAAGGACCAAAAGAAATATATTACATATCTTTCACGAGTCTAAAATCGCTATCGGAACTGAAGTATTAGAGGAAACGAAGGTCCGACCGACTCTGATTAGATGAAGTTTTACAATTTTTTTTATTTTTTATTTTTTATTTAAAAATATAATAAATTAATTATTACTAGTTATTAAATATAAAAGTCCGGAAAGAAAAAGGATAATGGAAACAGAGAGCGCAAATAAATTTTCATTTGCTCTTTGCAAGTCTGTCACAGACGTTTTGGCGGGAAATGATCCAAACATCTTCTTAAATTTGAATTCTTGACATTTCAATTTTCATATTTATCTCAGTAAGTAGAAGAATTAGGGTTTGGTGCTCTAATTGTTGATTAATGGAAGGTAGTGAAAGCGAAGCAGTATTCGAATCGCTGAATCTAAATCCTCGAAGTCTCGTCAACGAAATCCTAAATACAGTCGAGATTTTGCTCGATGACGCCTTCGATTTCTTTCATGAGTAAGTATGACTTTTCACATTAAAACCCATATGCATGTATGATTTTTTTTTTTTTCTTTTTGCTAAATATCTCAGTTTCTTTTTGTAATTCTTGTTGATTTTTGTTGGTGCAGAAAAGCTTCAACCCTTTTGAACGCCGACGGTACTGATAGATCTCAACCTCTAAGCCAGGTAAAGTGGTAAACTTAACTGGTTCTCTCTCTCTCTTGAAACTAATTTAAAGTAAGCCCTAACATTTCTTTTCGATTAGAGGGGTTCTTGCAATTCTAGAATTCTGGGGTTGGAGAGCCTAGTTAGTTAATTGAGCCATACTTGCATATCTCCATCTGGGTACACCCTACACATTTCAAGTAAAGCAGAAAAATTGTTCTAGATATTAGATTTACATTTACAACAATTGTTAATCAAGTTGAAATTTAATGTCTGGTTTTTCTCCAGCTGGTATTTGTTTTCTGATTTAATCAACAATTGTCAATCAAAACATCACTTGGTGCTTGCTTGTGATTTTTTGATTGTTTTTAGGGTGTTGATCACATTCGAAGTATAATACAATCAAATGTGGGAAGAAGATTGGGTATGTGGCAGGAATACTGTCTGCGCCGCTCTTTTGCAGTTCCTCAAGGTTTCTCTTTACCACAAAGTGTATGTTCTCTCTGTTATTTTGTTAACTTTTGCTCATTTCTTGCATTCATTTTCTAATCTTATCTTCTTTGGTATGTTTGGTTGATTGGTTAGATTGTCTTACAACATTTTGGAGTTAACGTGATTGATGGACTCTTGAAATATGGGCATTTCATTTCTATGATCCCATTTAGATATTTTGTTGAAGTGACTTCAGTAATTCATGAGATGATTATGTTGATTATAACAGCAGGATTACAAATTTAGGTTAGAGCTTCCGTTGGCAGCAGGAGAGAATTTCCTACTGTCCATCACAAGCATATGGACGAATTCAGGATTTAAATGGATTCTTTTACAACCATTTACATTAGATTATTTGAGATTAAAAAAAAAAAAAAAAATTGAGGGCTGCAAACCTTTTTTGTTGTGAATGAGGAGGCAATTTAATTGGGGAGTGGGGAGATAACAATGTATCTATCAACCTGGAGGTTTTAGGAAGAAGTCAGAAGCTGCTCAAGAAAGAATGGAGAAATATGAGCGGACTTCTCTAGATTGTCATGCGGCTTTTTCTTCCCGTGTTTGACTTAATGACTTATTTCATGGTACTGCTAGGTATTCATTCATCATGATGCTAAATTACTTGTGTTTTGGGTATGTTGTGTTCTATTGACTCATTATAGTGTTTGCTAGAAACATATCAAAAATTTTAACTACTAATCAAGATGATTGAAAGAATGAAAAAAAGGATGTAGCAGCATAGAAGAAATGAAATATATATGATTACAGTATGGTATATCTAGAAAATAGGAGGTGCTGTGCATTAATTTTTCCAGTGAACTATTGTTAATGTGAAATCTCTAACATAATTTTCTTTCTATAAATTCTTTTTAAAGGATTATTATACAATGTGTTTAGAGCAGAAAGAATAACATATTGGTGATCTTTGGAAAATAATCAATTTAGTTATCCAAAATGTTGTTTATTTTATTACCTATGACTGACATCTGTTTTATCAATTATGATATATTTTCTGAAAGGAATCACCAGATGAAAGTTTGGCATGCCAAGATGTTCTCTGTGATCCAGATCTGGATGCTCAATTGGATTCCCTAAGGGACAGGCTTAATTTGGTAAGAAGAAATTCATATATCATATACTGCAAGAACTTCCATCTGCATGAGTTGAGTTGGAACATACAGCAAAAAGTTGTTCATTTTATTTTTTTCATCTATTTCTATTTAATTTCATTTTTATGGAAATAAATACCATAGATAGGGAAGGAGTCTGCTGTGATGTTTCATGAGCTTCAAGCACTAGAAAGACAATCTGCTTTAAATGAAGGTTGTGTTGCTCTTGCCAATGAAGCATTACAATTTTACAAGCAAAACTCTGGCCATGACATGCTTCAAGGTACACATTTAAGCAATGAATTGTATCTATAATATCAGAGTGCTTATACATTTAAATGTTGTTCATGTAAATATTGGGATCTCCCTCCTGAGGTACTGCCTTTTAGAATAAATAAATACCTTTCCTTTTATGTCTCTATATCTTGTATCATTTGAAAACAGGTGTTTTACCTTTCGGTATAAATTATTATGGCCACTTGCTAAAAAAGTGAGAAGAAAAAAGAAATCTCTTGTAGATATTGCAGGAACCCAGCTCCTAGTTTATTATTTTTCCTGAAATTCATAAAGGCCAAAATATCAAATCATTTATAGTTGTGCTGCTATTTACTCTCAATTATTGCCTCACATAGAGATGGTGAAAACTGCATCTGAATTCCGTACAAAAATAGAGAAGCTGAGAACCAGAAGGGTTGAAGCTGCAGACAGCATTAGAACAAAGAGGGTTTATGAACCAGAAAGAGATGTGTCAACATTAAGTCACGGTAAGGATGTGTATGCTATAGCTATACTTTTTATTCATGCCCTACAATTTTCAGTTACATTTTTATGTTTTTGTTGCGTGATACTTCCTTTTTTTTTTTTTTCAAATTTTTAAGGCCTCATCAATGCAAAATTGGAAGATCTTCAAGAATTTCTTGCTGATTTAAAGAAAATGTGAGCTTCATATTGCTGTACCCAAGACTTGTTTCAGAGTTATGTGGTTCCCCAATTTCATATATCTATTGGTATGTAATTCACCATGCTATCTGCTTTGGTTGGGTTTTTTGCATTTATTTATATTGGGTAGAGTGCTTCTCTTGCAATAGGAACCTGAACCTGAGTCATCTGTGAATGTAGATGACCAGCAAAAATATTTTAGCCAGAAAATATGCATATAATATGTCTTTATGTTGGTTAAAAGTTAATTAACTTTGAATGGAGAATATAGAATGATAATTTGGCCCTTTTTTTCGTTGAATGGAAATGATAATATTTGATAAATGATGTGCTAGATAATAAGGGGTTATTGGAACTCAATCAAGTTGCTAAAAAAGCTTTGGCAACATACCCTTTAAATTGGGCATTCTGATGTGCTAAAGTTATATTTCATCCAGCAAAGTGTTGACTGAGGTGTTATGAGCTCAATCCTCGTAAGGGTTAGAATACAAGTTTAATATCTGAGAAGCTCACTTTGCTGGGAGAGTAAAAAATCTTTACGTTCTACCGTCCAAGGGATATTATACCTTCCGGTTATTTAAAAAAAAAAAAAAAGAGGTTGCTCTATTTCATGCAATTCAATAATTTTATTTTTCATAAATCAATATCTTTGTGCTAAATGAGAATACCAAACTGCCTGTAAATTGGAAAAGCCCCTCGTTGCTGTAGAATCCTATCTGCCTGGTGCTGGGTCTAAACTTGTCTTCATTAATAGTAACTGGTTTTTATGATGCTGGCCAACCTGACATATGTATGATTTTATTTCACTCCCTCTTCCACGCCTCAGGGAATTAAGTGGAATTTTCTTATTTTTCCCAAAAATATAATAAATTGCTGCGGCTAGTGGATAGAAATGAAATAATTAAGCATGTTACGTAGGGTTAGGATTACCTAATGTGCGTTTATTGCTGATGCAATTAATATTAACCATCTAATTTTCAGCACAATAAACTAATTCCCTAATTAAATAAAACCTTTTTGTTTATCAGCTACAGTTATTTATTTCTTACCATTTTACTTTTTTCATAAAATAAAAGTTTTTTTTTTTTTTTTTTTTTTTTTTTGTTTATCAGCTACAGTTAATTTATTTCTTACCATTGTTAACTTTTTTCATAAATAAAAAGTTTTTTTTTTTTTTTTTTTTTTGATACTTAGGGAGGCCTAATCGAGAATATTCAACTATACTTACACTTGATTGACAGGTTTTAAATATCATTAAAATTTTTTTTTTTTTTAATTTGGTATGGGTTGAAAATGTTTTAATAACAAAATCGTGATAAAAAGTTTTTTTTTTTTTTTTTTTTTTGATACTTAGGAGGCCTAATCGAGAATATCAACTATACTACACTTGATTGACAGGTTTTTAAATATCATTAAATTTTTTTTTTTTTTTCATTTGGTATGGTTGAAAATGTTTTAATAACAAAATCGTGATAGTTAAAAAAATCTTTTTTTTTTTATTGAGAAAAGTTAAAATCTAATTATTAAAAAATAAAAATTTGATTAGTATGTTTAAAAATAAAACTTTCATTTTACACTGCTCTGTTACATCTAAATAATTTCTTCATTTTATTATATAGATGATGGATTGGAATTTGACATCGCATTTTACATGGAATGAAAGACCAATCAGATTCCCTTAAATGAAATTTCAATAACTTTAAGGTCACGATTTATTACATGGAATGACATTTTTATCCTCCAATCTATTGTTCACTAGCACAGGTTAAGGGAATAATTACAAATATGAAAGGAATTGATCAGGATTATAAATTTTTAAGGGGTCAGAATTGATTAGGAATGGTTTAGTTTTTCTTATTCAAAGAACTAAATTTTTATTTTTTTTTAAAAGTCAAAGGTGGTGTTATTTCTAAAGCAAAAGTTGTTAATGCTAGAGTCAAATTTATTACTAAAAATTTTCATTCAAGCCTCATTGTCATGTAATTTATTAACTATTTTCATTTATGAATTTCATAGGGAAATAGCTCCATATTTAGCTTCATCGAAAAGTCACACTCCCTTTGTCCCGCAATTAATTTTTTTTAATATAAAAAACTTAAAATATCAATTTTTAATCTTCCACTAATATATTGCCAATTGCTTTGATTAAATTATAAGTCTTATTTTAATTACTTGTTATTCCTTTTTTTTTTTAATGTCTCAAAATATTTACAGAGTTTCTAAATTTATAGATTTAAACAATTATTTTCAATAATAAATTTTTATAATTGTTTATTAAATGAAATACTTTTGTTAATATCCTAATAAGTTAAGGGTAAAAAGAGACAAAATGATTTTTATTGACTGAATTTTTAATATACCTATTTTGTAAAACCATGCAAATAAAATGAGATAGAGGAGTAGCATTGATTTATTTGAATAACAATTTAATATCTAATTACTTAGTCCATGGCCCACTCATGGATCAAACTAACGGATTAAACTAACGAGAATAAGGTTTTCCATTGAAATAGGATATTTCTAATTATACACTGAGAAAAAAATAAAATCAGAATATTTTTTAAAGAATTCTTACTTTGATTGGTTTGGTCCATAAAATGGATATGAATTTGGTCTAGACAAGTAATTTTCAATTTTACCGTATTAACTAAATTTTATTAATTTGAATCAAAACAAAAATGACGGGACAATGTGAGGATTATCCAGTAATTAATTAGCTTATTTAGGGAAGATGAGGTTGGAAATTTCAACTGCATTAACCCTAGTTAATTATCAATAAATAAATAAATCAGCCATGGTGGCCCATCATTTCCACACATATATATATATATAAATCGCAGCTGCATATACGAATTTGTTCCATTGCTCTTCATATCCGATAATATACTATTACCCATATGGCTATGGCACTGAGTGTTACAAAAGCAGTAGCCATGCTCGTCTCTATGTTAGTTCTTTCCTTCACTATTCCTTCCTTAGCAATTTCCATCTCATCCTTTACTAAACTCCCTTTACCACCACAAGTCATGGGTCCTGAGGCTTTCGCCTTCGACTTGCAGGGTCAAGGACCCTACACCGGTGTTCTTGACGGTAGAACCCTCAAATATCAGGGTCCTAGCCTCGGCTTTCTAGATTATGCATTTGATTCCCCAAACAGGTATATATACATAAATAATCTTGTGTGTATAGAAGTTGTTCTTAACAGAACCTCATATATAATGGATACTATTAACTGAACAAGCGGAAATGAACTTCTTCTCCAAGCAAACTATAACTGCAAGAATGGAAGTTCAAAATGTTAAAAAACACATACATAATATACAAATACACACACACACACATATATATATTAACACAAAACCTCATATAAATTTGATACTTATACATTGTCTGCACCAATTGGTCGTTGTTTGATTTGTTGGCAGATCGAAGGCGGCTTGCGATGGAAATACTAATCCTTCAGCTTTTGGAGGTATATGTGGAAGGCCGTTAGGTATAGGGTTCCAATATACAGGGGAGCTGTACATCGCCGATGCTAACCTTGGGCTTCTGGTGGCCTCAACTAATGGAAGACTTGCAAGAGCAGTTGCCTCTAGTGCTGAAGGACAGCCTTTCAAGTTCCTTGATGGTTTGGATATTTACCCACTTACAAAAACTGTTTTTCTCACTGATGCTAGTTCAAGATTCAATTTCAGGTATTCTGTTTTTTCTTTTCTGATCACCATTATAACCAAAGTATAAATCATTAAAATCCCAATTAAGACAATTTTCTGGTGCAGTGAACTTGCACAAGCTGTGGCTGCCAATGACTCAACAGGAAGATTTATAAAATATGAACCAAACATAAACACTACAACTGTGTTATTAAGGAACCTTTCAGCCCCAGCAGGTGTTGCCGTTAGTTTAGATGGCTCATTTGTCCTTGTCACTGAATATTTAGCTAACAGAGTTCTAAAATATTGGCTTAAAGGTCCCAAAGCCAACACATCAGAAGCTCTGGTAACTTTCCAAGGCAGGCCAGACAATATTAAGAGGAACCCTCTTGGTGATTTTTGGGTAGCAGTAAATGTACAGGAGACACCAACTGCACCAATTGTGCCTACTGCAGTAAAAATTAATTATTCTGGTAAAATTTTGGCAAGTTTTCCTCTTAGTGACCAATATAACACTACAACAATAAGTGAAGTTAATGAGTATGATGGGAATTTATATATTGGGTCATTGGAAACGAAGTTTGTTGGGAAATACAGGATTATGTGATTCTATATGTATAATTAGATATTATCTCTTGATAATATTATAATTTAGTAATTATATAATAGAAGCAGCTCTATGCTAAATAAATGTTGTAATGGTGTTTGTGGCCACTAGCTACAATTGCAACTTCCAAATAAATACGATCAATTTCTGGAATCAATACAACTCCTTAAACAATTCTCTGAAAATTCTGGTTGATACAACCAAATTATATATGTCAAATCTTGAATTTAAGAATTGTTGGCCGAGATGTGTTGTTTAATAGTATGAAGGAATCTAAAATATAAATGAATAATCTATCTACTGTTTGAAAAAATTAATGATGGTCCAGTTCTATTAATCAAGAAGTAGGTTTTGGGTTTAACTGCTTTTTGGTATGATGATAAAGTAAAACAATGCCGTTTCTATCTTCAAAAAAGTATATTCCCTAAAATGTGGAAAAGTTGTCTTCTTTCACGCAAATTTTTGGTCAGAGCCAACAATATATCGTTTAAGAAGTTGTATTGGTTCCAGAGGAGTCAAGGGTTCAATATCTTTTTGCTTTCCTTGAAAATCCTGAGAATCTCTGATCCATATCGTATCCCTCAAAAAGTCAAATGCACCATCTTTGCCACCTGCCAACAGTTTCTGGTTCGAAATTAGAATCGGATTGATTTCAAATCGGTTGGGATCATATTGGCCAAAACCTTGTTAGACTGATGCCAGAATCGAATTTGAATTGATTCTAAAGGTTTTGGTTGAGACACTGTGTATCAATTAGGTTAATGTTATCAAAGACAGCCGCATCCATAATCATTAACTATTAAAAGATAAATTTTCTTAATCATAACATAGAATGGGGAAAGAAAAAGGCTAGCAAGTTAACACCCATAACATATCACATTAACAACTACATATTACATCAAAACAAACTCGAAAAATGTCATCTTGTCCATTAGAAAAGAGAGGAGGTAAGTTCAGACACATCAGCTACGACCTGAGAAAAATCTGCCTTTAATTTCTCCTGTTCCTCCTGGCCTATGTCTCCCTTGGGAGGTTTGGTTAACACCAGAACACAACATGTAGGTCTCTTGGTGGCTCCTGCATTTGCAAGATCCTGAAATAGCAAATTGAGATAATGAGAAGTGCAAACCTGGGAGACAATGGATTAGAAATAAGACAGGATTATGAAGTGCCCAAAAAGACAATAATAAGTTCAATAAACTTCATTTTGAGACCTTATTTTCAAAACCTGGAGGCTTTTGGATTATTGCATGCCCACAACGTCAAGAAAAGTTTTCCATATTGTTGGGACTGTAAACTTAACACCAAATCATATTCCTAATCAATAGCACTTTTATTGTATTTGACAACATATGGCTAACAGTTACAAATAAGCCTGTTCAGGTGTCTACTCACTACAACGCTTCACATGGATGATTGATTGATTGATGTGTGATATTTTTCAACTTACTTACTGATGAAAACTAGAGCACCTGATTTAAGTTGACATGCCATCAATAAAACAGAAGGCACTTCCTAAAAGCAAGAGTTGTCAACATTCAATGTTACAAGAAGAAAGAACAGAAGAGATCTAGTTGCTTACTTCTTTTGATGAAACATATATATAGGGAATGTCAGACTCCTCACATAAGATTGGAACATGAGTGATTACATCTATAGGAGATATGTTCCCAGCTATGACACACAGCCTGCACCAAATTAAAAAGATGAAGCATTAAGATCTGAAAGCAATTTTGTGCCACATGATCTTTAACATGAAGCTACTCCGTACATAACCCAAATAGATAACATTTAAGATTATGTGCGAACAATTTAAAAAAAAGGCCTCCATCAATATATGATAAGAATTGTTTAAAATAATCAATTCATTAGCAGCAGGATCTCATAATTGTTCAACTTTGACAACTGAGATCCAACTACTGATTTATAATGAAGATGTATAAACAGAATGTAGTGATTAATGATAGAGTGAACTCTATGAGCTGAGAACTAAAATAGTTAAAAAGCAAACAAAAAGATATGGAGAAGGTGATCAAAATATTCACATTTGTGCCAAGTTTTCCTAAGAAATAAATCCAGAAAATTGCACGACCAACACAATGATGTAATATGTTTAGCTCAGAACAATATCACACATGGCCTATCAATTCAGAACCATATATACCACAAATATCCACCACCTCTTGTAGCACTCCTGTAAAGAATAAGAGATCTGCTGGCTCACATCTCTCTTTGTTTTGGCTAACATAAAGATCATGAATTATGATTTGATGCAAAAACAGGAAGTTTTTATAGGATAGGATTCAGCGAAGTTTAGTAATTCAAATCTTAATTCCTAATATACATCCATTTGTGTGAATCCCTTTTCTCTCCCATAAGCATACAGAACACCAAGGAAATTCTTTCATAATTTGGTCATGGAAATTGGGCACAGAGTATGTGTCATGAAAAGAAAGAATTTTTATTTTTCAAACCAACAAACCAACACCTTAATCTGGAAATAGCCAGTAGTCTTAAATCCAGTAAATAGAGGGAAAGGACCCACATAGCTGACCGTAGTTAGTAATTATATTGGAATAAACTAAGCTAAGTTGAAGAGTGCTACTCTAACAATGCATCTGTCCAATGCTCTTCTTGGAGGTCAAAGCTCTCAGTCAGAAAACCAATGGCAAATATATACTTCCCCATCTTTCATTTCCACCTGCATCGAGATGTGACTTTAAGAGGCAGTTAAAAGTATCACCACGATTTAGGATAAGACAGCTTTCTTTGTCCAGTATATTTCCATCCAAAACTTCAGTTAGGAGTTTCACTGGGGAAGTTAAAATATCAAATACCTCAAGATCTGCCAAAATCTAGATTTTGTTAACCTAAATATGACTACATAAAAATTATGTGCACTGAGCACAAAGAAAAAACTCAATATTTTCTTCTCTACACATAAAAAAAATATTTCCATAGAACCAACTAAATAACTACCCTAAAATAATACAGTTTTAATTACCAAGCATGCATCAATGAAAAAGAGCTAGATAGATTAAAACATCTGACTCTACTACAACCAAATGCAGTCTAACTCCTTCATTCTTTTCCCAATGCTATAAAATACCACGAACCTCAGAAGGATTCCAGAAGAGCAAATTGTTAATTTTTAAAAAAATGCTATGAGAAAAAGGATAAGAATCCACTAAGCTATTTTTGTTCTTTCACATCAGTACTGGTAGTTTTATTTAAAGGTCTAAGCAGAGACGATAAGATTGTTTCAAGATAGGATCGTTTCAAGATCCCATTAAGCATAGAAAGCTGACCCTTTATGCCCGCGCCTAATACTTTTAACCACCTCCTTCACTCCTCTCTTCAAGCATTTGTGTTCAGCAGCTGCAAGAACAATAAGATAATAAATTCCATCATATTCATATAAAAATAAATCAATCTTATTAACAGCAACAAAAACTTATTATAAACCAATTAGGAAAAAAATCAGATTCACACATTGCCAAAACCATCTTATCAATTCACTCAAACGCGTCACTAAGAGAAGATATATCTCCAATACCAATGAGTCTAACAAGATATTCAAAGGTCCAGCGTATTTGCATTTGAAATTTCAATTTCTTATCTTTACTAGTTTCTACAACCAAGAACTAAAGAGCAACCCAAAAAGATAAAAATGAACAAAAAATTTTACTCAAAAAATCTACAGCTACGTACCTTTGCGAACTAGCTTGAGGGTTTTTTTGGAGAGCTTTTTGCCAGCAAGGGGCTTGGCGATAGGAGACAGAGCTATTACCTTCTTCTTCTCCTGCTTCTGTGATTTCTCTGCTTCGCTATCACTTCCCATCTCCTCTCTCTCTCTCTCTCTCTCTCTCTGGGGAAAAAGAAACGTTTGCGACTACGGTTGATGGCAGATACTAGGGTTTTTGCGCTATGCCTCAGTTCTAATTTCCTTTTGCTTTATATTTTAGGGTTTAAGGGAAAGAACCTGTGGGACCCACCGACCCAGATGTTTGCAATTTTTTTTTTTTTAAATCTTATACCGGGAAGCTAAGCCTCACTAAATTAAAAATTGAAGCAAAATATTTAATGTGTTCAATCGAGTCCATTTAATTAAATTTAAATTAAAATCAATAATACTAAATATTATATATTTACATTTAAATTATTATTTTATTCAAAAATTTCATAATGTTTTGTTATGATTTGAAGTGTTTTTAATAATATATATTATCATTAATTTTAATAAATTATTTAATTACACCAATTGTTTATCCTTAACAAAAATAATTAGAATAAGCTACATGAAATTTTTTTATTTATTTTTGGCTTTGTCCACAGCCAACTAATATATTAATACATTAATTAAATATATTACATATCAAAGCATAATCTAGTAATAAGTACATATACAACCGACAATAAACCCAGAGTCGAATCCCTCTCTCCCAATGCTTAAAAAAAAATTAAATATATTAAAAAATAAAGGATTTTGCCAGATTGAAATGATATCCAGAAATTGGATTTTATACAATATGAAAATGGGGGATAAATCTTAATCAAGCCTGGAATGAATATTTAACTTCGCATTGACACTCACAGTGGAACCCGTTATTCTGAACTTGAAGATTGAATATTCCATATTTACAATATCGACCAGCAAATAGCACCGGCTTTCCATTTGGGTAACAAGGTTAGAACCAACAACAACATGTAATATAATATGCTGCCTGAAATACAAATCATTTTTGGGATGCAAATCCCCTAAACAAAAACGCACCTAAACCACCAATTGCTAATGTTACAATAAGAGGCAGCGCAATGGAATCAACATCTATGGCTCTGTTTATCCTGTCTGTTCGCTCTTGGCGAGCTCTTCCTCCCCAGTGTTCATGCAGAAAATTGCTCAGATTATCCAACTGGTGCATGATTTGGCGTTGCCCCCTAGCGATTAGTACAATCTGCTCAGGATATGAACATGGTTTTGTTACATGGCTTCTATTTCAGAAAGCGTCACATGGAAAATCAATAGAACTGCTTAATGTAATCAAATAAGTTATGGGAAGAATATGCATATTTGGATTATTGTGGTTTGAACCATCTCTTAGATTTGATACAGTATATGTATCTGCCAGTCACTTTCAATAGGATAGCACAAAACCAATGAAATTCATATAATCCAACTACCAATCTCAAAACATGGAGAGAGAATAACCTTTGAAAACCCAGATTACTACTAAGCTTCTATAGTAATTTGACCACTGTATAGCTCAAAATAGGTCGGCTCAACTATAACTGGCATGCTGTTCAAAAAAACAATAGTAACACCAGTATAAAATGAATTCCCCATCTTCTATGTTCATATCCAAATAATCCATAAACTGGTCTCAGCAGTCCTCATAAAACAGGGATTCTTTCTCTTAACAACCAATTGTTTTACTGAGGGATATTTTTCTCTCCACACCCATTGTTAACAGTTCCCGCATTACTAAGTTGTCCCACCATTTCCCATCCACAAGCAAACCAAAATTCATGGCTAAACTGGTACTATTCTGCATGCCTGTTCTGAGAAAATATAGTATATTGGCTTATTCTAGAGATTCCCCATATTCGTAATATTACCGGTCTATGTCCATGAATTACATCTATATTATATAGTTAACATATGACAAATTTGAAACATATATCCACCATAATTATTTAATAATAGATTGTATTTTCAAAAACTATAGTTGTCTTGAATTAGACGCAGTACCTCTTCCATCAGTGGTGACTCCCTAGCCAATTGCGATGAAGATGAAGAAGTTGGTAGCAAAGATCCAGTTAGTGAGCCATTAGCCAAGCCATTAACAAATGCAGAAGTTGGTCCAGAGCCATTGCAAGCTTCTGCCTGCATTGCCAAGTTTTGTTGGCTAGCTGAAACTTTTCTGACAGTGAACTTGGAATTCAACTCCTCAATCCGAGATGTGAATTCATCCATCCTCTCATTCAGTGTGGCAATCTGTTCAGAGAGTTGAGTAACAACACCCTGAAACATTTCCAGAAACAAATTATTGGTGAAAATTAATGCTTAGAAGCAAATAAGAGAAGGAAAAACAACAAGAACATAAAATATTGAGGAAATGAAAAATATAGAGAGATGGATACAAGGCTTATATGAGTTCCTGTCTCTGAGCGTCTCACCAATGAATAATGGGGGAAAATCAATTCCCAATGCTTATATTTCCTCCATCATTCCAATTAAACAGATGAATAAGAGAAATTTTGTGGCGGCACCAAACAAATAGACCAGTATAATATTCATTCATCTAAGTACTTATCAAGGCAGAATTTTACACTTGCCTGGTTTGCAAGTGTGGCAGGTGACTCTGGAGTTCTTCCATCAAACCTTCTATTGTTAACAGCAAGTCTTGTCAACTTGGACAGATTCTTTTCCCGTTGATTTGCATATGAGAGTGATACGCTACTGTTAATATATAAATAGAATTGTCAGAAAAACTAAGTTAACTCCTTAAATTTGTAAAACATTTATTAGCATGCACATTGGATAAGTAATTTCAGTTAAAAAATTTTGCAGTTACTGAGAGGATTAGTTGTCCCAAATAAACATACATGAATTTGACTGAAACTGTAGAAATTCAACAAGAATCATGAATTGGATTTTAAAACATTTAAGTGGTAATGGCCAAAGTATTTTCTGTTGTCAAACAAATCATATAAAGGGAAATGATAACCACAGAGAAGTCAGCCTAGCTATTACCAGGCTTTCTTTCAATTTTAGTTTTCAACATCTGCTAGTTTATCAAATGTGGTAGACTCATCAAATATGGTCAGAATGAGACAGTACCGGCTCAGATACTTGTTTCTCCTATCTGCGGAAGCTCGAGAAAGGGCTTCTTTAGGGCTAGAAACCAAATCATCGTCTATGCTGAGCTTTGTCTTCAAATCATCTGGCAAGGCCTGCAGGCTTATCTGATAAGGACTACGCATAAATTGCATGAATAATCAAGTATGGGAACATACCATAACATCGTTGACAAGCTTCTCAAGTTGGATCTGTTCTATGTAAGTACGAGGAACATATGAACCATCCAAGCCTAGCTGCTCCGCCACATATTTAACATACAAACGATCTCTACCTTGCACCTTTATTCCAGGAACAGCATGAGTGTAGTTAGGGCTACGGTTTGCAAACTTAAGCAGAAATAAGCAATAATGACGGATTACATCTTGTATAGCAGAAGGAAAAATTGCTAGTCGATGGACAGGACAATGTACCATTCGATACAAAAGGGAATGGTACCTTCAAAGTGACAGGAGGAAGGCACAATAAAATTCAATGACGTAATTGGCATAGCTATGCCAAGGACTGGCTTGAAACTCAAGCATTTGAAACTATGCTTGTCATCATGGTCAAGCAAAAACCTGGGCCAACTTTGAAAGCCTCCCAATTACAAAAAATTAACCAAATATCATACAAGATCATGGTGGAAAACTACTGTAGAAAAGCTATTGGCTAAAATATTTCATGAGTAGAGATTGCATATTAATGCCAGTTGATAAGTTTGCAAAAATATAATAGAACTGATAATTAGAAGCAAGAGGAGAAAAATTTATATAGAAGGTACATCTACTGACAAATTTGGTTGGGGAACTAGACTTATCATCACTAAGATATACAATATCAGACTTCATTGCACCAATACCTGATGTAATAAATACTGTAGTAGTAGCAAACTTTTAGTTAGAATCCTAATAAAAACACAATCCAATGTTCATCTAAGTATATTGCATGAACTCTTGCTATTATCACATTTCCACTTCCATTCTCTCAATTGAAATAAGTTACTTTTAAGCCTAGACCTAAGTTCCAAGGTTGACTGAAGCATCCAATTAACTCAATAAGTAATACAATAAGATCAAAAATAAATGAGGTTACGACCAACCACACATCTTAAATTCCATGTACCTGAACATATTGGCGATTAAGTTGCTCTAACCAGTCAGTTTTCACACACACCCTGTTGTCAAAGAAGACATGGCTGCTTCTTTTTAGGATGGCTGCAATTGTGTACCCCAAAGCCATCAGCCCTCCCAGAAGGCGAACACTAACTTCGAAAGTTATTCTAGGTGAGATTATGAATGGACTGTCTGTAACCCATTCCTGAGAACAAGAAGCATAACTTTTAGAATAGGAACCCCAAAATACAGAGCATCAATACCATACATAGATCATTCAGAACCAAAGTTTGACCTATCTCCTTCATCCCAGTGTTTAAGCCTTTTGAATAATAGGACAAAGGATCAACAGAGTTCTGAAAAAAAAAATTCTGGAGGAGATAGGTTTTTTTCCATTTTAAAATGTGGAAAACATCACAAGTTCTCTCAAGATAACTTTGCATTGCCCATGGCCCAAGGCATAAGGATAAGGGACCTCATAGCAACATAGTTAAGCAAACAAACAATCTTGTCAATGCCACAACATTATAGTTGATAAGTGATGCTGATAATATATTCTCATTGCTGGAGTTTGAGCCCAGACCAACTTTTGTTGCCATGATGCAATGGGTATTTACCATTCTGGTAGTGCAACAGGCAAAAAAGCATGTGAGAAATCTCAGATTGCATAAGTTCCATGACTTTGTCGCAAGCATGTCATTCCTTAATAGATCAATTACAATTCCAAAGAGTTCAAGACCATATTCAACATTTGGGCACTTGTAGAAGATGACGAGTGGGCATGGGAGCCATTCTCTTCTATTCAACAAAGTACGGGCTGGGTGACAATAAATAGTATAGACAAAAAGTACAATATAGGAGAGAACAAACAATTGTTGCAAGTACCTGCTAGATGATGAGAAATAGTATTAGACTAAATGAAGCATTTAGGGCAATTTAAACAAGGTATAGTATCCAACAGAAAAAAAATACAGAGGAAAAGATAGAGAAAAGGCATGGTATAGAAAAGTCGATTATTTTAAATGATTGTGTAAGACCAAAAATCACATTCTCAGATGTGGATTACTTAATACTCGATTGAAGCTGATAATGTAGGATAAGTATGGACACTATTAAACCCAAATAATGTGCATAAAAGGAGGAGACAAGTAGTATTTGACACTAGTAATTCTCACCAAGTAAAGTAGGTAATTCAAATCAAATGCATAATATGCAGTACTTTAAGAAGAAGCCTAAATTTACAATCATCCAACCTCAAACATGAGATTATACTGTCCATCCCTGTTCCTCATCCTCAGATATGATTGACATGCTTCAGGATCTTCACCAGGTGGCAGAAGATATATATCATAAGTCTCCTCGTTTCTTTCAGTGTACTCTTCAGACATAACAGCCTTGATTTGTTCTAATGTAACTGATCTTGCAGACTGCAAAAAAGAAATCCATAATGCAAGAGTTAGAAATTACTATAAAGCACAAATCACGAAAAAACACAAAAATTTGACACAGACAAGAGTGGGATTCACCTTCAGAATATAAGTAGGGCTCTGAAATCCAGTAAACGGATTAAACTTGTTAATTATTTTAATATGAGCTGTCTGGAGGTCAGGCTCAATAAAGGCCTTGTACATGGGATAAACCTGTGTGAAAAAAAAAAGTGAATTGTGAGGCAACAATATAAGACGAAATGAAAAGCATGAATTAATAAGATAAATTAATCACCGTCTCAGAGATTTGGTGAATTATTTCCTCAGGCTCTTGTCCAGCACGTTGAATGTCCCGTAAGACACGTTTGACAAGGTCAAAGTGAACTCCACCAGTGATAGATACACGAAGATCTAGCAATGGTCGCAGTCTCTCACTTAAGGCATAGATGCCTTCAATGATCACAATGCGGGAACTAGGGACTTCTACTGTCCTGTTAAGGGAAAAAGAACAGCCAAGAATTGAGAGCATTGGCATAGATAAACAAACAAATTTCTATCAATGATATTGAAATTTGAAAATACATAAAGCGAAGGAGATTCCTTTTTTTTTTTGTTAGGGTGGGGGGGCAGGGGATGATGACGATGACAAGAATGAAAAGAATACATAATAAATGAACTATCATATACATAAGTCAACATGAAGTTAGAGATCAATTGAAGTAGCAGTATTTCTGACATTCTCATAAGATGTGCTAAGTGATTATTGGCATCATTGATGCATCACAAACTTATTTTCCTTGTTTCTTTCATCCTCTTCATCTTCTTTGCATGGACACAACAACTGGAGATGGCATGAATCCTAGGATAAGTTTTTTCATTCATATGATGAAAAAAAGGGACAGATAATAACCACAACCTGTAACCTACACGAGAGCTAGTCTTGAAGTCGTATATTGGAACCTGGACAGCCTTCCCTGCTTTCAAACCATGTATATTATCGAGTAGAGTGTCATAATCCGTCAATCGTGGGTCTGTTGAAAATAATTCACAGCCATTAGACATCTGCCATGTTTCTCTCTTTCATACTCATTCACCAAAGACAATGATCCATAAATAATTGAAAACCTTTGTCCAGAAGAGGAAAATAGCTAACCGAAATATGAATCAGAAGATATTCTGAGAAGAATGCAGAAGATATTAAAAATACAATGAGTTCGCAGTAACATGATAATTGCTATCAGATAATCAACTAACAGATACTCAGTTTATCCTTTCACAATATGGTCGGCACATAATAAGGTATTTAATCAACATAATAAGACTGCTCAATTACATTCTAATTTGACTTATCAAGATCTTTTGTTGCTTATATAGCCAGAAAAATTGTGACCCTGTGAGTTTTGTATCTAAGAATAATTTATCACCCTAATGTTCCACTTAGAGCTTTATGTTGTTCACTTGAACTGCTCTTATTTGTGCCTGGGTTCCTTTAGTTCAGTAATCTCATAGATTTAGACAACATGCTTCCAGAGGCTCTGCTTCACTTTCCAGTTGATTCTTGTAATTTCTGTCTTGCTTTTTTCATTAGACTCAATGTTACTTCTTATTCTTCACTTACCAGTAGAAGTAGAACCACACTATTCTTTAATTCTAACTAAACAAGAACAACCTCAAACCTTACACCTGCCTAAAATGTTTATATAATCCTTCAGCTTTTTGCTGACCATAATCCAACTTCTAGTTTACCACGAAAGCAAACAATGATAGTTCAATAACCTTACTTTCCAAGACATAGATTTAGCAAACAATACACACCAGCCACATGGTTATATCTGTCCAAGCTTGGAAATATATGATCCTTACAAAGACAATCAAACTAATATGTCTTTGCATCTATTGCTTTGTTGTTATAATATTGAGATTAGCAACATAACACAGAATCAAGCGAAAGGCCCATAAAACCTCATTTCATAACAGACATTTATTATCAATCTGTGTGCTACAATTTTTTAAGAGAGAAGGGTAAAACAGATTTCACCCCATGACCAAAAGGGATCCCCCACAATTCTAACCATTTTAGAGAAGTTCTATTAGCATGTTTGAAAGCATGACTAGGATAAAAAAAGCACTTTTTAGCATGTTTGAGATGACAACTGAAGTAAAAAGCAATGGCCAATGACTTTTTGACCCTTAATATTCCATGACTTGTAATACTACATGTATGACTAGGAGAAGTTACATGCTTTAAGATTATCTAAAAAGAAACAAATTCTCCACAATAAAAAGATAAAATAAAAAATTGATTCAAAAGGAATCATATTGAAGGTCATGAGCACCAATAAACTTATGTCACTAAATAAAGAGCTTTTTCTAACAACAATCAAGTAAATTTGAATGAACACGAAAATTTACCATCAAAGTTGCCATCTATTATCCGACTAGCATCATTGTAATTATCCATTGTGATGACAGCGATGCTGGGCATAAAGTTTAGCACCTTCTCAGTGAACACAGTCTTTCCAGCTCCAGATGGGCCCGCTACACCTACCAATATTATTCCATCATTCTTTTGAGCCAACAACTGGCATGCACGGATTACGACGAAGAAACCTTTCTCAAATGCCAATGTATCTTCAATTGGTGCAATCTCATATCGATCAGAATCTTTCTTTTTAACCAGTTGGACCTGATCTCTCAGGAGCCCAGAACGTCGCCTAGGTGACTCAATCCCATGATTAGTATCTTGAGCCATTTGAAAGGAGACAGAATATTTCTCCTCCTAAATCTGCAGGAAAAGATAAACATTGTAAAAGGACAAAGTTAACATGTTTCCAAGACAGCCATTGTAATAAGCAAGGAGTTACGGAACTCCCCAGATACTCTAACAATGGTCTAAAGCTAAATTAAATGTTTTGATCAATCAAGAATCACTTAATTCTTAAAATCTCTGAATTTGGTAATTATATGTAAACAATTGGGATCACCAGAAAGCCGCAAAGAATATTTCTCCTCCTAAATCTGCAGGAAAAGATAAACATTGTAAAAGAACAAAGTTAACATGTTTCCAAGACAGCCATTGTAATAAGCAAGGAGTTACGGAACTCCCCAGATACTCTAACAATGGTCTAAAGCTAAATTAAATGTTTTGATCAATCAAGAATCACTTAATTCTTAAAATCTCTGAATTTGGTAATTATATGTAAACAATTGGGATCACCAGAAAGCCGCAAAGAATCAAAAGGCATTACTATATATCATTCATTTCCAAACCCTATATCTTTAAACTCATATTATTACCCTCTACATGATTGGCAAAATCAAACTCAAAACCAAGCAAATTTTTCATCAGTCAAAGAATAAAGAATTCAAAAATAATTTTGGGATTAATTTTTGACTGATAACGTTTCTAATTTCCCAACAAGATATAAAATTAAAAAAGTCATCTTTACAAAGAAAAGAAACAGAAAAAACGAAAATCAATAAATAAAGGGTACCTTTTAATTGTTTTGGCGCTTTTTTCCTGTTCTCTTACTAATGAAACTGTAACCCTGAAAGTTTTTTAAAGAAGAAAATGGAGGGTAGCTTTACGAAATTGGAAGAAATTGCGAGGAATCTTTTATTCTGATCGTAGTACAGAGAGAGAGAGAAACGTGGCAGTGTTTGACTGGTTGGAGAAATAATTGAGAAAGACAAAAATGGAATGGTGTCTGATTTCGACCCGGATAGGATATCTCGTGAGTCGTTACGTGAAATTTAATTTTGTTTTGGTGGCCGAGTCGCTGACTCACTCGATTAGGTGTTATTTTCTTGACCTATGGATCTGTCCGAATGGTACTAGATTCTATCGTATCTTACTGTTGCAAGTTTTAGATATTTGGCTAAATATATAAATTTATTTCTAAACTTTTTTTTTTATTTTTTTAATATTTTTAATTTTTATTTTAATTGGTCAAGCACTTTAAAATTTATAAATTATACATATTAAATATTTGAATCGAAAAAGTTATTTTATTGAACCATTTTAATTTATAAAATTAGATTAATTAAATATTTATTCAGTTAGATTAATATAAATTTTTCTTAAATAATTTAAAAATTAATTAAATATTTATTAAATAATTAAAAATTATAAAATTATAAAATTATTGTTTTAAAAGTTATACTAACTGTATATCAAAATAATATTTATATAGAAAAATCAACAATTTTAAAAATTATTATTATTAGTGTGAAAAAGTATAATTTTACCAAACTTGTACTCTATATTTGGATAGGTGGAAATTTTGAGAGAAAAGAAAATTAAGGTGAAAAATAACAAGAAAAATAATTTTCTCTTATCTAGAAACAATGAAGAAAAAGTGAACAATATAAAATACTCTGTAATCCCTTTTCAGCCGACAAAAGTATAATCTCTTCAAATTAAAGAGAAAATGAATCACGTGCAATGAAAAGTGACATTATTCATATTAAATTATTTAAATATCATATGTAAATTCATAAGAGTGCCTAATCTATTTATTTATATATAGAGAGAGTAAAGATTGAAATTTACAATAATATAATTTTCTTTTCTCAATAATTAGAGCAAGAAAAATAATTTCATTTCCTTTCTAATCTAAACATTTGATGGAAAATGAAGAGGAAAAAAATAAATAATGTAATCCTTCATTTTTTTTTCTCTTATTTTCTTTATCTTGTTTCTAAACATAATATAAAAATTTAAGTGCATGATAGATATTCATAATATTTAAAATGTCACAGGATTAAAGTTGTAAAATTTATTGATGAATTTATATATCAATCATGATCAACAATTATATATTTGACGATGGTTTTCTTTAAATCATCATCTTCCAATATTTTATGAAAATTTTAACATATACTTCAATTACAAATATTAGTAAATATTCCCTTGTTTCATTAAGTTTGATATTTTTTTAGTTTTTAATAAAATTAAAAAATAAATAAATTATTTCAATTAAAAAAATAAAAATACCATTTAATTAATCCTCATTAATTCAAATAAAATCGATTATACGTTTTTTTTTAATATTAGGAGGTAAAATTTAAAAATTACATTATTTGAAGAAACAAGATTTAAAAAAATGTCAAAGACACTTTAAAAAAAAAAAAAGTTGGCTAGGGCTCTGCTCGGTAAAATTAATTATTTTAATAGTGTTTAACTCCTAGCTATTTAAGTAATTTTTCATAAAATGTTAAAAGTTAAACGTTATATGAGTTAATACGTTGTTTAATCAAAACGCTAAAAGCTTCTTAAAAAATAATTGTCGAACATGGCTTAGAAGTGAACGATCTTGGCACTCCTTCCATCGATGCATATCATTTAATTAATATACATATAAGAATACCATCACGAGGAACTGAATACATAAATTTACCATTAAAATTTATTATTTTAATTTTGCGATACACTAATTTTTATTGTGACTATTAAACACTTAAATTATAAAATTATATATATTAAACATTTCAACTTACAAAATATTTTAATAAACATTTTAACTTAAAAAATTAGACCAGCTAAGCACCTTTCTTTCAAAAATCAATTAAGCACCTATCATATAGTTTTTTTTTTTTTTGAGAATCGCACCTTTCATATTGAAACAAGTGAAAATCATTATTTAAAAGTTATGCTAACTATATAAATTAGTAATATTTTTGCATATAAAAGTTAAAAAGTCTAAAAATTATTACTATTAGTATGAAAAAGTTCGCAAAATTACTAAATTTTATAAATTCGAGTGCACAAAATATCATCTATAGAGTTATAAATTACCAAGAGTAATAAACATACAACAAACTCCCTTACCATTTACAAAATAACAAAAACAATAAAGTATTCCAAGTCGAATAAAAAACCCAAACATACAAATATTATGTGATTGGTTTTAGTGCAGTATTATTCTTCAAAATTAAATTTATAAATAATTTCAAATTGACATTTGATAAATAATTTTTAAAACAACATTATTTTCAGTCCCCATATTTTAGCTCCTGAGTCATAATTTATTAATTTTCAGAAACTGCATAACTTTCTCTGTTGGTTATTGATTACCACTAGCAATATACCCGTGATATGCATTGTTAAAAAAAATAAAGTAAAAAATTAAAAGAATATAAATATATATAGTTTATAAATTATTGAATGAATTTTATTTTATTATGTTATTAAAAAATATTACTAAGATATATCAATAGTAAAAAAATATATAGCTATGATTTTTAATTATTAGAGTAAAAATTAGTAGATAAATATATGTTCAGGAGTATGAATTAAAAATATTGAAATTTATAGAGATAAATAAAAAAAAAGTAAAATGAAACGTGGCAAAATTCATTAATTTGATATATTTTAGAATATTAATTTTTCAGGAAAAGCTGAATTTGCATAACTTTCTCCTCGTTTGTGTGTATTTTGTAAATATACCATAACAAGCCAATATTACCCGTGGATTATGCATTGGTTAAAAAAAATAAAGTAAAAAATTAAAAAGCAATATAAATATATATAGTTTTTTATAATTAATTTGAATGGAATTTTTTATTATGTTATAAAACATAATTACTAAAGATATACCATTCAATAGTAAAAAATATATAGTATGATTTAATTATTAGAGTAAAAATTGTAGATAATATATGTTCATGTGAGCTCAATGAATTAAAAAAATAATTAGAAATTATATAGAGAATACCAAAATAATGAGAAAGAAAAAGTTAATAAATGAAATATCTGTGGTCCAACAATATTTCATTAAGTTGAATATGAAACTTATTAGAATTAATGGATTATAAAACATCAATAAACATCTGAATTCGCTATGATCTTGCATAGAAAAATCTTCATGAATTAACTATTCGTCTCAAATTTTAATAAACTAAAAAGTTGTATAAATCATAAATTCATCATGTTATCTTTTAAGAGACCTTATAATTAATCATTATAATTTAATATAATTTAATTTAATACAAAATAATTTTTAATTTTAATAATAAAGTAATTTAACTGCCAATTCATCATTAAATCATAAATTATTGTGTCAATTAAAATTATAATATCACACTTGAGAATTACATCTTAGAAGAAGTCAACTAATATGTTATTAATATAACTTTCTAAACAATTATATCAACAATTATAATTTAAGGTTTAATTTCATCATATGAAACATATATAATAGGCATTTAATATTAATTATTTAAAGTAAAAATAATAACAAAATATAAAAAAAACAATTATAGGCATTAACACATGTCATTAGATAGTGTGAGAATGTTACGTGCTATCACAACTAGGAAAAAAATTGCCTACTTTATAATCTAAATATAATTATATCTAAAATTATAGTCTTATAAACAATGATATATTACTCTAATATATGTTTCTTTATGAAAGTATAAAATTATATATGACTAAATTACTTAAAAGCCGTATAATACCAGTTATATTAAATAAATAACCCAATTAAAACCATCAAATCAAAAACAACTAAATTTTAAACATAAAATCTAAACCAAACTAATCCACATGGTTAAGTATAATTAAGATAAATTAAATCAAACATATTCCAGTAGAAACTTAATATAAAGAAAAGAAATATAAAACACATATCAAAATATAAAAAGACAAAATAGATATGCCACATGTCCAACTTTAATAAACTTTATAAGGAAAAAAAAACATTTCTTTCTCGTCCCCTAAAGCTAGTAGTCTCCTCAAGGCAATTTGTAAACAGGTCTCTAAATATTCTTTTGAGTTGTTTGATTTGTTTTCTTGAGGAAAGATAGGCATTGTCATTGAATTGATTCTTGAAAATAGCGACAGGACCGGCCAACTGGAGTTGTACGTATCAAGAAAAACACAACAAAAGGAATGAGAACCGAATCAATTCCTTAACTTGGGTTCCTCTCTTCAGACAATGCTATTCCTTTTTCTTTATTTTCACCCTCCATCAACATCCTAAAAACTCAAAAGGTTGCATTCTTCATTTCAAAAAAGTCTGGAAGTAGATATAAACTTTCGTAACCCTAGACCGCTCAGAATATCTAACAAAGTAGCTGCTATCAGGATCTAAAGTTTTATTAGAGCAGTTCCTAGTTTATTTTAGAAGTTTCATTTAGGAAAAATAAAGTAAACTTGCTGTAGTATATAGTATACCTATTGTACTTATAATATATATATATATATATATATATACTTACATAGGCTTATATATATATATATATCAGTGTCCTAGTCTAAATGAAACTAGTTTCTATTTTACTAAGTAGTGGAAGAGAAGCACTTTTCTCTCCCACTAACCTTCCATAATCCGATCACTTTCCTCTCTATTTATTTACTATATCCCTCGTCTCTCTCTGCTTCCTCTGTTTTATCTTTTATTTTATTTTCTTTTTTTTTCTTTTATTTCTGTCTCGTTCACTGTTTTCTACTTCTGGTCATTGCAACTCTTTTGACGGTCCCCCTCTTGGGGTGTGAGGAGACCGGCTTTTGAAAGATGGAGACATAGCCGGAACACCGGCTTTTCCATGGATAATCGCAATGCCTGCTGAATGGAGGCCTCACTGCACATACGTGTAGCGATTGGTATGGCCCTGTAAAGTGTA